CATCAACCACCATCACCACTCCTACGACCCACCACCACCAGCGGGGGCGGGCGGCAGTGGTTGGCTCAAGTAACAATGGATGTAAGGAACCAGAAAGAGAGAGAGAGTACAGTATAGGACGTTGGAGCGTGTCTTTAAGATGTTGTAGGAGTGAGTGAAGGATATGTAGGACACCAGACATTACCTGTAGGATACGTGGCAGGGTGTAGAGAAACTGAGGGAGGGATAAATAATAAAAAGTTCAGAGGGGATGTTGGTGTGTAGTGTGCGTGGTGTTGTGTTGTGTGAGTATGTGCACATTTTGTGTTTGGGTGCATGAGTGTTTTGGTGTGTTGTGTTTTGGTGTATGTGTGTTAGAGTCCGTGACACACTCACACACACACACACACACTTCTTTCATTACTCGTGGGTGTAAATTGTGTTGGCCGCCTCATGCCTTGCTAGGATTAAGGCCTTTCAATAGATTCATTGTACCTTCTCTGGTGACTGTTATTGGGGGCGCCTGTGGCAGTTCAGCTGACGTAGATAAGGAATAGACTCTATCCCATGTATAGGCTGTAGCAGTGCCGGATTTAGACCTGTGGAGGCCCATGGGCAGCCTCTTTTGTGGAGGCCCCCCTCATTATAACTACCCAAGAGGGTGGGGTGGCGAGTAAAGCGAGCCTAAATATCTGGGAGTTCCGGGGGGGCTTACAGCGCCCCCCGGATAAATTTTGAAATTTGAACACTTCTTTGGAGAATTTTGAAGCCATATGCAGTTATATTGAGGAAATTAGAACATTGAGATTTTTTTTAATTGACTGTACTGTATATTTATTGATAGTGTACAAATTCCCAACACACACACACAAAAGTGAGACATGACTGGAGTCATTCATGTGGTTTCAAGTCGACCAGCCCTGATATAAATACTACCGCACATGTCAAAAATTTTCAAGAGACCACAGAAAATAATATAGGGTATTATTAGTTATTACAGAGATGATTCTTTGCATTATTAATGAGATAAACCTCTACTCAAATAATGGTTCTGTCCAAGAATGCATGTATAGGCTTCTTTAAGTACAAGGTCAGATGTAATATGTGGAGGCCTCCAGATTGTGGAGGCCCCTGGGCAGCTGCCCACTTTGCCCACTCCTGAATCCGGCCCTGGGCTGTAGTGAATACCCTCTACCCCATGTATAGGCTGGTGTAGTCCTTCTCTTTTCTTTACATCTAAAGCTGTTATAGTAACTCATCTGAGGATTTCTTCAGATGCTATGTGTCCTCGGCATCTGTCTGTCTGTTTCTTGATTGAAGTAGCTCCAAGTTTTAGCTCGTCTTAAAAGCTTCCATTTTATTTTAAAGTCTTTTCGGGTCTTGTCTTCTTGGCTGTTGTTCACAGTTTATTTATCTTTTCTTACTCATAGTTCTGTAATTGTGTTAGTACTGATGACTGCTGGGAGATGTGCTGGTAGTAATGGTTGGTGGTACTGTAGTAGTAATAGTGGTGGTAGTAGTGGTGTTAATGTTGATGGGAAGGAGGTAGTGTTGATGGTAGTAGTAGTAGTGATAGAAGTACTGTAGTAGTAACAGTGTTATAGTAAAGGTGGTGGTGACAAGCTGGGATTGGTAGAGATTGGTATGTAATCCCTTCCCCCAATCCCCTTCCCTCACCCAGATTGGTGGATGGAAGAGGACGAGACTGTCCTCCTCACCTCACCTACGACACACACACACACACACACACACACACACACACACACACACACACACACACATATTGACTGACTTAAGCTACGACACAAACTGGATTACGTGAAGATTAGGCACCCCAGTTTAATTCACCAGTTGATTAAAAACCTTATTGTTAACTTAACCTAACCTCACTTCCCCCACAGTAGCATTAGGGTGTTCAATCATCTGGTGAAATAATCTGGAGTGCCCAATCTTCACGTGGTCTTAGAAACAACGACAGACATACATTGGACTACCTTAACTAGACAGGTTCACTAGACATACTCGACAATTCAGGTTAAGAATGTTAGCCAAAAAAATCCACCACCTTGGTTTTGTGCCAAAAATGATGCTGAGTGAACGTATCTAGTTAAGTCACTTGTGTAATTGAGGCAGTATTTTTGGCTGTTATTTTTGTGCTTTAGGTTTAGTTGACAAGTTAGGTGTAGACTTTAAGGATTCACTTGGTAGGAATATTCATCCTATGAACCTTGGTGAATCCAGACCCCATGGTTGTCATGTTCAAGGTTGGACTAATGACGCCATCACGTTTAATTCCCACCATTTCTTACATTTCAATGAAAGTCACAGATAACGAACGAAAGTGACGTGTTTAACAATGTAACATTTCCTCTTTTATGTAGAATGAAATTGTGCTCTTAAACAACGCGGAGAACACTGCATTAAGTTTTTTTTAACTGGTCTAAGAGAAAAGACAGAATTTTAGGATTTTAGTGGAGTTGGTGTGTTGGCTCTTGTGAATGGGGGAGAGAGGTGAGGTAAGCGATAAGTTCTCACGGACGATATACTGTGACCACATTTATCGTGAAGCCACACCCTCCTTTCCTCCGGTCCTCCATCGCTGCCAACCACTTTGAAATACTTAATTCTTTTAAATGTAGAGGATTTCAGAGTCTAACTAAAATATCTTACTCTTGGCGTGTGTGATACAAAATGTCATAATTGCTCTCATATCTGGCTGTAATAAAGTTTTTTTCTGTTTAAACAATTTCATTTAGGTAATAAAACGAGTTTAGTAGCCGGAATTTATTATTATTTGCTTCAATGCAATCTCATGGCCTCTGTAACCTTTAGTCAAACAACTGAGGTACTGGAACATACTGAGGTGGGGAGAGTGAGTGTACAAACAGCTGGCAACAAGATATGGTTGAGTGTTAGCAGGACACTAAGTGTGAAGGAAAAAGAGACAAGTTTGTGCCTTTAACTTAACTGCTGTTTTGGATCATGGACATCAGATGCACTGAGGCTCTGATAATGCAAGATATTAGAGTCTGGGTAATGCTAATTGACCTGTGCCGGCACTTGGAAATCGATGTAAGAAGTGTTAAGTTTTACGGCCAACTTCAGCTACTTAGTTATGTAACAGTTGGTCGTCACCAAACTCTTGTGAATTTTATCACCTCGTCAAACCCTGCAGTCACCTCTCATAACACTGGGTCATGTGAACCTACTTTATGGGAGATGTGGCTCACAATAATTGTTATGTTCACTTTGAGTTTTACACTATTAGACAGTGTTAAGTTCATTGTCAGGATGCCTCGGTAATTCCATTATGTTCCATGTGGCTAACTTTCTGTGCTCTCACGGTGTCCCTCGTAATCACGACCTCTTGTTTCTCTGTCTACATCTTATCGATCACTCCAGTGTAGATCTTGTTTGATGGCGAGAAAATGTGTGTATGAAAGAGATAGAGAGAGATCATCCGTCCGCGTCTTTATTTTCACCCACCCGCCTTTCTTCCTCGCATATTGTACGTATAGACCTTGTGAAGGAATAGGTGAGGAAAGAATCGACATTAATGTGAGAGAATGTTGGCGGGAGATGTGAATATGCCATCAAGGGAAGGTGTTGAGAGAGGTGGGAGGCAGTAGAGGGTGAAGAAGAATACTAATTGTTTACTCTTAACACTTTCAGTATGAGGATTTAAACCCCTGTGTATGATAGCTTAAGCCATTAATACAATGACTTAACCCCCTGAGTCAATGAATTAACCCCTGAATACTGTACAATGACCTAACCCCTGAGTATTGTACAATGACAATTCCCTGAGTCAATGAATTAACCCCTGAGTGCTATACAATAAATTACCCCCCTGAGTACAGTGAATTAACCCTCTACCATCACTTCCATGTGGTGGTAGAATTAATGTCTAAGGTTTCATAAAAAAAATATAATGCTGTGCCTATTTACAATGCAGTACATTATGTAAATTATTAGTCGGATTTATTTCAGCATTTGTAAATTTGTTTTGAGTAATGATAGTCTTCAGTAGTTGACATTATGCCTGATGGGATAAAGAGTAATGTAGTGGACAGTGTTTGAGATGATTGGGTAAAAAGTGTGAATACAGTACAGAGTATTTAGATTATTTTTAAATCGAGTGTCATAAGTGAATTTGTGTGTGTGAGTGCGTGTTAGTAGGAAGAGTGATAAAGTGTTTTTGGGTGATACTGGATGAACAAAATATTTTCCTTGGCAAGGTATAGGGAAGGTTGTGTTTCAGAGAATCATATGCAAATAGGGAAACATGTGAGGGAAATTACACTACAGTATTGTATATACTGTAGAGATGCTGAAACAATGCTGCTGATGATTTGAACTTAGAAGTATGGCAAACACTGGTGATGGTACTGTACAGTAGTGTGGAGCTCATGTTCTGTGTGCAAGGTTCAGGTGTTCACTCAGAAAACTACTTGATATATCATTATACAGTATTACTGTATATTATATTTGACATGAAAGGAATTTTGCCAGTACAGTACAGTACAGTACAGTACACTAACACAGGAGTAATAATTAAGTGTAAATATGACTAATAAAAGTTATAATTACAATACTGTACTGCATTATGAATAAATGAAAAAGTACAGTACGTACTGTATAAGCAGAAGAATTCTGTAGTTTATGGACCTCAAGTGTGATGGTGTATATACGGCTGTAATGACCCATGCTGTCGATGGCCAGCAAATTAAAGCAAGCAGCAGTGATGGTATCCATTTTTCTAAGATAAATTTGGTCTTGGGTCTGTACCTTTTCTTTACTCAATGGATTGATTACAAATGACATTGTACCTTATTGTGACAGGTTCTCACTTGATGTTGTTTGGTTACTGTCAGACCTTAGTAATTTTAGAATTGTGACTGTTATCAGTCAGTGGGGGTTTTTGCCACTTTCAGTTGTTATTGTATCGTTGTCATGTATGGTACTTTTTCATTTAAGTATGTAACTATACATACAGTACTGACTCCTTTCCTTCTTTACAGTGACAAAGTTCATCCGTATTGGTATTGCTGACAAGAATGACAACCCACCCTTCTTTGACAAGACGTTGTATGAAGCCGAGGTGGATGAAAATGAAGACATCCAACACACCGTTCTTACTGTCACCGCCAAGGATCTTGATGAGTGTAAGTACTGTACTGTATATGTGTGTGTCTTGGGACAGGGTAGACACATATAAAGCAACATATGCAAGAAAATATACTGTGTGGGAAATGCTTTGAAGTGTTATTTACATACATACCCTCCACCTCCCCAAACATCACTTGGTCAATTAGGATGTTTAGTCCCCTTTTTAAACCTGGTAGACTAATAACTGAGGCAGGTGCAGGTATTGCATGTACTAGTTAGTTATTCATTAGTTTTGTCTGTAAACCAAGCAAAGAATAAGTGCTGGACCTGTTAATTCTGACTTGGTACTCTGTAATTCCAGGTACTAATATAATGGTAGTAGTGATTAGTGATGTTATTTATCTCTTCAGTGAAGTAATGAGAAGAGAATTATTGTTACGGTACAGACGAAGGTTGAACTTTTACTGGATGCCTGGGAGGTGTTGGTCATGGTAGAGACACAGGAGGTGTTGGTCATGGTAGAGACACAGGAGGTGTTGGTCATGGTAGAGACACAGGAGGTCTTGGTCATGGTAGAGACACGGGAGGTCTTGGTCATGGTAGAGACACCGGAGGTCTTGGTCAGGGTAGAGACACAGGAGGTCTTGGTCAGGGTAGAGACACGGGAGGTCTTGGTCAGGGTAGAGACACGGGAGGTCTTGGTCATGGTAGAGACACCGGAGGTCTTGGTCATGGTAGACACACAGGAGGTGTTGGTCATGGTAGAGACACAGGAGGTGTTGGTCATGGTAGAGACACGGGAGGTCTTGGTCAGGGTAGAGACACGGGAGGCAGAGTCTACTATTTATGAGTATGGGAAACTGTCATTCGTATATTAGGTGGAAACTAAAAGTACTATATGTACAGTATTTCCTCAGCAGTAATTTACACAAACACCACAAACTATAAATAGTTATTTGTGTAACTGGAAAACTTGATGCATCAGCTTGAAAAGTAGAAGGCTCTTAATATTCTGAATGCCTTAAAATGAGAAGACTGCTCGTTTCATTTAATATAACGAGTACATTTACAAAAAGTAATTTTATATACGCTGTACTGTTACTGTGCTTATAGACACACACAATTACAGTATTGTTTTGTATTTAGTATAGCACAGTACAGTACAGTATTCTGTACTGTATTATATCATTTCTCTAGTACAGTATTCTTTTGAAAGAATGTCATTAAAAAGCTAGTTGTACTCTCCCTCCGTGGGCAGTGAGCCAATACAGGCACACACCTCCCAATTGTACAATTGTATATTTTATTGTTTGTTTATCGATATAAATTGTACTGTGCTTCACATTTATGTTTATGTACTGTAATCGACTCCTCAGGGTATTTCATATTTATTATTGATTTCCAGTACGGTACCTGTACAGTGTAAGTCTCTGTCCGAAAAATATTCCCCAAATTCCCAGCCAGGAACACATCCCCCCCTTAATAAATTGTGTATGGGAAAATTGGTTTCACATACGTATCTCAGTCTCACACATTGCAAGTTTCTCAAAAATGAAACCCTTGTGATAAACAATGACTACCCTTGCTGTATATCTTTTAGAGTTTCCAACATGTACCATAGTGTTTGTGCACATAAGCATTAATCTTACCGGTGTTTTACTTGCAGCTTCTCGCATCAGATATGAAATCACAAATGGTAATATTGGTGGAGCATTTGCCGTGAAGAACATGACTGGCGCCATCTATGTCGCTGGACCTCTGGACTATGAAACAAGGAAGCGGGTGAGTCGTCATTCTCGTTTGACTGTGGTAGAAGTTGAGGTGTTGATGATAACCATAATAGACTACTGTACTGTATTGAAGATTTAGTAACGTTTGTCAGTGGATATATTTACCCCATGATTATTGCATCTTTTGTCGATATTTCCTAATTTGGTGGATACGGTATAACTCTTTCATAAATGCTAATCTTCAGCAATAACAGTTGAAGCTGAATTATGGAGGAGGTCTTTCTGATACAGTGTTTTCCTTGAAGTAATACAAACACAATACAGTACTAATGTGTGGTATATAATGTAGTACTAAATCATCTTCAACATTTTTTTTTTATTAGTAGTGCAAATTCATCATAACAGGTATGGTAAATTTCAAGGTTTACAACAAGTGTTTTAAGCTTACCAAATCTACAAATAAACGTGACTTCAATTGACACAGAATTCATTGTACAGTATGTCATAAGAGTTAAATAAAGGTTGGGCTATGATTAGGGTCTTTATTACTACAAAATAATAATGCTCATAAAGATGTATTCGACTTTGAAAGCATCTTGTTTAGAATCTGCAGCAACAGGTATTGGGGTATGTGAGGGTAAGCTGGCAAGTCAAGGCCTTTTTGTTTACTATAGTACATAGTATAATATAATATGAAACAACAAAGTCCAACCATTGATTAAGCAACAGGGAACTAAGTAACCAATCACCGATCACTTTACATTCATTCATAATTTTTACTACGTACTATAGTAAACAAACAGCCTTGAGTTGCCAGCTGTCTCCAACAGTGTTCGAAGAATCTTGAACGAGACTTTACATACAGTATGTATCTATGTGTGTATGTGTGTACAATCAAAGACAAAAGTCGTGTCGCGGGTTTGTCCGAAGATTAAATATAACTCGTGAAACATTATGAGAGCTCCCAACCACAAGACAGAGCGCACCAAAAGTTTAACCCTTCGGCATATGCTTTCACCAAATTTCACTACACAACTTTTGTCGTTCATTGTACATAAAGTATGCATGTAGAAAAATATATTGAATTTTTTGTGAGAGAGAGAACAGAGGTCATTATGGCAAGAGGAGGATCTGGTGTACTGTAAATTAAATATTACTGGTAATTTATGGTCAAAATCTCTCGGTAGTTAAGGTGTGGAAGTTATTGGTAGATATGAAGTGTAGGGAGAAAGTTATTATTGTTATTTTCTGTAATAGATCAGAATTTCTTCATATTAGATGGGTTTTTTTATGAATTTTAAGAATACTGTAGGGCTGGGGTTATTGTAGGGGTGACCGCTCTGCCTTTGATATCACTAGGGATGAAGCTCTTTGGTGCCTCATGTAAGTATGTAAAGGTGGTAATGGTTTGTGACTGTACATTTTCGGAGGCTTAACCCTTATCAATGTTTATTATTCATAAGTGTAGTAAATGTGTGTAATTAACATAACTGAAACATGGAAAAAGATAAGTTTTTAATCAATTATTTCTTTTAAAGTTAGGGTGTAAAATATTACCAGAGTTCACTTAACATCTGCAATGTTTTGATGTACTGTATAGCAGACTCTTAATTTCAGGACATGACCCCAGTTCCGGAATTTATTTATGATGGGGCAAAAGGACATGATTACCCCCTTACCGAACAGTATCAGTAAAGTCCTTTACCTAGTTATTATAAGTTGTATTTCCTGCTATTGCTCCCTTAACAACACACACAACAGTCATCTAGTGCCTCAACTTGTACCAGTCTTAACATGTACAGTGTACTGCCTTTTAGTTTATTCCAGTGATGTTTTGTGTTTGTTATATGACCTCCCTTCCGTACTTTTCTGGATTAGTTTAAGTGTTCAGTAATTACTCCAATAACCACATATTTATTGTTACTTTCTTCCTTTTTTATTCTCACTTTTTTCTATTAATCTGAGTTTGGTTTTCATCTCCATCTGTTATCATCAGTTCAATATGCTTTAGTTTTTTCCTTGAAAATATATACAGTATAAAGTATTAAATACAGTATACGTAGTACACTAACAGTCTTGCTAGTTCTGACTACGTATTTACTCCTGATTAACAAATATTGTATATATATATATATATATATATATATATATATATATATATATATATATATATATATATATATATATATATATATATATATATATATATATATATATATATATATATATATATATATATATATATATATATAGTAAATCACTGTAGGTGCGCATGATCTAGGTATATGCTGATAACCACAAGGAAAGAAGAAAACACGAAGTTCCCAAGCGCTTTCGTGTAATTCACATCTTCAGGGGTGAGTACAGACTCACCCCTGAAGATGTGAATTACATACATACATACATACATACATACATACATACATACATACATATAAATAAATAATATGTGTTCCTGTTAGAGTAAGTTTCCATGTTTACATACAGTCTTCTTATCACCTCTGACACACACAGGTCATTTAAGGTGCACCACACCTTGATGTAATGCATAAACCTGGCCAAAAGTTTTATGGTATAAGGTCATCCCCATCTTTGTTAAGAACAGGGAAGAGTGGAGTAAGTGCCATTTGACATCATCAAACTTCACCATAAAGGTTGTTTGTTAGAAAAATTTGGATAGTATCATAATGGACTTCATTACATCTCTTAAATGTAGTCTAGATGTTCTTGAAATTGTGAATGATTCTTATAGTTCTCCATAGCCTCACTTGTGCAGTTTCTTCATCCTTTCTGTTTTCAGAATCATGTTAATGTGAATGAATAATGCCTGATTACAATGATATTTGTTTACTTAACGTGAACTCCATTTGTCCAGTATGAGCTCAAACTGGTGGCCTCTGACAACCGTAACGAGAACCACACCACAGTTGTCATTCATGTTAAAGATGTGAATGACAATCCACCCATGTTTGATCGGCCACTGTATGAGACGCAGATCACCGAGGAAGATGACCGCAGCCTGCCTAAAAATATTCTTACGGTCTCTGTCCTTTAAGATCTCTTTCTATGGCTTGCTCTGTTAATGCACCACTTACTTATGTAACCCTCTTGCTTGTGATAGTTTTCTGTGTTTTATGTTAACAAGTCATGAGCAGATTGTTGTAGACCTTGAGACCAAAACTATTGCCAAGTGTTTTAGTTTATTCCTCGTCAAGGTGTAAATGTGTTGCTCGTGACTGTAACACAAATTACAGTTTAGGCTTTTTAGACACAACAGTTATATATACTGTAATGTTGTTTTCCCCCCATGATGTGCATGTCACAGTCCTTCCAAACTTTTTTTTTTATCCCATAATGCACTTTCACATTATTTTGCCCCCTTTTATTCCAGTGAGGTGCATGTGCAGGAGATGTGATAGCAGTTTGATTTTACACTGAGCTTTTGTTTTTTTTTTGTTTTTTTTACTCCAGTAAGCATGCTAATGAAGGATCATGTTTACTGTTTTTGTTTTTGTTCCCCGGATGCTTGTTTGGTGGTTCAGTACGAACTGGCTCTAGTAGCCACGGATAGTGTCAACGAGGCAGCCACCAGGGTAATCATCCACATCGCTGATGTCAATGATCGCCCTCCAGAGTTCGACCGACCAAATTATGAAGCAACTATTGAAGAGGAGCGCAGTGAGGGTTTGCCTATACTGCTACGTCAGGTAGACTTTTTTCTTTTCCTTTTTTTTTCTTGTTTTCCTTTTTTCTTTTTTCTGTTTTAGGTGAAAAGAGAAAAAAGAATAATTATATATTAATAATATTGACAGGATAAGACTGAATAATGTAGGGCTGGACCTAAACAGGGTAGTGTTGGGGGAGGGGGGCAGCTGGTCCATCAAGTGTGTACAGTATATGCTATCCATAAACTAATAATTAAAAACACTTTAAAAACTTTGTTTCAAAGGATAGGATAATATACTTGAATAATACAGAAAACAGCGGGCTGGTCTTTTACCAATAATAATTAAGGAATGTATATAAGACCTCTTTATTTTCAAAGAAAAGTTTATTAATGCTCTTGTACTGTATAGTATTGCATACTCCTTACAGTGCTCCAAACCACAAAAGTTAACAAAATATATCAAAGTAACCAAAATTTATTGTAATAAATGAATGTAACCACAAAATTGAACATAATAGATCAAGATTAGCTATCAAATTTAACACAAAATAAAAGCACTGCAATAATCTTGATTCAGGATTTGTGTACACAGCTAATATACAGGACTCATACACTACCTGACTGTTTTATCATCCATAATACCTGTTAATTCCATCTGCCTTGGATGACCTTGACCAAAGCTAGTGATCACTTTATTTCTGTTTTTGTTTATAAACAGTCAACATTTATTCTGTCTCGTTTCATTGTAAAGGTCAAGTTAACTTTTGAAATTCTTCAGTAAGCTGAACAAAAACTCACATTTGCATGAAGTGACTGGTAAGGTTGCACTGACTTTAAGGATAATCTATATATATGATGGTTTAAACTTAGAGGCATCAACTGATTCAGCTAAAGCAACAGCTTCCATGTGTCACCAATTTGATCAATATTACCAAGACACTGTTTGGTAGCACAGATGACACTGGTTATCTTTGTCATAACCGTGCAGATGTCAGTAGCCCAATAATAATATATGACTTTACTTTTATTTAAATATTTTAATTTTGAGAGGAAGGCGGTCGGTACAGTACTAGGGTAAGGAGAGACTTCTTTATAGCATACTGTACTTGTGTCACTTTAGTGGTGCCTCAGTTGATATGAATGTAGTATAGCTTGTCTGTTCTCTTTACAACCAAAAAATATACAGTACAGTACAGTACCTGTACTTCAAATTTTAAATGTCAGAAATTTATTTACAAAACCAAGGTATAATGTCATGGCTTTTTATTAGATATATCACTTGGTGTGTAGGAAAGATGGTGTCAACATTGAACAGTGAGTTGGATGTATGTCACTACTTGTACATAAACTATTATTGTCTTCAGGAAATATTTCAAATTGAAAAGGAATCATGAGAGAGTAGAGAAAACATGGAGAAGTGTTCACTAGAAGTTACAGAGATACTGTAATGTATCAGTTTAACTTAACTCCTCCTGTCTTGAAGTGAAACATTTCATGGCTCATTTACCAGGTTATGACAGTTTATATTAGTCCTCTTAGTTGTTAAAAGTCACGGTTCCTCCTGTATTTCTAATGATAATAATAATGATCATGAGAATGCTGTCATACTCTCATTAAGTGTTGCCATTGACCCCATAAATGCATGACTACAGCTTAATTTATGTTAGATGTTGCTTCCATCCGCATGTTCAGTATAACCAGCACTTTAACAAAATTATTTCTCTTACAATATTTTATTTAAATGTGGAATTTTTGATGCCTCAGTTTGATTAGATTAGATTTTAGAAGCAATTAATATTTAAGATAATCATTGCAATATGGAGAGATTATTAATTTAACCGTAAATTGTGTGAAGTCTTGCGTTATACTAAATTTTGTGGCTCGTAAACGTTCCTAATAATCACTTTATGTCGACGCAGGTTACAGCCACTGATGGTGATCGTGATCGCATTCAAGATATCGTGTACTTCTTGACTGGCCAGGGTATTTATATGGACAACCCAGATCAGTCTCAGTTTGAGGTCAATCGGACGTCAGGAGAAATTTTTGTCAGGAAGGTTGGTAACTTGGCTCTACTTGTTTGTGTGAAAGCCTCCAAAACCTCAGCCAAACTGTGACAATTTTCACTACAGGGTTAATATCTATTTGCTTTGTTCTCTACATCTGTTTATTTTAACTTTTATCATTATTTACCTATTTACCTACCTCTTCATTCATTCATGTTATGTTGACCATATCATGTGTTCACTCATTATATGGCCTCTTCAGCCTGAGTCATTCTCTCATTACAGTATTATTAAGTTAGAGAATTAATGAACAATTCCCCTTGCACTCTGAACATTTCATAAAAATTAAGCTTATTTTGTTACCTGATGTGGGATATCAATACTGTAGTTTCCTTCCAGAAGAACAGTTTGAGAATAATCTAATGTATTTATATATTGTGCAGTATTTAGTTACCTTGTTTCTGGTGGTTTGTGGGTATATACTACAGTAATTGTAGGTGACAAAAGAAATATTTAAGCTCGTGAAACTTGATGATTTAAAAGGCCATCAAGCTTAGCAGTTTTAGCTGTAATGAGGAACCAATACATTTTGTTGGAGATGAAATACTGTAATAGATTTCCTGGTGGAAGTAAATAAATGAGCATAATCACTGTTGAGGATAAACTGGAACTTGTTCAATCCACTAAGGTTTACAATAGTTATTTTTGTATTTTACTGCATGTATAGGATGTTCATCACATGCCTAATCATGTTATATGATGATTTTTTTTTCTCTCTAAATTACATTATTATTTTTTTAAGATAAATGATGACATGATGTATTTTGCACTTTGTTTTTTCTTTTGCTTGAAACTTTATGGTTTATGGTTCATTGATAATAGTGTTATGTGTGTCTTGCAGCCTCTTGATCGAGACCACCCCAAGGGACGACCAACGTGGAGGTTCACTGTGTTTGCCCAGGATGAAGGTGGTACTGGCTTGGTGGGCTATGCTGATGTTCAAGTCAATCTCAAGGATATAAATGACAATGCTCCTATTTTCCCTCAGGTATACTGTGGCATTTGTTAATACTACACTAATAACTTACTTATCCTAAAGAAAAAAATTTGCTTAAATTCTTATGTACTAAATACACTCTATCTTTCAATGAGTTGGTCATTTGGTAATATATGTTTTCTTCTTTATCTTCAGATGGTTTATTTTGGAAATGTGACAGAAAATGGAACTCAAGGGATGGTTGTTATGACCATGACAGCAGAAGATTATGATGATGCAAATGAGGGTACCAATGCCAAACTCACATACTCCATTGAGAAGAATGTAATTGATGAGAACACAGCCACACCAATCTTTGAGATAGAACCAGATACAGGAGTGATCAAGACTGCAGTTTGTTGCTTGGACAGAGAGAAGACTCCAGATTATTCCATACAAGTTGTTGCTGTTGATGGTGGTGGATTAAAAGGTGAAGCAGTTTTGTTGGCATGTTATCAGTGAAGAGAAGCACTGCAGTTCTTACCTCTTGTTATAAGATGTTCTTAACTTTCTTAGTCTCCACAGTTTGCTGAAGGTGTCTTAGCTCTATAAAACTCTGAAGGTGTCTTAGCTCTATAAAACTCTGAAGGTGTCTTAGCTCTATAAAACTCTGAAGGTGTCATAGCTCTATAACACTCTGATGGTGCCTTATTTCTGTAACACACTGAAGGTGTCTTAGCTCTATAACACTCTGAAGGTGTCTTAGCTCTATAACACACTGATGGTGCCTTATCTCTGTAACACTCTGAAGGTGTCTTAGCTCTATAACACTCTGAAGGTGTCTTAGCTCTATAACACTCTGATGGTGCCTTATCTCTGTAACACTCTGAAGGTGTCTTAGCTCTATAACACTCTGAAGGTGTCTTAGCTCTATAACACTCTGAAGGTGTCTTAGCTCTATAACACTCTGATGGTGCCTTATCTCTGTAACACTCTGAAGGTGTCTTAGCTCTATAACACTCTGAAGGTGTCTTAGCTCTATAACACTCTGAAGGTGTCTTAGCTCTATAACACTCTGATGGTGCCTTATCTCTGTAACACTCTGAAGGTGTCTTAGCTCTATAACACTCTCCATTCATAAACAGAAATTGCTTGTTAATCATATTCTGTTCTTTATTTATTTAATATTATATGAAATACATTTTGAATTGTATTAGTACAGTTGCAATATACAGTTGAAATTTTAATAAAGCTTTGTGTCAGTTGTCTGAAGTTGTGTAAGCAAATTACTGTAAATTACTGTAATAGGTTGCATATGACACTAATACAGAGTCAGAGCAAAACAAAGGTGGAGTATAACAGTACTGTACTTAAGTCTTTATACAGATCCTGTGGACTGTTTCTTTTAAGGTTTTATGATGCCTTTTTATCATTACCACATGATTCCCTGGTGTTAAAAGTTAGAATGTTACAGGAAATTAGAAGAATTCTCCAATGCATTTATTCAACTAAAAAGGAACTTGTTTACATGCACAAATATATTCCAGCAGTCAAACCTCTTACATCCTTCACTGACTTTTTATTATTACACTTAACTTGTATGGCAAAACAACTAATGTGGAAATTTTTATTTGTTAAAATACTTTAATTGATTACAATATCATTCCGCAGGGACTGGAACTGCAAGTATTCGTGTGAGAGACATCAATGATATGCCGCCGAGATTCACAAAAGAAGAGTGGCAAACAGAGGTGGATGAAACAGAAGGTGCACTTCTTCCTGAGCAAGCCATCCTGACAGTCACAGTTCATGATGAGGATGAAACCAATAAATTCCATTACAAAGTTATTGAATCCTCTGGATTTGGTGCAGATAAATTTACAATGGTTAGAAACAATGATGGCACCGGTTCCCTGAAAATTGTGCAGCCACTGGATTATGAAGATCCAATGCAACGTACTGGTTTCAGGTTTAAAATCCAAGTGAATGATAAAGGAGAAGACAATGATGCTGAGAAGTACCATGTTGCTTACTCATGGGTAAAAGTAGAACTGAGAGACATCAATGACAATAAGCCACAGTTTCTTAAACCTAATATTGAAGTGCCTGTATTTGAAAATGCAGAAATTGGTAAAAGTTTAGAGACTTTTAAAGCAACAGATCCTGATCAAGGTGGACAGAGTAAAGTGTTGTATGCAATAGACAGGGCATCAGATAGGAGGAGACAATTTGCTATTGATAGTTCTGGTACTGTCAAGATTCAAAGAAGCTTGGACAGAGAGGAAAACCCACGTCATTCAGTAAAGATTTTAGCAATAGATGATGGTTTGCCTGCAAAGACTGCCACAGCTACTCTGACTGTGATTGTTCAAGACATCAATGACAACTCGCCGAGATTCCTGAAAGATTATCGTCCAGTTCTCCCAGAGAATCAGTCGCCCAGAAAGATAGTAGAGGTATTGGCGACTGATGACGATGACAGATCAAAGGGTAATGGACCACCTTTTCACTTCCGAATGGATTCTACGGCATCTGATGAAATTCGAGCATCCTTTAAAGTAGAACACATCCCTAAAGGAGCTAATGGGGATGGAATGGCAGTCATCTCTTCTCTGAGAACCTTTGATCGTGAAGTACAGAAGGAATATCATGTACCTATTGTGATCAAAGATGCTGGCACTCCTCAGATGACTGGCACTTCTACATTAACCATTATTATTGGAGATGAAAATGACAACAAAATGCAGCCAGGAGCAAAGGATATCTTTGTTTATAACTACAAAGGGCAGGCCCCAGAGACACCAATTGGTCGCGTATATGTTTATGATCTTGACGACTGGGATTTGCCAGACAAAAAGTTTAATTGGGCTACTGAAGCACATCCTAACTTTAAATTGAATGAGGACGATGGGATGATCACCATGAAACATGGCACTGGTGAAGGCTCCTACTTCCTACAGTTCCATGTGTATGATCGCAAGCACACCCAAACAGATGTAGAAGCTAATGTAACTGTAACTGTAAAAGAAATTCCTGAGATAGCTGTTATTAATTCAGGATCCATTCGCATTTCAAATATGACAGATGAGGACTTTATCCGAATATGGGATTACAAAACTCAACGAGTTGTACGCAGTAAAGCAGATATGTTTAGAGAAAAGATAGCAAGATTAGTAGGAACAAATGTGGAAAATGTTGATGTATTCAGTATACAATTAAGACATGAAAGACCATCTATTACGGATATTCGTTTCTCTGCTCACGGATCTCCTTACTACCACCCTATTAAGCTAGATGGTCTTGTTCTGCAACATCGGGCAGAGATTGAAGCAGAAATAGGTATCAACATCACCATGGTTGGCATTGATGAATGTTTGTATGAAAATGTAGCTTGTGAAGGGTCATGTACCAACCATTTAGTTATTTCCAATTTGCCTTATATGGTGAATGCAAACAAAACTTCCTTAGTAGGTGTAAGGACTGAAGTGATTCCAGAGTGTACATGTGGAGCGAGAAACTTTTCCGTCGAGGAATCATGCCGTCCAAACCCTTGTTATAATGGTGGTCGATGTATAGAAGGAAAATCTGGGGTGCACTGTAGATGTCCAGATGGATATGATGGGCCGAGGTGTCAAATGGCGACACGAACTTTCAGAGGAAATGGATTTGCTTGGTTCCCTCCTTTAGCAATGTGTGACAGTTCACATATCAGCTTAGAATTTTTGACAAGACGCCCTGATGGCCTCCTCTTTTACAATGGCCCCATCACCCCACCCGAAACAGACGAGATTATAGTTTCTGACTTCATAGCATTAGAGTTAGAGAATGGACGACCAAGACTTCTTATTGACTTTGGATCTGGGACGCTGCAATTAAGAGTCAATACCAAAGCTAATCTTAATGATGGCATGTGGCATAAAGTTGACATCTTTTGGGACACAGAGGTAAGCTTATTGTATTTTTAAATATTAATTTTATTGTAGCATATTTTAAAAATAAGTTTGTACAGTTGAATTGCATATTTTCATGCTAATGTAATGTTTTGTCTTTACAGAATGTAAGAATAGATGTTGACCATTGTGTTGCTGCAGAAGTACAAGAACCAGAGGATGGAAGTGATCCTATTTTTGATTCTTCTGGATGTCAAGCTAAAGGCACTATACCTCCATTCAATGAATACCTAAATGTAAATGCACCTCTGCAGGTTGGAGGCCTTGCTCATGAACAGCCTGATCCTAGTTTGTATAAGTGGTTACATGTTCCTCATGGTCGATTCTTTAGTGGTTGCATAAGGAATCTTATGGTGAACAGTGAGCTTTATGATCTGGCCCGTCCTGGTCAGTATCGTAACACTCAGGTGGGTTGTCCTCAACTTGAGGAGGCATGTAGAAGTAATTCCATAGTTCCTACTTGTGGACCAAATGGTATCTGTTCAGGCTCACTCTCACAACCTGTATGCAAATGTAAGCCAGGCTGGACAGGCCCTACTTGTGATGAACCTACCAACTCATCATACTTTGAGACACAGTCATATGTCAAATATGCCTTGTCCTTCAAGCCCAATGCATTCAGTACAGAAATTCAGCTCAGATTCCGCACTTGGCAAGAGTATGGCGAACTATTCAGAATCTCTGATCAGCACAATCGAGAATACGGAATCTTGGAGATTAATAATTGTCGGTTACGTTTCCGTTATAACCTGAACAGTCTTCGAACTCAAGAGCATGATCTGTGGCTGTCAGCCGTTACTGTTAATGACGGCATTTGGCATTCAGTGATGGTAGAGCGCCATGGATCCACATCAACACTAATGCTAGATGGTGGTGAAGGTCGTCGCTATAATGAAACAATGGCTTTCTCCGGACATATGTTGATGGATGTTGACAAGCAAGAGGGGGTGTATGCTGGTGGCAAGGCAGAGTACACAGGAATAAGGACATTTGAAGTATACAATGATTACAAACTAGGTAAGTCAACCTCATATGTATTTTTAAATGTAATTACTATACTGTATAGGTAGAGATTTGAAATTTTGATTATTTCTAGAGGAAAGATAAAAAGACATATTTGATAATTTAGGTTAAATAAAATACCAATTAGAAAGTTCTGCGGAGTCATTGAGGATATTTGGACTTATAGACAGTAGGTGATATATTTATTATGGTGTGATAAAGCTAGATGTAAATGCATTGGTGGAATGTAGTTTAAATGAATTGAGTTCATGATTTTATTTTTAATCTGGATAATAGGTTGTCTGTATACATCACACCTGTTATATGTCGCCTTACAATATGTAGATAGAGGATTGTCATACATTTATGTTATCCTGTAGGATGCTTGGATGACATTCGTCTAGAAGGAAAGCACTTGCCTCTGCCTCCTGGTCTGAATGGTACCCAGTGGGGACAAGCCACAATGTTCCGCAACCTGGTCAAGAACTGCATCTCTCAGAACCAGTGTGTCAACGTCACATGTCTGGCACCATTCACCTGTAAAGATCTATGGATGAAACATGAGTGTGGGTAAGTAATACTGCAAAATCATAAAGAAAAATTTAAAGGGGGTAAGATTCATTTGCATTTTTAGGAATGTATCAAATTTGCTTGATGGCAAACTGTAAAGAAGATACAAGAGATCATACAACTTAGGTTTCTGCCAACAGGTAAACATTTCTAACCCACGCAGATGTGGAATAATAATTATAATATTTACTACGTAAAACAGCAAAGACTATATAAAAAAGACGGGAAAGCGTCTACCTTTATTGATAAAAATAACGTGAGCCACGGAGCTCCGATCAGTGCCATCTGTTGGCAATGTGTCTAACTAAAAGCCTGGGGCGCTTGAGGGTAGTGTTTCCATGGTAACCAGCGGAGTGAGCTGATATTACCTAGACGTTCTTAATGTGCACACACACACACACACCCCACATCCCACATACAATATCACACAGTAAATTTTTTATGATCAATGATATATAGCAGCGTGAAAACGTAAAACACAAGCTCAGGGTGATCTGTTTTTGTACGTGTGCATATGGCACACGGGTGATGGTGACACCCACTCATGGTTAAATGTCCTGGTCTTCGTGTAAACAAACAGACATTGTACAGACGACCTGCGCCTTGCACACTAACGCCATCTGTCGAGCCCGCGGCCAACGATATGCTATGTGGCTTACACAGTTTTTGCCTTACATTCCCGTCTTTCTTATATAGTACAGGTATTTGGTAAAACAGTGATGATGTCAAAGATCATTTATGCAAAAGCTCTGAAAACCAAAATGATATAAAACTGAAAGTTTTTTGAACAGACCGAACTGTGTGAAGGCATGTAACTCTGGGTATATTTGATGAAAGGATAAAGATAATGTAATAAACTTTACTTCAATAATTTAGAATTGCGAAGAACTGTACAGTACCTGTAAATACAGGTTCAATATGTAAAATCCACTTGTGAGGAAACTGGGAGTGTGAGAAAATCATGAATTTTCAGCATTATGCTGTATCAGCCTATGGACCCAATCCAAACCTCACATATATTAAACCCACATCCTGAACAAAATCTGTAGTGAAGCACATAACAGTTGCATTAAGTTGCATTAGCATTGATAAATGTAGGTCAAGTATGTAGTGCAGCTGGTTGGGCCAGTCAACTGACTTGGCTGCACTGTTTCTATTTGTCTTAACCTGTAACCCACAAACTTCTATATTCATACTAATCACAGCTAAGATTTTAGCTACAGTGTTTAAAAATACCCAAACTAAGTCATGTTTACTGTTAAAAAAAAAATTAAGTGCGAGAGACGGTTGTAGTAGTAAACACATCTCATCGGTCAGATTTGAGGTCTGGATCCAGGCCTGTATAGGCTAGCTGAGGCTTAGGTTATTGTAATGTAAATAAGCCTAGGCATCCGAAAATAAATTTATTTCAAAGCCAAAATGCAGTGGATCTCAAATTTTTTGGATAAAGGGTCTTTGACCTATACAGTGGTCCCTCGGTTAACGAGCACAATTCGTTCCAGCAGGTTGCTCGTTAACCGAAAACTCATTAACCGAAACCATTGTTTCAATGGGTTTTTGGGTAATTGGTTCCAGCTCACCGAAAATTGCCTAAATTCAACAAAAAAGGTGATGATGATGATGATGATGGGAATTAGAATGGGGGTGGAGGAGAAGGAAGAAGAGAAGGCATTGGGGTGGAAGAGAAGTCACCCCATGGCACCATTTCACCCATAAAATTTTAGTTCTCTTGGTGTAATTCAAGATTATTTTCTTTAAATCAACACTGCACTGCATTATATATTGTCAATATGTAAAATAAATTTCAAAATGACCAATAATTTGCTTGGAAACACAGAAAAAAAGCATTTAGTTGAAGAGAGTCTCAAGCAAGATGTTACCTCCACTGAAAACAGAGAGAGACTAACGCCTGTCTGGTGTGTTAACAGGCTGGATGGCACGCCAGAAACTAGTTTCTTTACCTTCAATTATGTTCAATAATTGTTAAAATGACTAAAAAAGTTAATATTAAACTTTTAAAATTATTGAATAGTATAAACTTCTTGATATTTACTAAAATAGTAAGGAATTTAAGCCCTAAAACCGATTACTGTATTGGCGGACTAATACTACAGCTGGTGGACCGCCAAATGCAAGCGAAAACATGTTGAAGTCGGCTCGTAAAAAACTCGTTAATCGAGGGATTGCTCGTTAACCAAAGTTAAGAATCTTATGGAAGGTAAATCGTTAACCGAAATCTCGTTAACCGAGGCGCTCGTTAACCGAGGGACCACTGTAGTGTAATTTTCTGGAAGAGAATGATTTCTCACTTCTGAATAAGTTTCTGTATTATTGTCATTAAAACTGGTAAAAAGGTAATATAGTACAGTGTCAGTTTTACTTAGCCCAAACAAAACATGATTCAAAAACAAACTATGAGATTACTGTAATAAACTTCATCACAAACATTTTCTATTACATTGTACAGTACAAGGTACAGTACTGTATAATGAAATGTTTAAAATATTCTGCATTAAATTCATTCTACTCGAATGTTTTTATTTACAAAAGATCTAAATGAAAATATTCAACTTCATTTACTTTTTCAACAGTACCATATTTATGTTACATACCTGTACTGTACAGTATTTGTAGGTGACAATAATAGGTATTGAATATTCACATTTAAGGTGTTTGTCTCTGCAGCCTGTACTGTATATACAGTATAGATTTTCTGAATATATTTTATGATAAACAAACTTTAGGTAATAATAATTAGTACTGTTATAATGTTGGGAAATGCTTAATGGAAAGTTGGCTTAGTAGTGACTGATATTTTCTTTAGTGCTTTACCCTCTTACATGTCTCTTACTTAACTGTGTAACTCGGTTTTGATTCCCATTTGGGCTTGGAACTCAACAGTGGTTATTGACAAGGCATGCAATTGTTAATGTTTCATTTAAAATAATTTGTGTTATATACACTAATAGACCTCTCTCTCTTATTTTTGCTGCCCCCCATCCTCTGGAAACTGGTAAAATTGGATACTGTATATCTATCTTACTTTAAATTTCTTACACATAAAATTGTACAAAATAAATCCTCAAACTTTTCTCTTCATGAATTGTGTGTGTTGTGCATGATCTAACATGGCACTAAAATACAAATTTTAGATGTGAGGATGGTACTATACTCTCAAGTAATCAAGAAGTATGTGTAGACCAGGATGAGTGTCTGAATGACCCTTGTCAGAATGGTGGCACTTGTCATAACCAGGAACCATCATACATTTGTGATTGCCTGCGAGGCTTCTATGGCAAGAACTGTGAACTCTTGCAGGAGGGCAGGACTGTGCGGCTTAGCTTGGGAGCTCTGGCCGCTATTCTTGTTTGTCTTCTTATTATTTTGGGTAAGACTTCTGAAGGAACATGATCTGACGAGAGATCGGGCATTACGTCTGTTTAGCTATTGTCTTGCCCCGCTCCTAAGCGCCATTATAATGAAATGAATAGTTGAAAACTTGCATGCCTTTCTACGTACCCTATCACTTGCATGCCTTTCTACATACACCAGTATTAGCAGAAAATCGTAAACAGATGTCAGGAACTCTTTCCTGGTAAGTTTTTGTTTGTAGTTCTGTAGTTGCATGAGCTGTAATGTTAGAATTATATGCCAGTATCTCTATTTAATAACCCGTGGTAAGTAACTATTGCATGTGTTTTTGTCCTTCCTTTCCCAAAGGTAATTTACTTTTAAAACTTGACTGTAGACAGCAGTCCCTCCAACTAAGAAGAATAAGATTCAACAGGTAAACAGTACTCTTCAATCATTCATTCCTCAGCTGCCCAGAAGGCTCAGTTCCAAACCTTGACAACTGTGTCAACATCAACGAGTGCGAGCTCTGGCAACCATGTTATAATGGAGGTGTGTGTCAGGACTTGGAGCCTGAAATGGGTGGCTATGTGTGCAACTGTATTGACGGCTTCCATGGAACTGACTGCAACATTATATTGGAAGAAACAATACTCAAACCTTCCACTGATTTTGTTGTTGCTATTGTCATCTGTATTCTCGTATTGCTAAGTAAGTTCTCTTCCTTTTATTTTTTTGTAACTTTATTTCATTTATTTATTTTTTTATTATTATTTTTTTTTATGAATAATTGTTGTCCTTCGTATTTCTCCCCTTCCTTGGGAGGCAGGATGATATCACTCTGTATTACAGTAGTCATATTAACTTGATTCAAGAGTTATATAGTGAGTTATGTTTTTATCTAATTGTCATGTATAGATAATATCAGTACATCCACATTCTTATTATTTAATATTCTTCCACAGTGTTTTTATTTTAATAATTGCCCTTAACCCTTTGAGTCCTGGAGAGTCAAACCATCATCTTCAAAGGGTTAAAACATCATCCCCAAAGAGTTAAAACATCAAAGGGATTAAATCATCATTAAAGGGATTAAATCATCATCAAAGGGATTAAATCATCATCGGGATTAAATCATCACCCTCGGGGATTTAATGTTCATTACATGTTTCAAGCTGGGCCATTTCAGTAGTGAGTAAATACTGTATAAGAGAAGATGGAAATTAAGTATTATGATTGTCTTGCCTTGAATCTATACAATAAGACTGTGTGATCATGTCAATTATGGACTCAGGTGTCTACCATTTGCTGATGTCTGTGAATACTCCAGTGGTCAGTACTGGCACAGTAAGAGTTACAGCTTTTTAAGAGCTGGAACTATTATGTAAACTGTATTTTTTTATTGCAGCATTGTTTCAGGGTTGAGGGAAGTCGGAAAGATATCACAAGGAAGTGAGAAAAATATTACTAGGTTGAAAGAAGTGAAAAAGATATTACATGGTTGAAGGAAGTGGGAAAGATATCACATGGTTGAAGGAAGTGGGAAAGATATCACTAGGTTGAAGGAAGTGGGAAAGATATCACTAGGTTGAAGGAAGTGGGAAAAATATCACTAGGTTGAAGGAAGTGAGAAAGATATCACATGGTTGAAGGAAGTGGGAAAGATATCACTAGGTTGAAGGAAGTGGGAAAGATTTCACTTGGTTGAAGGAAGTGGGAAAGATTTCACTTGGTTGAAGGAAGTGGGAAAGATATCACTAGGTTGAAGGAAGTGGGAAAGATATCACATGCTACATTTCTTTCATTAAGTTTTTCATTCAGACACACACACACAGTGGTCCCACGGTTAACGAACACAGTTCGTTCCACAGAGTCGTTCATTAACTGAATCTATTATTTCAATGGGATATTGGGTAATTGGTTCCAACTCACAGAAAAAGTACATACAAAGTACTGTATACCAGTAATGGAATTAACAAAACATTAAATATAAACTAAATACAGTTCTGTACTGGACAGTATAGGCTACTGTACAATAATAAATAAAAACAATAGTATAATGTATTTTGACTTACTTTGAGGTGTATGTTGTATTACCGGCAGCTTTGTTTACATATTAAACAGCTGATTGTAGAGGCAGTTGACGATGACATGCCATATTCTTTACAGAGTGCATTGGTTTTAATGCCTTCTTCGTGTTTCATAATAATTTCTGCACTGTATATGATCAATATGTTAACTAAATTTCAGAATGACCAATAATTTTAATGTAAAAATGTAAAAATATTCAAGGGGCAACAAAATCGATATTCACTCCACTGTAAACAAAGTTAAACTGAGAAGCGTTGTTGGGTGATTCAATCAGCTGATGGGCGCACAAAAACTGTTCCCTGTACTATCTGTATTACCAATATGTTAACTAAATTTCAGAATGACCAATAATTTTAAACTAAAAAATGCAGAAATATTCAAGAGACCAACTTTCTTGATATTTACTTCACTGGAAACGAATGTAAACATAGAACCAATTACTGTATTGGCAGACTAGCCGATCAGCTGATGCGCACAAGAAAACTTATTTGTCGTAAGGATTTCATTAATCGAAGTTTTGTTTGTTAATTGAACTGAAAATCCTTATGGGAGCTAATTCGTCAATCGAACCATTCGTTAACCGAGGGACCACTGTATACTGTAGGTTGGCATGTTATGGAACCAATTTACCATTGCTCACCTGACTAACATGTATATACTTGTTTAACCTTTGACCTTAGCTCATTTCAGATGGTATGTTGTATTGGACATTGTAATACATCTGTTCTCTTGATGCAGCTGTCTAGTTTCTTTATCTTTTCACATTCAGACGATACATAGTTTATTGCTTGTATGGTTACGAAGTATATGCTTCACTGTATTTCCAATTTCACATTCATTCTCATTTTACTATTTTCTGCTATAGTGACACCTCTATTTAATGGACTACATGTATAGGGAGATGAAAATCTGTTATATCTAGGGTCTGGTACATAGATGTGAAACCTCCATCTAACGAGCCAATGGAGATGAAAGTCTATTATATCAAGGGTTTATGAGATGTGAAATACCCATCAAACGGTTACAGTATCTCCATATTATGGAGATAGAAGTCCGTTATATCGAGGGTCTGTTTAATGTGATACTCCCATCTAATGGATTATATGAAGGTTTCACTGTACTTGTCTTGCTTTTTGTTGTGATGTTTGCCTCACTCTTGTTTTTCAATTTTCATGATTTTTTTTTCTATCACAGCTTCTTTTTTTTTATTGCACCAAGTTATTCCATTCTTTTCTTTTTCTTCCCCAAATATCTCGTGAACATATATTTTTTTTAACCAGAACCTGATTCTGCTACAAAAGTTGATATTCAATACTTCTAAGGAAAAATTATTTAAAAACTACTGTTCTCTCACCTAAGTTCTGGTATTGGTGTTCGTGGTTTACAACCGACAAAAGGAGCGCCACTTCCCCAAAGCTGATCCATATGACGATGTACGTGAAAACATCATTAATTATGATGACGAGGGTGGTGGAGAGGATGACATGACAGCCTTTGACATCACACCTCTGCAAATTCCTGTGGGCCCGGCCATTGGTAATGGTGGGCCTCTCATGGGCAAAATGCCATGTAAGTTACGGAACAGTATCTGAACTTGCTCTAACCATATTTAGCATTGATTTACTTGAAAAAATTGGAAACCAAGATAATGGTAAAATGAATGATTACTTTAGAAGTGTATGGGATGAGGGGTGGGTGTCTGAAGAGGAGTTGGAAGGAAGAGGATAAGGGAAGCTGATAGACAGGAGGTGATGGAGATTCAGAAAACTGTGATGGTTGTGAATGGGAGGGAGAGAGGAATTTAAGCTCCAGATGAATAGATTAATTATGGCAGAAAGAAAAAGTGATTAATTGCTTATAAGGGAGTCTGTAGTACTCTTGATTCTAGCTACACTACCATAATTGTAAAAGAATTTCAAGAAAAACTAAAGGTAATAGTAAGAGCAGAGAATTTGTTGGTGGCTAACAGTAGAGTAAATGGATTAGGCAGCATATTAGTAGTAGGGAAGCAGGAACTGCATAAATAAGATTTTATCCATATGTATTTTGAAGTAATTTATTTTCCATTTTATTAAAGAGTCTTATCATCTTTATTATTATTGATAGATGGCCCAGGAGGTCAGCCAGATGTGGGAGTATTCATTAGTGAGCACAAGAGCAAGGCTGACAATGATCCTAACGCTCCACCATTTGATGACCTCCGCAATTATGCATATGAGGGAGGTGGTTCTACTGCCGGCTCTCTCTCATCTCTGGCCTCTGGTAAGTTCATCACTAGTTGTCTCTATTTTCTCTATAAATACATATCTTGAGAGGTTGCTGTTATTTAGTGTAGATATATTAACTTATAGAATCTTCATATAAAATAATCCATTGTACTCCAAGGCATATCTAATGTGTTGGTATGGTATTCACATATGCTCTTAATTTTTCTTATTTTATAGTTTTACATTATTTTTTTTTTCTTCTAAGCCATATCATTTATATAGAGTGGAATAAGTGTTAAAGAAGTCCATTTTTCTGAGCACTGTAAGATTTATTGGGGGGTCCTAACTCTTTATCCAGCACCTCTCAATCCCTGTAGGTGCCGGATAACTGGGATTCTACTGTACATGTATTTTTCTTCCTCACAGGCACTGATGACAACGAACAGGACTTTGACTATTTGAACAACTGGGGTCCACGCTTCAGCAAGCTAGCAGATATGTATGGCCATGGAGAATCTGAAGAGGAGGAGGATCATTAAGTCTCAAGCTGGAGCCTTGCCATGGGATTCACCTCATTGACAGAGAAATTTTGTCTCTACCAGCATGGAGCACTGTTGACATTTTTTAACACAGGAGGACTCTGGTCAGGAGGGAGGGATCCGTCCCTCTATCTTATTATAATCTGAAGGTCTATGTGGAGATAGATGTTGCAAGATTGTTTCACTTACATCATACATGTTGCCTTAAATAGTTAATTATTAAATCAGCAATATCAACATGATTACCAAATCGTGAATCACATCAGTATGTCAGTGAATGTCTGAAATCTTTACTGGTGCTATATATATGAAATTCAATCTTCAAGTCATTATGGTTGCAATTTCTAAAGTTTTAATATGATTCATTACAGTTTTAATATACTTAAGGTGAATACAGTATTAGAATACTCATGGAGTCACATATGTAATATATAGCATATTCCATAATCTCCTTCTTTGTGGTAAAGAAATACATCCTCCGCATAGCCTCCTTCAGGTAGCCATGAATCAAGAGTGGCCGTGTTGCAGACTGACCACAGAGCCTCTCCAGAAGAGACTTGTCCTCCTGCCTTGTGTTCTGCACATTGATGGCATGACCCTCACAGTGCCAAGACTTTAACAATGAGGTGATTGAAAATGCCAGTGTTCAGTGTAGACTTGAAGCTCCCTCTACCATCATTTGTGGTGATGAGACAGGTCCTATCTATTTAAGAACTGATGGACAGCCAGCCTAGATCAAGGCAGTGTATCAGTCTCATTGATGACTGTGGTGGGAGAACTAACATTCCATAAAAGACAGTTGTGTGATAGTATGGGATGAAAGTGGAAAGAAGACTTGGATTGAATATTTACGTGTTTTTGTTATGACCCATGTTACGTGCCAAGTACCCCAGGCAAATCTTCCTTTGATTTGTGAATTACTGACTTTCAAAGTACATTTTGTGCTGTTCTTACTGAATTTTGTTCGTCCTCACTCACTACAACTGTGAAGCATATCAAGAAATACAAAGTTCAATGTATTGCACCACAGACTCTCTGTGAGGGCAGCATTTATTGGTTCTCATATAATGAGTTATGTAGTGTACTCTTAATTGTGTGCATGAGGATGTGGTTGGTTTGTCTCCCCTTGTATACTACTCTCACCCTTAGTTTATATCAGGTCAGTACTGCAACTCTGCATTTTGCAGGCTAAAGCCAGGCCTGTATACTCACAAATGAATCTCAGGCAGTACTGAATTACCCTGTATGAGGAAAGTGTTGAATGTATGTGAAGTTTTTGTACATGTGTAGATATTTAAGGAGGAGATAGATGTCTCAAAGAATGAAATAGTTCTTTTTCAATATTTGCTCATCTGTATGAAAGCTAGACAGCAAGATCAGTTAGACATGTGACGACAGCTTCATTATTGTAGGCATTCACTGATTAGAAGTTTGTTACTGAACTGTAGTCTTCTCTTGGTGTCTTGCTGTGCAAGTTTTTGGAAGAAGTGACAGTTGATTTCTCAAGTGCTGATGTTTGTAGATTGTGGGTCAATCATGGATGAAGTGACCAGGATATCTCCTGCTTAACAATTTTTTTTTTATAAGTCTGTCTTAATTTAAGTATGGTATTCTATACTGCAAAGGAAGCAATAAATGCTTGCTTACTGTTTTTTTTATTCTGCTTTGATCTGATCTTGTTAGTGTACATACATAACTTCTGAGATAAAGGAATATATCTCCACTTGGTCACTTTTGTCAAGCAGGTGTTTCCCCAGTTGAACCTGAGCCTCTTCACCCATGTTGCCCCACCCCACAAATTCCCCCAGGTCAGTTATCCTCCCATTCCTGTTCCCGGAACCCCATTCCAGCCCTGGCGTAATATGGGCTGCCACAGCCCGCCGCCCACCTACCCATCCATAGGTCTCGCCTGTGGTGATGTCCCCTCAGAATTGGAAGTCTTTTTCCAGTCCACAAGTTTATTTCTCAGTCTGTGTTAATAGCTATAAATTATCTTTGGACCCAGAAAATCAATTATTTAACAAAAGCATTATTACATTAGAAGAAAATATGTTCAGAATATGAATTCATCACCACACAACATAACCTCAACAGCACTGCCATACTTGGTGGGAGCAGGCTGGGTTGTTTAGTCATTGGCTTCTTGTATTATTATCATTATTATTATTATCATCCTAGTGTTAGAGCTATTGTGCACAAGTTGATCATAAATAGAACGGTGCTGGTCTCGGATCAATTTCAGTGGGTCCTCTCAGTATTCTTGGACCAAATAAATAAATTATTATCTTGTATCTGAAAGGGAGATGAGAAGAAAAAGAAATCTGAGTTTTCTTGTGCAGAGCATTAACTCCACCCACCTATGCACCAACTTAACCATGCTTTAGTCCCTTCATTTACTAATTGTTTCAATCATCAGCTGAACGTGACAAGGTCAGTGACTCATTTTGCCACCCTGTAGTCTCTGCACAAGACAACAAACTTTTCCCCCTGAAGTTTGCCGAGCCCAGCCAACATGTTTTTATAGCATTCCATATACCAAATGATGTATGTATGAATGCATTATTCATTTTCACATTTTGTATCAAAGAATTATCATCTTACTAGAACTCAAGGAACATTTAAACCAGATTTCTCTGATCTGTCCAAAGCATGGTGACATTGTGTTTGTAGACTGTAGTTCATAAAGCCAGTTTTCTTGAGCCTTATTGATTTCATATCTGACTTTCTTGATTATTAATTCCATGTCATATCCTTCATTGGCTAGTTAATTTTTCCATTTTTATATTTTTTAAATGCTCTTTACATCCCAATACAGAGAAATCTGGCTCATTCCCAGGCCGAAGTATTCTGTGCGATTTGTATGAATGTTATGTATCAATTTCAATTGTATCCTCGCTTATTAAATGTGTCACAAACCCCAGAATTTCTCATTGTAGTGTCTCAAGTCCATTTGCTATTCTTAAGAGAACTTTGGCCCAGGGAATCAGAAACGGTCAAAGAGTAGAAGAATATTTCCTAAAAAAAAAATAAAAAATAAACGAAAGTTTTGTACCCTTACTCATGCTGAGTTAAAGTTATCCAGCAGAAATGTCCCAGAATGGGCAAGAAGCCATAGCAACTAAGCTTTTGTTTGATGTTTTTAAGCTGTGATTTTACTGTGTCTGCATTGTCATCTGAAATAGATTAAAAGCCTTTGTGTATGTGTTGTTTTGTAACCTGTTTAAGGATTGTTCAAGTGTAATTCAACAAATATTGCAGTACAGGTATAGTGATATCCCTATTAGCCGGAATAATTGGTGCAAAGCAGTTCCAGGAATGAGAGATTTCTGGATATGAAGAGGAATTTTCTCATCCCTGGATTTTTTCCAGTTACTGGGAAAGGTTTCTGCAAGTCAAACTACATATCTTACATGGATAGACCGCTGTATTTATTTATGAAAACACAACTGTACTGTACATTAAAATATATTGTAAAGAACAAAATAATGTATACTACTACTGTACTGTACATACTTTACTCACCAGCAGATGCTGTTGTCTTGAGCTTGTGATGCAGGCAGACCAAATGGTGATATGATGATACAGGATGGCCTGCTTTGTCCTGTACCATCTATGTGACAGCCGGTCATTACTGTCACTCCATGAAGCAGAGAGGCAAATTAGGAGTGACGCAAATGGTTTCCACCGCTGACAAAGTGCTGGGTCGTGGTGAAGCATATGGTGGTGGGGATGATAAATGGTAAGTGTACAATCTTCGACGTTGTAGGTTGAAGTCAGAAACACTGTCACCACTGGTATTAGGCAAGCTGCCATAGGAGAGAGCACTAAGACACCTGGGGACTGGAACAGGGACCTTGGGATGTAGTCCCCAATCTTATGCTCAACTTGGTCCACTTCTGCAGTTCATCAAGAGCAACTGCTTGCATCTCCCAAAGGTTCTGGTAATAGGAGAGAAAGTGTAGGATATCAGTGGTGGCCGTAAAATTCAGCAGTCCGTTCAGATATGTCCTTACCTCTCTGAGACTGGTGATTGGAACTTGCTCCACTTCTTCCTCCTCATATTTTTCTTCATGGGACCTGATGACACCAGTTACTATTTCATCTTTGGTGAGGGAACCATAGCCATGATTGTTGGCGTCTACCTGCAACCACTCGCCCACATCCTCCTCAGTCACGGCAGTGTCACGGAAAAGGGTTTGGGACTCTTCCACTTTGAACCCCTCGAAGTCCACATCTTCCTACAGTAACAGAACTTCTGCTTCAGCAGCACCACCACCATTCATAAGCTTCTTCCACACATTCCTCAGTGTTGTCTCTGTTATCTTGTTCCAGGCTGCCTTGAGGTTGAATACTGCATCCCAGATGTTGTATTTTTTTATGTTCTTTCGTGTCATGTCCCCCATGAGTTTTTCTTCCCCTCTGGCACTGGCTCCACCACCAAAAATCATCAGAGGCACCTGTAGTGGTGTTTGCTGGCCAGATGACGCTCTGGTTCATGAGCTGTTGAGCTGTACGAGTGAGGTGGTTTCGGGCAGCAAAAACTTAACTCTGGTGAATGAGCAGGAGCATTGTTGCGGACAAGCACAGCCTTCTTGACCTCTTGCCTGGGGATGTCATGGACTGTCATCTAGAATTGTTGGAGTGCAGGGACAAAGACACAGTGGAACTAACATTAAAATATTTCCAGTGTGAACCAAGCCTTTTTGTTACCATGACAGGACCACAGGAAAGTTATCCGTGGAATTGTGCAGCATTCTTGGCCATCATGGGTTTAATTTTGTGGGAACCAGCAGCCTTGGCACACAACAGCACTGACACGCGCTGCTTGCTGGCATTGGGTCCAGGGGTGCTGCTCTTCTGCCATGGTGTTATTAGGCAGGGACTTCCAGTAGAGGCCTGTCTCATCCACGATCCACGTTATACATATAGTACTTTTTGATGTGACAGACAAGTTGTTGCAGCCTAGACTTGACACACTCGGGGTTTGTATACATCATATGAACGTGTTTTTTTTTTCCGCATGGGGTTTTAACATCTGGGAAAACAGTTTCCTCAGGCTCTCGTACGCTCTCAGCAGCTTGGCGGTGGGTCCGGTACAGCTGTACTCGGTGAACTAAACATACTTCACTACTCCCCATCCTAGATCATATCATGTAACTTCCAATGCTTTATTTCATGCCGAGTGAAAAGGCAATGGATTTTTTTTTCATAACTCTAATCACTTATTTACGGGGTCCTCTTTATGCTGCTGAAACGGATTGAGGTAAATCCGGTGAGGTCATTGGGATGACAGGTTGAATACTCCGCCGATACGAATGAGGTAGACTTGAAATTCACTCCATTTTATTTACCCAATGACTTGTTTTTTACCTTCATTTACTGTATTTTGTCATTCTATTTCTTCTTTTGTCTTGCATTAAGTGATTTAAGATGTATATAAGGACTTAGGCTATGATATATTGGGATTTTAAACATTGTTTTGTAAGTACGGTATGCATATACAGCTACTCCCCAACTTACGACCACCCGGACATATCAGCAACAGCCAGAGTTGAGGGTAGAATTGGGGGAGGGGTCATTCTTGAATTTCCTACTGTACTAGATACTTCAATATAACAAGAAATACATTAAATTATATTAATGACTGTACTGTATTGTTCTGAGTAGGTAAACAAGCCACTGGATGATGTTTACAATAACACTGAAATATACATTAAATGGAAGCATTTTGGAACATCATAACTGAGACGGAGACAGACCTCAAAATGGACATTTGTTGTAATAATGGAGTTTCATTCATACCGAGTTTCACAATATGCCTACTCATGTTGTTCACGGTAACTGATTTATGAAGTGACTTGGCAAATACAGTAGTACACTACTTGATATTAGAGTGAACAACTACACCGAACTCAGCAATACTACAAAATATAGCATTATAGCAGTCTACGTGGGATCTACCTTGTACCATGTTACTAATACAAGCATCCCAGGGTTACGGAAATTCGCTCCTACGGATTTTGTAAATTATGACCAATAAATTCGGGATACGGACAAAAATTCACCCTTACGGAAATTGGATAAATTTTTAAGTTTTTTTTTCAATACCATTAGAAAAAAATTCACAAATTGTACAATTTTTTTGGTGTAGATTTCTTCGTGGTTGGTACAATACTGTACAGGGCAAGGCAGGAGCCAGTAGTGCCCCTCCGTCTCCCTCCCAGTAACTCCGATTGCACCACCTTACCTCACCTAACGTAGCACTTAACATCGTTTGTGGTAAGTTAAATTCAAGTGTTTTGTATATTATCATAAGTGGGGTATGCTATAATGAATGGTTTATATAACGAATATTCCAATAACGAACGGTTTCCTTATAAAATTGAAAATGCTATAACGAACGAAACTCCTACAACGAACAGTATTTTTTATTATTTTTTGTACTAATTTATTATTTTTTATTACAAGAATTAATGATATTCTTTATTTCAGGACTTAAAATGCACATTTATGCACTAACTTTTTTACAATTTTATATTTTATTTTTCATTGTTAAGTGGTTGTATTTGGGGGCCTAGAACGGATTACCCTTATAACAAACGAATGCTATAATGAACGAGGTTCTAGAATTATAATCAATGTATGTCAAAAAAAAAAATCATAAATGTGCTTGTACTATGTCTTTGCCGAAAATATTTCTTTGGGAACGCATCTCCAATTATATAATGGAAGTCAATGGGAAAATTGGTTTCGCGTTACGGAATTTCATGTTACAAACAAATTTTCAAGGACACACACGTTCCTTAACCCGGGGGATGCCTGTATGTAAATTGCATTAATTTAACAATGAAATAAGGTTTCAAATCAAGGGACTTACAGGCATTTAACCCTCTTACAGTATATAAGACAGGCATGGTGTTTGTATCCATTTACAACATCCACTCCGTCATGTAATATACAGTAAACCCTCATTTAACCGACCCTCGAATAACCAACCCCCGCAGTAACAACCCACAAATTTCCACAAATTGTTCGTACCTACATTAGTAGGAGACAAACCAACAACTCTTGCTGTGTCCACAGCTCACTGTGCTTCTTCAAATCTCTCTACAACATTTAATTTAACTTCTAATGTAACACTTTTTCTCTTCTTTCTGTGACCACAAGTAGTGGTGCATAATGCACATTTAGAACTAATTGTTCTAGGGCTCAAATAAATTTATAATTAGATTTTAAGTGAATGTTGGAAGAGCACCAACAAAAACAAATATGGCACTCATGCTGGTCGCTTATACAGCTGAGTGCCTTCGCATTGAATTTTAAAATTGTCACACATTTATCATTTTCATTCATATTTTAAATTTTTGGCACAGTACAGGTTGGACCCCGCTAATCCGGGACCCAATAAGCTGGCAGCTTCGATGGTTCGGGACGGTGTTTGAATCTGGCTGTCGTTAGCTCCCTAAGCCATAATACAGTGGTCCCTCGGTTAACGAACACCTCGGTTAACGAAATTTCAGTTAACGAACTGCCTCCCATAAGATTCTTAAATTCGGTTAACGAACAAAAATTCGGTTAACGAATTTCTTACGAACTGACCTCAACATGTTTTCGCTTGCACTGGCCGGTCAACCAGCTTTAGTATTAGTCCGCCAATACATTAATCGGTTCTAGGGCTTAAATTCCTTACTATTTTAGTAAATATCAAGAAGTTTATACTATTCAATAATTTTAAAAGTTTAATATTCAATTTTTTAGTCATTTTAACAATTATTGAACATAATTGAAGGTAAAGTGACTAGTTTAATGCGCGGCATCCAGCCTCTTAACACAGCAAACAGGCGTTAGTCTCTCTCTGTTTTCACTGGAGGTAACATCTTGCTTGAGACTCTTCAACTAAATGCTTTTTTTCTGTGTTTCCAAGCAAATTATTGGTCATTTTGAAATATAATTTACATATTGACAATATATAATGCAGTGCAGTGTTGATTTAAAGAAAATAATCTTGACATACACCAAGAGAACTAAAATTTTATGGGTGAAATGGTGCCATGGGGTGACTTCTCTTCCACCCCAATGCCTTCTCTTCTTCCTTCTCCTCCACCCCTATTCTAATTCCCATCATCATCCTCATCATCCAGGAGCCTTCTACATACACACCTCAAAGTAAGTGAACTTTTCTACCATTTTTGTTGAATTTAGGCAATTTTCGGTGAGCTGGAACCAATTACCCAAAATCCCATTGAAACAAGGGTTTCGGTTAACAAATTTTTCGGTTAACGAACAACCTGCTGGAACGGATTGTGTTCGTTAACCGAGGGACCACTGTATACAATTTTCTCTTTGCTTTTTCTGCTAATCTACTTATTTCTGTGTCACAGTACAGTATACTTGTACCATAGCACTAACACTTTATCATAAAGAGGTCCAGTAATCCTGGGCTAGATTTATGCTGATGCAAGTTATATTGGTATTGTACCAGTAATAGTACATTTTATTAATTATTTTTCCTTGTTTTAACCTCGGCTTCGATGGTTCGTAATTTTCGTTAATTCGGAACCGGTCTGGTCCCAAGCTTCCCGGATTAGCGAGGTCCAACCTGTACTTCAATTATCCAATTTATCAGCTTTTCCGACCCACCATATAGGTCAGTTTAACGAGGGTTTACTGTATGGTCTGAAGCCTCAGAGGATTCACATCATTGGAAAATGTATATTGTTCATTCAGGCTCAAAAGTTGTGAATGTAGAACTACCAACCATTTAGAAACAAACCAAGTAACATTGCTTGTACAGCCTCGAATCACATTGGCCCTATGGCTAACAAAAATTTTTTGGGGTTACTGTACATAACTGTATTCAAGTTCACATATCTCTTTTGCTAAAGTAATTGAAACATTTATTGAATTCTATTTTTTTCATGCACATGTTTATGACGTTTGAGTGAAATCTTCCAGGAGAAACATTTCCCACATTCCTCACATTCAAATTTTTTTATACCACCATGTACAAGTATATGTTTCTTGAGATTACTCTTTAGTGAAAAACGTTTCCCACATTCAGTACAATCAAATTCTTTTATACCACTGTGTAGAAGTATGTGTTTCTTGAGATTACTCTTTTGTGCAAAACGTTTCCCACATTCAGCACATTCAAACTCTTTTATACCACTGTGTAGAAGTACGTGTCTCTTGAGTTCACTCTTTAGTGTAAAATATTTCCCACATTCCCCACATTCAAACTCCTTTATACCACTGTGTACAAGTATGTGTGCCTTGAGAGTACTCTTTTGTGCAAAACATCTCCCACATTCATCACATTCAAACTCTTTAATACCACGGTGTACAAGTATGTGTCTCGTGAGATGACTCTTTTGTGCAAAATGTTTCCCACATTCATCACATTTAAACTCTTTTATACCATTGTGTTCAAGTATGTGTGTCTTGAGATTACCCTTTTGTGCAAATTGTTTCCCACATTCTTCACATTCAAACTGTTTTATACCACTGTGTAGAAGTAAGTGTGTCTTTAGATGATTCTTACGTGCAAAATTTTTCCCACATTCCTCACATTCAAACTCTTTAATACCACTGTGGACAAGTAAGTGTGTTTTTAGATGACTGTTACGTGCAAAATGTTTCCCACATTCCTCGCATTCAAACTCTTTCATATCATTGTGTACAAGTATGTGCGTCTTGAGGTTACCCTTTCGTGCAAAACGTTTCCCACATTCCTCACATTCAAACTCTTTCATATCATTGTGTATAAGTAAATGTGTCTTAAGAGTAGACTTTAAGGAAAACCGTTTGCCACACTCTTCACAGGAGAACTTTTTTTCTGAGTTTGACATTGTAAACTTCTACTTAGTTACACTTGGTCTTGAGATGGGATGTCACAGTATCTGAAATAAAATAGTTTGCCTTAAATTATACTGTATTCTTATAAAAAGTACAGCGCAATTTATAAATGAAAACTTGAAGTGAATATATCAACTCGCATTATACAAACATAATTTAAATTACATACATAGTTTAATTACAGCTAATCAGGGTTTATGCCACATCATCATCACCACCACCATTATCACCATCAAGTTTTCTCATACATAAATTCTTTCCCTAAATAATTTCTCTTCTAAACCCTGATTAGTTATAATTAAACATGAATTATAATATTTACAGTACAGTATTAGGCAAGTGTCACGTCCTCTCAAGGGATGCAGCGGCCAAGTAGATACAGTACCAATCTCCTGTCCAAAGGGTCTTAAGTTCACACACAGTTTACCCAGCTGTGACCAGGTACCTAACATTACACGTGATAAGGTGATGTTAGTCAAGTGCATGCGAGTCACAATGCCTACTTCTGCAGTATTCATGCTACCCCTAATAGACCATCAGGCCAATGGAACCTACATTTATTCCTTTAATTTACGGCTTAATGAACTAAATGGTATACATATATATATACTGTATATATATATATATATATATATATATATATATATATATATATATATATATATATATATATATATATATATATATATATATATATATACTCTAGTTGATATCAACGTAGATAAGACTTGACACAAGCAGAGCCTCAAGAGAACTTCATAAAGGATTCATAACACCTTCCTGTATCACTTCAGCTTCTTACCCTAGCCATAATTATAATAGCATTTCATGTATCCATCCTTCACAAAAATTAAGTAATTTTTACTCTCCCGCCTCTCTCCCTTGTGATTCATTTAGTACTCAAGACTCGATGTCACTTTACTGTATTATGGTCAGTTTCCCTAACTCTTTTTAAGTCTGAGGACCACACCTGAATACAATGTTAATGCACTCCAGTAATGTCATCATATTCAAAGGGTTAAGAAACAGTACTGTAAGGAATAGGGATTAAGGTACTGTAATAACAAGCTTTGCTAATTGTACACAATAGGTTAAGTCATCTTAAGCTCTTCTTATAGAACATTTACATGAATACTGTACAGTATATTACAAATGTTATCTGTTAACACCTTAATTACACACAAGACTAAATTCTCACCTTTTTATGCACAAGACACAACCTGTTAGTCTCTGTGTTGTCAACCTGAGGTAATCTCTGGCAGGTTATCAGCCTGAAGTAGTCTCTTGTAGGTTATATCAGCCTGGGGTAGTCTTTGGCAGGTTTTATCAACTGGGGTAGTCTTTGACAGGTTATATCAGCTGGGGTAGTATTTGGCAGGTTATATCAGCCTGGGATAGTCTCTGGCAGGTTTTATCTGCCTGGGGTGGCCTCTGGCAGGTTATATTAGCCTGGGGTGGTCACTGGCAGGTTATATTAGCCTGGGGTAGTCACTGGCAGGTTATATTAGCCTGGGGTGGCCTCTGGCAGGTTATATTAGCCTGGAATGGCCTCTAGCAGGTTATCTTTGTTGTTGAGAAAACACAGACGATGACCAGGTAGTTAACTTAATCCTCATGAATGTCTGGAATGCACAGGAAGGATACACCGATAATATACAACTATTAATAGGATATTCTAACCATGATATACATAAAATATATGGGTATGGGTATATTGTCATAATGAGATACTGTACATAATAAATTATACTGGTATGCAGTATATTCTGGCAATGATAAACTGTACTGTACATACATAAAATATAATGGCATGGGGTACACTGTATTCTGGCAATAATATACGGTAAAGATTCGTTTTAGGCCATTACTGTACAAGAATTTTATATAAGACTATAGAAGTAAATTTGTCTTATGTTTTCATGGCGATTTGAACGAATATGACCTTTATATCCACCAGAAATGCATATGATTCATATACTGTAGTGTGGGTAGAGCTTTGAAGATGAGGGAAAATATGGGGTTAAAACACTAAAAAATATGCCAAACAAACTACTGAAAACCATGATTTCACCTTTCCTAACTTAGTAAAATCCTAATCCTATAAATAGCTTACCTTATCTAACTGATGGCAGAAGAAAAAGTGATTCTCTAAATGTTTTTGCCTGTTTTTGGAAGGCATAATGTGACTGACTACAAGCTAAAATTTTTGCGAATGCCTTAAATCTTCCAAGAGATTTGAACTGTCCTCTGATTAGTCAAAGCAGATAACGTGAAAGATATTTGAATATAATATCCCGCGAGCATGTGTTTGGTGAACTTAAAATTTTAATATTCTTTTTACTGCCTTCGTGTCCAAAAGATGTAAACACATTCGGTTGTGTACAAAACCAGGTTTGCTGATTAACTTTTGTACAGCCATAATATAAATAGGGTAAGATTTTAGCTAAAATGGGTTATAATATAGGTTAGGATATAAGGGAGGGATTTCTTTGATGTATTTTCTCATTAATTTATCCCACTGCTGTTAACTTTTAAGCTCTTCAACCTTTTTTCTTCTTGCCTTTTCTTACTTCATTAAGTATAGATATTAGTTATAGCTTAGTGATGTTACTTCATATATTTATTCTATAACCTCTGACCTTTGGTAGCATTGGTTCGAGGGTTAGGATACATGGGTATACTGTAATTCTGGTATCAAGCTATGGAAAAGAATGAAGGTAAATACTGCAAGAAAATAATACCCCTAACATACAAATAAAATGGTTTTTTAAAATGAAATTAGATTCCAGTAACACTCAACTACAGAATCAACTCACTGGCTTTACCCGTCTTGTACAGTAAACTTAGGTACACTATCCACCTACCCCATTCCTGGGTGTACATTGACCAGAACACACAACATTGTACTCTCATATAGCACCCTTGAGCACCATTAATACCAGTTACCTTAGAACCGTAGTTCTCAATAGTACAGTACTCGGTAACAGCACCAAAACTAACCTGTACATTAAAACACAGGATTAGTAGCTTCTGTACGCTACTGTGAGACATTTGCCAAGAAGCAAATTGGTGGTTAACATACTCCTGCTGACTCCAAACACTCGTGTAACTCGGAAGGTGGTATACATATACAGGGCTGCCTCACTTATCGCAAAGGTTACAGGCATGAAACTCGTTGCGAATAGCGGAGCAATTTCTCCCATAAGAAATACCTGTAATGTAAATAGGGGGGATACGGGTGGACACGGCAGTCAGATTTTAACACTTGTTTTACTCGATACATATAGAACACAAAATAAATAAAAAACAAGGGCATAATATCAAATAAACATCATTAACAAACACTTTGAGTTTATTAGATGTATATGTTTACAAGTAGTGTACAGTATACAGGGGTACTTACATGTTTGTGTGTGTGAGTGTTTGAATGTTTATGAGCGTAGGTGTGTGAGTTAAGTTTTAAATGTAGACTGTTAATTTATCTCTGATGTGCTGTGTTGGCATTAGGGGAAAGGGTGATGGTTTACTGCGGTGAGAGGAGGCTGGGGTCTTCAGCCACCTCACTCTCCTCACTGCCAGGGTCGTCAGCCACCTCACTCATTATCGCTATCAATTTGCACTGAAAGCTGCTGTTCTCCACTGCCTTCTGTTGAATCATGCGTTGCGATAAAGGTGTTTTAAGGAGCTGGATCTGGTCGTCAATCCACGTGCTCAACATCCGCTCCAGACTCTCCATCTCAGCATCACGGAACCTCGTCCCCTTCGTAGCAATCAGTGGTGTTACAGACCCGGCCATCTCCTCGATCTTGTCGACGCTTTTAACTATAGAATGCACCGTAGAGGGAGCCAAGCAGTGCACGCGCCCAATCACTGACGTTCCTTCTCCGTGTTCATGTCTTTTTACGATATCCAATTTCACGTCCAACATAACTGCCACACGTGATCTCTTGGCAACATTGCTGGGAGTTTTAGTAACTGGTCGCTTAGGCATTGTGAGATCACACAAAACACAACTACGAAATCACACAATACACACACCAGCATGTGTGAGACTGAGGGGAGTGTATGGCAGAGGAATACGTACACACACTGTCCTATGCTACGGTTGAGGCGCGCGGTTAAAATTTTTTGCGAATAAACGGGGCAACCATTGCGAATAGTGGGAATGGATAACAATAAATTGATTGCGGACGAACGGGGTTACGAATACCGAGGTTATGAATAACAGGGTTTGCCTGTATACTCGGTATACTCGGAGGAATTACACAGCCAAACTATAGTCTTACTGAGTGGTGGACTCATCCATAACAATGATGGGGGCTGGCGGTGTGTGCTCGGCCTGTGATATCAGCTGGCAGGACAGTGAATGTGTCTGGCGAACGTCTGGGCAGTTGACTGGGCCCCAGGGTAGGTGGTTAGCTCCCCACACCACTCCCATCAACATTTTTAAGGCTCACGGTATTTTGCCTATTTCTGTGATGTGTGGAAATTTGTTTGGACTGTTGTTACCGTCAAGATAAGAACATTTGGCATTGTGAGAAAAGACGAAAGGTTACTTAGAGCAAGAAATTTACTCACTGTGGCTTCATTGTTTCTATCTTTAGAGGCACGTGGCTGGAGAAAGCATGCTTGCATCCATAGAGGAACTTGTTACTTGTATTTTGTAGTGCATTTCTCAGGAAAGATTCAAATGAGCGATTCGTTGCAGAAAATTTTGATATAACTTTTGAAACTGTTATATATTGGAAAAGCTACTGTTCTGAGGTCTGTGAACATTGGTTGAATAACCAGGAAACCATAAGGAGGCCTGGTGTCGTAGTTGATACGTTTTGACGAGAGTAAATTCGGAAAATTAAAATACAATCGTGGCCAAGAAGTGAGAGGAGCGTGGGTGTTGAAAGCATTTAAAGTCTCCAAACGTAAATTCTTATTACCAGCGTATGGAGCTGCTACAGTACCCATGTGACATTCGTTACACTCACAAAACTGTCAACCACGGTGAAAACTTTGTGGCTCCTTCTAAAGGCATTCATTTGCAAAATATAGAATGCCTGTGGAAGGATATAAAGGGATGGGTCCTTCAGACCAGCCTCAAAACAGGAACATTAATGACAATACTTTCGCTGGGTACCTGTCCCAAGCAGAATATAACGATCACAAGACCATACTCCACCACTTCATCCTACAAACAGCATCACTGTATCCTCCAACATCTGTTAATTAAAGTATTTTTTTTACACACTATGGTTCCAGGAGGTGCTGGCTAGTCAGTCCTAGTTTCTCTGGATAGGAGGTTTCATTTCATCAGGGTTTTTTGTGTGTGTTTTTACCCCACAATTTCTCCATATCTCCATTCCTGCTCATTTCTGATTGAAATGAAGGCAATATTCGTTTGAAACAACACAAAATACAATAGGAAAACCTTTTTTTTTTTTAATTTCCGTGTTGGTTCTAAACCTAATCTTTACCAAAATAAATCATTACCTGATATACATATATAAAATATACCAACATGGAGTAATAGAATAAAACTAGCAGCCAGCTTATTTCACCTTAAGATTAACTACCCTAATGCTATCCTAACCTAACTCACTATTGGGTGGCCATGCCGAGGGAAGGATATTAACATTCCAGCATTTACCTCGTGGCCACATTAGAAATGGCCATGCCAAAGGAAGGATGTTAACCTTATTTACCTCATGGCCACATGCTAGAGGTGGCCATATTAGGGAAGGTCGGGCAGTGCAGCCGTAGACCCAGGGGGCTGCACTGTAGACCCAGGGGGAAAGATAAATTTATAGGCCCCCTTTTCGCTTTTCTACGGTTAATATCTGTAGAATACTTCTGTTTTACTTACCGATTTAATTCGATTAACTACTTTACAGATACATTAATTTCATATTGATATCACCATTTTCCATAATTCCCTTGAGGCCTGGCCACAGGAATTATCCCGACTTCCCCGCACTCTGGTCAGTGTAAATAACGTCATACAACACCTACACTTTTAACTTATCATTATTAACTCACCAACAATGTTCAGGAGGCGGATAAATCAAGCTTTAGTGAGAAAACTTGACAAAAATACATGAAATGGCGAACGTTGCGTTAGGTGTGCAGTATTGTTTAGTGAGGGGAACTCTAGACTCTCCATCTTGGCGAGAGTCGGCACTAATCTGTTCGTCTTGTCAGGCGCCCCACACCTTGTCTAATTTTATTTTCGATTCATTATTGCAACTTTGGTGTTAAATAAAAATCTCATTATATTATAACTATAAATATTTATTATAACCGTTACTTCTTAAACTTCCAATAATTGGAAATATTTGTTTAAACTTACGTCAGTGACTGGAGAATCGGACAAACTTCTTCATCCCTAAACGCCATTCTTCATTGGACTTTAACTTACCCGAGTTTAAAGAGACTGTGTCCTCACCCCTGCTGTTTCCTCACTTTTGCGATCAATGAGCTTAAGTTATCTCGTAGCCGCCTAAATTTTAATGTCAGACTATAGATTTCATTACATCCTCGACATTATATTCACAAATGCTATATATATATATATATATATATATATATATATATATATATATATATATATATATATATATATATATATATATATATATATATATATATATATATATACAGTGGCGGCTCGTGAAAAATAAAATGGAGGGACTGCAAGCCTCAATAGGATACACAAATTTGACCTACCTCAGGTATGAGTTGTAGTTGATGTCCACACAGTTTATGATTTTGGATAACACATCTCTGTTTTTTTTCACCTGTTCATTGTGTTTTGCAACTGAGAGCTTGTATGCTGTGTCAATCTGAGCTGCAATGTTCACTTTACCCAGCAACGATAAATTAATCATGTTATTCATATGTTTGGCTGACTGCTCATGTTTCACTATTTTCTGTGGCAAATGCCTCAAGTCAGTCACACCACTTTTCGTCCATGCCGAGTCCCCACCACACAATAAGCATGGAAAGCAGAATAAAGTATTTGCCTCGTCACAACCAGAGCCATTCACATTTCTGATAAACACTCATGTTAAACTGGAGTGTATATTCTTTGTTCCTGCTTGTACTGTTCTGTTGAATGGATAAAACTGGTGTAGGTCTTCCTCTTGCTTTGATTTCAGTCTTTTCATTTAATGTCAGCTGGGAAAAGTTGATGTTTTGCAAATACTTCACTCGATTTTCCATCGTCAAAGGGTAATTAAAGAAAGCACGATTTAACCACACGCACTGTAAACACGTTGTACGAGACTGAGCTGCTTCAAGTGCGGCGGCGGCGGCGGCGGCGCCAATTAATAACAGACATGAATCGTACAGCATTGACAGCAACTATGAAAGTAACTTAAATTTTGGTCTGATTTTAATGAAAATTCACTTAGCAACGTATTGAAAATATTTAAATAACATATAAAATGATATATTTGTTGGTAGTGTATTATTCAGCTGTCTCTCTAAAGGAATCATACGCCTGGCAGTGAATGTCTGGGGGTGACTGCAGCTCTGCAGCCCTATGCACGAGCCGCCACTGTATATATATATATATATATATATATATATATATATATATATATATATATATATATATATATATATATATATATATATATATATATATAAGCCAGTCGGCAACACAGTGTGCTTCTAGCAGCTATATAACGAATGGTCTCAAAATTGATCCTTGTGGAACTCTAAGCTGCAAATCGTAACATGAATAAATAACTCTCTCAAATAGATGGTATGGGGTACGAGATGTTGGGTTCACACTCAGGATGGGATGGAGAAAGGAAGCTCACAATGTGCTCTCTGTATACATATTGTATTGGTGCTGGGAAGTGGCAGCGTGCTTGTTTACAAGCGTGATGTAGAGAGAGCTGGTTGGTGAGGATGCTCAGAGGAGGACCAGCTTGTGGGTCGCCATGTTTAATGTTTAACCTGTAGACACCACCTTAATTACTAGTTATATTTTATGCAACATTCTGCGATTGTTTGCAGTCAACTTTTCCTAGATTTAGTTATAATCAGGTTTATTAGGTAACGAGAGTCCCACTCGGTCAAAGGTGCTTTAGTAGACGTAAAAAAGATAAACTCTTCACTCTAACCACAGTAGAGCACTAAGGAACACCTGCCAATAGGTGCTCCTGAGTCGAAAGAGCCGCTCTTGTACAATCTCCCAGGTGTTCTCAATGAAGTTTTCATCACACCTGCTTGCTTGCTCAACTCATAGCTCTCGTCACGTTTGTCAAACCAGCATATTATTCTGGGAAGAAAATAAAGTCAATAAGATTGATGCAATTTAAGCCTGGTGATACGGAAAGAACTATTAATGGAGGAAATTAGATTAGACGATTATAGTTTTAGTCAAGTAATTACCATTCAAAGACTAATAGGAAGTTTGTACTTTTTTCTAGTAAGTGTTTAAACTAGAGCTTAATTTTCATTAGCAACTCTTAAGAAATGGCAACACAAAGTTAACACCAGGTATGCCAATACCAACTTATTCTCACCTCACACTTCTCTTGGTAAATAAACTACCCACGTTGTACACCTGTAAGAGAAAAAAAACCTTTACTCACTAGCCCAAGATTCATGTGTACACTCCCTTCTGATTCATTTTGTAGGATTACTGGCCATTTCACCTTTCGGCTATTTAGGCCGGAGCTGTTTCAGTCTTCTTGTACTCGGTCTTACCATTCGGGCCGGGATGTCACCTCCAGCCCGACCCGAATGTCGGTCTGCTGTCGATAAGCCGACTCGTTTCTCAGCATTGAATCGTGACGACTACCTGATTGGGTCACCATCAAACTCGGTTTGCCAGCAATGCTGACTCATATCTCGCAAGGAGTCTGGAGGGTCAACATTAAACGGCCCTCCTTCAGTAATCCAACAGCGACTTCCCACCTCAGAGCTCCAATGTCGACTCCTCCCTTCAGCTACCAGGTCTTATACTCGTATACCACGCGGCCCAACTACCTCACCAATCACTACTTGTCTGGTTCCCCGGCTTTTTGATTTACCCAATGGGAAGTTTCTCTTCATATGACGTCAGAGGGTTACCTACATCGTGCCTGGACTAAGCAGCATTAACAGCTGTTTGGTGAAAAGACTGAAACTTTATTGTGATGTAAAAGATTAAGTGTAGAAGGTGAAAACAAAGTGTGAAAACAATACAAAAAATATAGAATTTTAACAGTAATAACCGCTTAATTTCGCATGAAAAAGTATTTACATCTATTCATAGATACATGTCTCAAAAATGTATACACTGCCTTACTTATCTCCATAAAGAAATTATGAATGTATTTTATAAAAGCAACATTGTCATCACTTTAAGTCTCGAACCATTTTTTTTCCTACGGGAATTAGCCCACCCGGACACAGGTCAAACGACCCACAACGGGGCCTGGGGGGCAAAAAAAACCTGAAAGAAATACCATTTTATTAATATTCTTGATATGTAAACCGTGGATCTTAGTGACCAATCTGTGCATATCAACTAAGACGTCTTAGTCATGTGAATAATTAGAAATTAGTAGCTAATAGATAAAAACAACGATTCTCGTCATCCATTACGACAGTTTGCTGTTCTTGAGGTGCCTCATTTTCTATTTTCAACATCGTATTTCATTTGAATTACATTTGAAAAAGTGTAAGAAAACACTCTAAAATAGATAAATATTTTTTTTTTGCTTACTGATATTGAAATATAATTTTAAACTTATTGAGATTTAAAAAGGGTTACATAATTATTAATTATCGGACGCTGGCAGCCATGGCTGGAGACTGGAGTGACCTACCACATCCTTATTCCCGACCCGTCTGTAGAAGGGAAGAGGTGTACTGTTTTACTGCGAGCTCTGGTCAACCGTCCAGAGGGAGACCGTTTTGCTACCAGCTCTAACGAGACGCCCATAACCTATCAAGTTTAGGTACAGATAAAAGGTGAGGAATTGTTTGTCCAGCATTGGGAATGTATGGATAGGTGGGGTATGTGCTGTATTATATAGACGCACTAGCGTAGCTAGGGGGGGGCGGTCCCCCGGGCGGCACTTTTGGGGGGCGGCACTTTTGGGTCTGCTCATCACCCATATCTGCAGCGACTGGAGACGTTAATCCATCCCTTTGTATCGGCGGCAAGTTAATCCTTGTCGTGTCTGACCTAACACCTGACCCACATCATCACGGCCACGTCATGAGCTACACCCTTGCTATGCGCCCCCCCCCCGCCACACACACACAACCTGTAACCTGTTGAGGATTAAGGAAACAACTTCAAACAAGTACGCCAGTGAGCTCATGTGGTGTGGGTCAGGTGTTAGGTCAGACACGACGAGGATTAACTTGCCGCCGATACAAAGGGAAGGATTAACGTCTCCAGTAGCTGCAAAACCATGCAGTCTCGGGTCATATCAGTTCATGTACAGCCGACCAATCCACCAGTTACAAGCAATTCACTTCAGTTCTGCACAAGTCTCCATCGTGACAAGACGAGTGAGTCACTGTGCAATATGTATTTTTTGTGGGGGCACGGGGGGGCGGCAAACTCAAGGGCCGCCCCGGGCGGCACACACTCTAGCTACGCCACTGTAGTAGACGTTTAACTACATACTTTACATAATAGTATTTCCATCTGTTAATATATAGGACTTACCCGCCAGGGCTGCATATTGTCAATACGGCCGTAACGTCTCACACCCAGAAAATGCCTCAAATTTCACCATATCATTGGAAGTTCTGTCTGTTTAATATACCGGGGAAGTCAGGTATGTTTGGTTGGTTAGGTCTGTTCTTCATACCCACAATGTTAAGTCTCGTTTATTTTAAAAATATAATTTGTTTTAACATTTCCAAACTACAGAAATGTCCACTATAATGTAAAAATGAAAATCCGGCGTTTATATAATTGTTTTCAATTTCGCTCGCGGGTTAGCCCTATATAATTATCTTTCCATTTCCCAGTGTTTTTAAGGCGGCGTCACTCACTTTTTTACTATTAACTTTTTCATTCCTGTCAACTTTTTCCACGAATCCTCGCAGTTGTCATTGGCTGTTTGTCAGACGGTACAGACCTTCTGCACTGAAAACTCCGAGGCTTGGAACCCATGCGTGAAGCATTGTCCGTATTCACTGCTCCCAAATGTGATGCGCGGTGCGTGTAAGGTCTCTTCACGGCAAAGATTCAAATGGTGTGGAACTGGTGTGCAGAAGGTTAGTACAGTATGTACAATACAGGGGGAACCACTTAACGAAGTGATTGGGAACATGAAACTGTGTTCTTTATTAAAGGGATTTATTTTAAGAGCTGTTTATAGAGATTCCAATGTATTTTGTTTTGTTAACTATTATGCTATATGCACAGAATATATAATAATTTCCCAGGTATGGACACGCCTCTCCGAGGAGTTCTTGGTAAATATAATTTGGTTGACACCGCATTTGCGTAATAAGAAATTAGTAGCAGTGTTCTTTGGTGTAGAAATGGAAAGTCACATTTGGAAATTTGCAAATAAAGACTAGGGGGGGGGTGAACAACTTCAAAGATTGGCCGATAATCCATACTAGGAAGTGTTTGTCTCTTATTACAATACCATGAATAGCGTTCTGCACGATACCCCCCCCCCCCTCTGATTTACATTTTGGACACTTAACAGATGACGCAAGAACACTGAGCCCTAAAAATATCAATGGCTGCTGCATCATTCTCCAAAACACGGTGAATAACGTGCCAGTCAGCCAATGCACATCCTTCGCACACAGTATCCATTTTTGAAACTAGTCGGAATCGAAGGTTACGCTCATTGGCGCTCGAGTATTACTTCCATAAACACTCACGCTGATTCGTGCACACGACTATGACGTAAAAAAATACTCCCATAATAAGAAAGACGGGAAAGCGTATACCTTTACCGACAAAAAAAGTGAGCCACTGAGCTCCGATCAACGCCATCTGTTGGCAACGCGGCTAACTAAAGCCCGGGTCGCGTGAGGGTAGTGTTTCCATGGTAACCGGCAGAGTTAGTTGTGTTTCACGTTGTTGTACAGTAAATCATTGATCATATAGAATTTACTGTGATATTGTATGTGTCAGTATGTATGTGTGTGTGCATGTGTATATATTAAGAACATCAAGGTATTAATATTACCATGACATTCTTAATGTGTACACACACATACACACAATATCACACAGTAAATACAATATGATCAATGATATATAACGTGAAAACGTTAAACACAATCTAAAGGTGATCTTGCAGGGTAGTGTATGTGGCCAGTTGTCAAGTTCTCTTTGCTTGTCTATTTCTCTTTGTATGGGCTCACATACGTACGTACATGTAAGATATTGTAGTGGATTCCTCCCCTACAAACGCTGAGTAGTTGACCCAGCGAATTCCCCAGTGTATGCCTCGTGGTCTAGGTCAACCAGCGCCACCTTACATGATGGAGGTCAACTATTAAGCCACGCCTACCTCCGCTAAATAAGACCTGACCTCGTGGTGACCTACCTCTCTCTTTCTACTCGCAGCCACCAGCAAACACCACCTCCTCCCCCTCCTGCCTGGCGGCCATCGCTCCCGCCGGCGAGCATGGCGACCCGCAAGCTTGTCCTCCTCTGAGCATCCTCTCCAACTAGCTCTCTTCTTCTAGCCACAGCCACCAGTAAGCAACACCACCTCCTCCACTCCTGCCTGGCGGCCCTCGCTCCCGCCGGCGAGCATGGCGACCCACTGTGGGGTTATGTGTTATTTGGTTCGTACTCAGGATGGGATGGAGAAAGGAAACTCACAATGTGCTCTCTGTATACATGTTGTATTGGATGTACAGTGCAGCTTGGTGCTGGGAAGTGGCAGCGTGGTTACAAGCGTGAGTAGAGAGAGCTGGTTGGTGAGGGTGCTCAGTGGAGGACCAGCTTATGGTGTAGTGGATTTCTCCCCTACAAACGCTGTTTGTCGCTGAGGAGTTGCTGTGTGGTGAGAAGCTTGCTCAGAGGTCCTGTTGGGTGAGGATCTTGCCGAAGGAGCTGCTTGGTGAGGAGCTTGTTTAGAGGTCTTGCTAATACTGTAGAGTAGAATAGAATGAGCTCCGCAGCTGTTGTGTTGTTGTTGAGATTGTCGGACCGTAGTCCGACACGGGCCTTTGCCTGTAGGCGGCCCGTTTGGTGGTTCTGGCTGGAGCTCCTGGAGCAGCCAGACCGGATTTGGGATTGGAGGTTGTCCTACCTGCAGATATGAAAGGATACTGCAAGTTGCAAGTGTGAGCTGACCCTCGGTCAGTGAATGCTTACCACCAACCCCCACTCCTGGACGTGGTCAGTTTCGGAGTGGCGCGTCCCCCGAACTGGGGTCCGCACTTGCTGGGGGAGGATACTTCCTAAGCTATCTGGGTGGTGGGTATCGTGTGATGACCCGGAGAAGGTGATGAATGTGGTTTGTTTGGCAAGCCTTTCGGGTTAGAGTGGCCGCTGGTGTTGTGTATTCTTCTTGGAAGTTTTGAAGACTGTGGGACTTCGCAGTTGAGGCGAGTGTTCCAGTGGGTTGGCTGCTGGCTCCTGACAGTAGGTGCATTCCCTGACGACATTTCCGATCATCTGCCTGGAGCACTTGTACCCTAGTCGTAGTCGATGAAGGCTAACTTGGGTTTGTCTTGGTGTTTTCTTGTCCGCAAAAGGTGGTTCCCATTTTGTAGCCGCCAGGTACCATTTGGCTGATTGGGAACCAGCGTTGAATGCGTGAAGGAAGCTCTTTTGGATGTGGAGCTTGGTAGTCTTTCTGAGGTGATTCTTGATCTATTGCACGCTTGCTGGAACTTGAATGTGTACGCTTCTAGAACGTGTGGCTGTCTTGGCTGCTTCGTTTGCCACGTCGTTTCTCCCAATCCCTACATGACTGGGAATTCAGTGTAAGATGACTGGGCGATTTTGTCTTTGGAAGTCCTGTAGCTGTGGGAGGATCGAGGTTATGATGTGGACGTTGTCTCTTGGTTGACTGTGTTGCAGCGCCTGCATGGCCGTTTTCGAGTCCGTGTGAATTATGATGGACTTGTGTTGCAGCGTGTTGTAGGGCCTTTGAGATTGCTACCAACTCTGTTTGTAGGGTGGAGCAGTCATTAGAAAGTCTCCATAGGAGGGTCTGACCTTGGTGGTGTTGAAGGCCACTCCGGATGTATGATGTTTTGGGTCCACCGAGCCGTCTGTAAAGTATGATGCTGCATCAGCTGGTGTCTCGGTGGCTATGGCTTCCAGAGTTATTCTTTTGAGGTCCTCCTTCTGGAGGTTGGCTTTGCTATCACCTAGTTCGGTAGTTTTGAATGTGGCTGGTGGAGGGCTCCATGGTGGAGGAACTATGTAACCATTGTCTCGTATGTTCTTGACCAGTGTTTCTGCTTGCAGATGTAGGATGACCTCGCTTGCCTCGTGCAACCAGGAGGCCCCTCGCACTCTGTGGTCGAGGTGGAGGGAGGCACTGATTCGCATTTTGGCAGCTGTGGGCTTATCTGATCTACAGATTTTGGCGAGGAGACCGGCTGTCACCTGCTTGACTCGTACTGCCAGGGGTGGTAGTTCAGTTTCCATTTGCAAATTGCAAATTCTGGTCCACATGGGTGCTCCGAGTATGGTCCTGAGAGCATTATTTTGGATAACTTCTAGCTTAGCTATCTGGTCTTCTCTCAGTCCAATGAGTGCTGGAGCACTGTAATCTACCAGCGATCTGATGGCGGCCGTGTAGTAGGCTTTGAGCACATATATGTTCGCTCCTGCGGTTGTGCTGGTGAGCGACCTCATCAAATGGTGTCAGCTCTTCGTCCTGTGCCTGAGATACTTGAGTTGCGGCTTGAAAGTGAGTTTCTGGTCGAACCAGATTCCAAGACACTGGTGGGGTGTTGGTCCAGACTACCTGTGTGTTTTGTATGGAGAGCATCATGTCTGGTGTGTCTGCAGATGGCCATCGCTTTTGACTTGGCTGGATTTATCTCGAGTCCAAGTCTGTTGCACTCTTCTTCTAAAAGTTGGAGTGCATGTTGGCTATTCTGTTTGCTCCTCTTACTATGAGCTGTAAGTCATCTGCATAGCATAGGAGTTTGGCTGTTTGTCTGAAAGGAAGTCTGACAAGATTTTCCATCAGGACATTGAACAGCGTTGGACTGAAGATGCCTCCTTGTGGGGTTCCGTTTTCATGAACCTTGTAGCTTGAGGTTGCTCCCTGAAAGCGTACTCTCTGTGTGAGGTAGTTCTGGATCCACCCCAGCAACCTTCCTTTGACGCCTTTTTCAGCAAGCGTCGTTATAATGGCCAGTGGATTTGCTAGTTCGAATGTCTTCTCCAGGTCGAGGAAGACCTGTGCTGAGTATCTCGGCGATGTTGTTGCCTGTGCCGGTGTTCTCGGTGTAAGCAAAAATGTGAGGGTGTGGGCTGCCTACTTTCCACTGTACCAGGAAGTTTAGCTGCCAATTAGTTATTCACCGAAACAAATGCGAAACCGTATTCAGGCAAATTAAAGAAAGGAAATATTTATAGGGTAATGCAAAGTTTGAAAGCAACAGTCTTATAGTGAAGTGTTGGGAAGGTTGAATTGACCAGGTAACGAATGAAAATGAAGTAGACATGTCAAGTAAAGTATATTTTAACTTTCTGGTTTTGGCAACAACATTCGTGCTGGTGATTGTAGTATTTTCTGTGGCCAGAAGTATTTAGTTTTATTTTAGAACCCTTCAAGGTATTATATTATATTCATAATTTGTTATTTATTTATGGTATACTGTATTGGTAATATCAGTACATTGAAACATATTTTATACAGTAAAATCATACATAAATAAATATCCACATAATTCATATAGTACATTAATATTATATATAATTGACGGTAAAATAGTCCTATAACTCCTGCCTACATGTTAACTCCTGAGAGAAAGTCTCTTACCTTGTTCAAAATGTCTTCACAACAATAAGGCTCTCTCTCTCTTACAACACCATAATACCTGCAAACTTCTCCTACATATTAATACACAAATGAATCTTGACAATACAATATTACAGCTATAAAAGATGCATAATACACTCCTACACAACTGCCACCTTTGACAGATTATAGTATTAAACATATTAATAGCTAATATATTTAAGGATCATATTGCCTGAAAATACCATAGTCTTAGGTTCTGGTATGGTAAAAGGAGCATTAGGACAGTTCAAAACACATAATCAAATGAAGAGACTTTAATTTCCATAATAAAAAACATAGAATCCCTCACATTCTTTCCATTACCCAGCAGTACATTATATAATTCTACTTTACATGAATGCAAGGTAAGCTTCTTATCATTAAAACATTATTTTTTAATCAACACTATGCTTTTTTTATTTTTTCCTCAATACAGTAAATACTTTTGTCCTATGTATACAATTTGATGAGGTGCTCGGTGATAGCTGAAGTGGGCAACACCCCAAGGTCGGTATAAAGTAGTGTCAAGTTTTCTGGCGGTGTGTAGTCAACCAGAGGATGCTCACGTATGAGGTCACTGCCAGAATTCAGGACAGATGCACGATGCTAAAGAAAGAACAGGTGAATTAATAAAAGCAATTACTGCCCTACAGTGGCGTCTATGTGTTCATGGAAGGGGGGGGGGGGAGTCGAGTCTCATGATAAGGCTATGTAAAAGGATACCCTTTTCATTTTTCATTCACTTTGTTTAGCAAGCATATTTTATTTACATAACAGCAAAATAAGCAGATATACAGTAGATTTAATATGCAGTTGCATTTTTGGAAACCGTTATAAAATATATTATACAGTGTACAGGCAATTGTGTTCACAGAATACCATGTTAGCCAAAAATATAAAAGAATTTTTTTTTTTTTTCTTCTAGGATTGTTGCAAAATTAAGTATACAGTACTTAGAGAGATATTGATTGATCTATCTATTACTTGTGAAGTCCAAAGTCAAGTAAACTGTTCTTACAACCAAATTCATTGATAACCTCACTGTAATTCAGTTCCATATCTTTGTGGAAAAACAGTAAAGCTAATCCATTCAGTCTTTGTTCTAACATAGTGGAATGCAGATACGACTTCAGATACTTTAGGCAGCTGAATGAGCCTTCACTTGTAGCAGTTGTCACAAGAAGTGTTGCAAGACTGTGTATCAGAGTTTGGATGTTTTGGTATGTGCCAAATTTTCTGCAATATTTTAGTGAAGCAACAGCCATTTTTGGTCTGTCTTTTCCTCCATGTCTTTTCCAAGTGTTCTGCCATCTTGCAAATTCTGCTTGTACCTCCTCCAAACTACCATCAAGGAACTTACTGTAAATCACAACTGCCTCACTTACTTCTGAGAACATTCTACTTACACAAAGTTAAGGTATCAGGTAGCAGAGCTCCTGCCATGAACTTGGTTTACAAGTGAAATGCTCTTTCAGTTGCAGCATAACTGTGTCAGTGAAAGACAAAAAAAAGTGTGCATGTAATAGAAGTATGCATCATCAGCTGGGGGATTAGATTGGGTCTGTTGTCGCCCTACACTTCTTGTGGCTTTAATGTGTCTGCATTCTCAAATAATCTTCTGAGTGTATCATCGTTTCTGTACATTTACAACACATCCATGCAGTCCTTCACTCTGCCAAAAGCTTGTACCAGATCCATCTCAACACCTCTACAATTTCTGAGATATAGGTCTCATAACATTTAAAATAGCTGATAGAACCTCCATACTTACAAGGAAAGAATCTGATGTCATACTCTTTAAGAAAGCCAAGAGATTTTCCCACGAAAATTGAGTACTTTGATGCAGATAAGTCTTCTAGTGCTTTTACAACTGCTGGATACAATGCTTTGAAGATTTGAGTGGTCTGTTGAGACTATACAACCCATCTTGTATAGGGCAGTGCTTTTTTCAGTCTATGAGTCAGAAGGACAACTCTCGGTTATCTTGCTCTGCAAATGAGCTAAAGGCTTGTTTGATTCCCTGAAGAATGTGACTATCATGAAAGTTAGTGCAAACTGAATTAATCTTAAATTTTCTGCTTTCTCTTAGCAAAGGTTAAGGCAATGAGACATAGGTAGCCGTGGGACACTTAGCTATTATATGCTTTTGTACACCACTAATTCACCTTATCAAAACTGTTTATCAATTATTACTGATTTTTTTATCCAATCTATTATGCAAACCTTTCCTCACAGCCAGAGCATAGTAGCACATAATTGTTTTATGTTCTAAATTTTTTTGGTAAACCATATGGTAGATTCACATCATAAATTACTTTTTCCCCTGGGTGAGGTGGGTTTTGTACTAAACCTTGCTTCTCCTGTCATATCAATTGGGTTGAGAAACATGATTGTGACATCATTTCCCTTATCCTCGGTTTTCAAAATATTCAAATCATATTTTGAAACATAAAATGAGTTCGCCTTTCCACTTTTAAAAGTTATCGTTGGATATGCTATTACAGGTGTACCCCAAAAACCGACGTCCAGTTAACATCGCTTCGCTTAACAGACAATTACATATAGGGGAAATACCTCAAATTTTGTTAATACCCCGGAGATCCGAAGATCGGGAAAGGAGCGTCAGAGCTCTTTTGAATTTGGCTTGCGCATCCCCCTGACTTATTTCTGCCACCATTACTCTTGTTTACATTTACTGTGTCTCTGACTTTGTGGGTTTTTTTGTCACTTCCAACTTGGTGTGTTACTTAATGCCCCAGTGATAGTTGCTCTTGTGCTGGGCAGCTTGATGTGATGTGATTAGGCTTAAGGTGTAACAAGAGTGGTGATGGACCAGCAAAGAGTGGGAGAGACTTGAACTTGCCACCTTAGGCCATCTCTACCATCCTCAACACAGGTAAATAGCAGTCTCATTTTATGAGTTCCATTGCTTATTTAAGGCTTATTATGCTTGCTTTATAAGTCTTCTTTATTTTCTTGCTTGACAGTGTGCACAACAGATATATCAAGGGTAGATGAAAGTTTTTGGAGGCGGCCAGTCCCTAACCCCCTGAATTTGTTAAATTCTTATGGGATTAATTGCTTTGATAACGGTTGATTCACTAACCAACGACTTTTCCCAGTCCTGATATGTGTCGGTTATCGGGGTATGCCTGTACAGTACACATTGTTTGCCCCTCCTCCTCCTTTTTGGGTTTTTTTTAAATCCTGGATCCACCCCTGAACTGGATACCATGGTTGGTAAAACAAATTACACCCTGTATAAACAGCTATTGGTAAATCCATGGTTGGCAAATGAATTATGTAACAGAATTTAAAATACTGTACTGTAATCAGTGTCTCGTTAAACCATAAATATTTTGGCACTACAAACTACAAGGACATTTTATTATCCTCTTTGCTATGTACAGTATAGTCATTCATAGTCACTGTTCTCTCAAGCTAATTTGTTAAAGCCATCACCACACCAAATTTTGACAGAGTACAAAAGTGTATGCGAGAGCATTTGCCGTTTCAGTTGAAATTTTATCATGCATAACCTATGCCTATCAAAACTCAAGTTATAGCCACAATTAGCACTGTATGGAATTCCTTGCTTTTAGTGTTTTTCCTAAATCATGTAACATCCTACAGTTCAAAACATTCGGCTTCAAATGTCTTCAAGCTTTGTTAAGGGGATGCCTCAGTGAATAGTTTTGACAATGACACTTGTCATCTCTCCCTGTGCATGCATTTGTTAAAAAAAATGAATAGAATATTGTTACTTACCAGATAAATTTTGGGAAGGGAGGAGTTATTGAGAGGAATTGTACGAATAAACTTGTAGCTCTCCACCAATACATAGACTGGTTTGTTCTTCATGTGAGCCAATGTTGCAAGAGTACAGCTCCCAATCTATCAAAAAATACAAATACAGTACAGTAAATAGCTAGAAAAGAAAAGGCAAGTTAAGTCATGGACGAGTTTTTGTAAAATTAAATGCTAACAATCATCACCTGTAGGATATGAAGCCCCAAGGTGAGCCAAAGTCACTAGCATATTTAGTACCCAGGTAAATGCACACACCATAATAAAGCAATACCCCATTAACTGTACCTCACCATGGGACCAGGAGCCAGGAACACTATGAACCAAGGCATGAGGCCATACAAATAAACTGATTAAGAGATAAATGCCAGAATAATAAATTTCTAAATCAATTAGACATTATGTGATAGAGGTAAGAAATTAGACATTATGTGATAGAGAGAGATAAGAAATTACAGTGTCCACTATAAAACAGCGCGAAATTGCAGTGTCTGTAAATTCGTTTTCTTTGAAAAATTGGAAGTGGATCAGTCATCAATAATAATCCCTTTCACTTTTCTCTGGACCACATCCCCATCATACAGTACCTGTATAGTAAGGACTCCGTGTGTTATTAATCCTCCCTACCTCACTGGTTTAAATGCTGCATTATTATCTATGTTTATGTTCAGGATAGTACATATTAATAAAGTTTGTTGTTGTGTTATGTGTAATTGTTACTTTGTAGTGTCAAGGAACCTATCTCAACTTTTATAATGGAAGTCTACGGGAAAATTTGGTTCAATTTACCGAATATTGATGTATGACAAAGGTTATATGGAGCCTGACCCTTCCATAAATCAGAGGACGACTGTATCTCTCTTTTCATTTAATTATCCAATTTAACCCAAGGAGTTTATAGAGATGATATGAAAAGATCAATGGAATCTATTGATATCATTGTCCCCAGAAAAATAAGATCGATTCACAATACTGAAACTGTTCTTATAATCCTGTACTGTACTCTACTCACCTTATTGAGAATCCCTCCATTCTCACAAACTCCCTCGGCTCCTACCATAACAGCACTGACTCGTTCCATGATATAACCCACAGCTGCATCCAAGATCACTGTACAAGGTATTCCAACTGCTCTTAAATCATCTGCAACTCTGTGCCTGCAAGACAAGCCATTATAAATTAATATATAATCTATAACTCAGCAAAAGATACTACAGAAAAGTGATTGACTATCATTGTGGATAGTATTGTACAGAGCATAATTTCACTTTTGATTAAAAAAATCTTAATTTATAAGTCACCTAAATATAAATATCCTAATACAAAATTAAAATTACAGTTCAGTTTTTGGGAAAATTTGATGGTAAAACACTGATTTTGGAGGGTCATACTATAATTCTGCAAGGCCCATACACAAAAGACCTTGTTCTATGAGAAGTAGGTTGATATATGCTTCATACACCTGGCAGCCATACTTCTCTGATATCTACTGTATAAACACAGGTACTCTTGGATGTAGCACAATTTTTTTCTCCCATTTCTTCAGCTGCACTTGTTTTATACCTATACTCGCACTTTTATTTATGCTTATACTATTACTGTACAGGTTGACAATCCCTTATCCGAAATCCTTGGGACCAGATGCATTTCGGTTTTTGGAATTTTTCCGTTTTCAGAATGGTTAGTTTTTTACAGGGATCAGCCCACCCTGGCACAGGTCACTGACCCACATTGGGGCCTGGGGGCTAAAATATAATAATAATAATAATAATTATTCATAGGTCTAGGTCGTGTTTCTCACTTTTGATCTTTTTTTCATTCTTGTATTTCTTTATTATTATTATTATTATTTTATTATTACAGTATTATTGTTATTATTAGTATTGTTATCATTCTTATTTTATTTTTGTGTATTTTTTATTAAAAATGTTATTTACTATGAATAATTATTATTATTACTGTATTATCATTATTAATATTATTATAATTATTATTACTATTACATTTTCACCCCCTAGGCCCCGATGTGGGTCAGTGACCTGTGCCCGGGTGGGCTGTTAAAAAAAAAAAAATTGCTCCACAAAAAACTTTCGGTTTTCAGAGCTTTTCGGTTTTTGGAATTTCGGATAAAGGGTTGTCAACCTGTACAACAAAAATGGATGATGGCAAAGAAATATTTAAAATCTTCAAAATACTGAATATACAGTATAATTCATAAAAATTTCAAATGTAATGCTGAACATTACTCCCTCACTTTAAACAAGTAATTCATTTAGAGAAAAGGGTGTTCAAGAAAACCTCTTTTAACATGGTACAAAGAGGGATAAGTTCCAGGCCGTCTCAAGACCCAATACTGAACCATTTTCTCGCAAACTAACATAGTACACATCTATCTCTCTCTCTCTCTCTCTCTCTCTCACACACAGTGTCACATCTTATGCAGGGGGTTATGTTCAGAAGAGTCAAGTAAAGCCAAAAATGTGTATGTAGTCAAAATTACCCTGAAAATCCCATAAAGTACATAGTTATACTGTATATACCTGTCCATAGCAGATCTGGCAACTTGGCTGCTTAGGCCAATTTCTGTTTAAATGTACTGTACACCACACACAGTATGTGCCATTTATTTTTTAATAATTAGCATAATGTCAAAACATGAAGGAAATTTATCATTGTGTGTAGAAGCAAGTGCTGAAGATGGGAGGGAGAGAGCTATCACTGGTGTTTCCTCACTCCCTGCTCTATTCTCACTGTCTCCTGCTAAATGGCAAAGTAGTATTTTTTTTATTATTATTTTTTTATTCCTCACATATACCTGTACAGTAATGTATATACTATTTATGTATAAAGAATAATGTCTTCCTCATGCATACTTCCCACCCATCTAGTTGGCAACACGGTTCAGGCAATTACCCAGCTCAGTGGGCTCACAGACGTGTGGCGGACACTGGTGGGTGTGTATGCCATGATGTCAGTCACACATTTAAAGCCCAGTAACCCACTGCCTCATAACACATTTACTTCCCAAAAATTTTCTTACTTTATAGTATTTTTTATTTTCCTTATTTCTAAGCCACATGAGAGTATTATAATGAATTTTTTAACTTATATAATTTCATTACAAGTAACAATACAAGAGGTGGCTGGGCTGGTACGTCAGCTACTTAGTTCATAGTCAAGGCCTTGGCTAGAACTACCTCCACACATGTTCACTTCTCAAACATACACACCCATGCTCTTTGCTTTCTAGTTTTCTTTTATATTTTCTTTATTTCTAAGCCACATTAGAGTAGTGATAGCCCTGTTAGCCGGAACAATTGGTGAAGAACACTTCTGCTAACCAGATGACTTTCTCAAACCCCACATTCTCAGAATGTTTCTAGGTGCTAGGAAATGTTTCTCGTGAGTTTAAATTAACGGAGTCTGTCAAAGCAGTTCTAATTAAGTTAAAAACTAAATTTGTTTACTAGAATAATCCAGAATAGTTTACCTAAAAAAAATAAATATGTATTTAAAAACTAAAAATCTATATGATACGGGCGTGAATGAGGCTGTGTTACAGCGAAGATTGGTATTTTCCACTCCCATGGAGCACTGGGGGATTAGTGGGTCTCGTGTAACTGACCTGACCTGTCACAATGTTCATACTGGAGACAATAAAACCAGTTTTAATTAAGTTAGACACAACTATGCGATTCAGTTTTGGTGCCCTTATTATAGAATGGATATCAATTCACTGGAGTCGGTGCAACGAAGAATGACAAAAATGATTCTGGGACTTAGAAACCTTCCAAATCAAGATAGGTTAAAGAAACTAAACTTGCATTCCCTAGAAAGACGAAGAGTGCAGGGAGATATGATAGAAGTATTTAAGTGGGTGAAAGGAATCAATAAAGGCGATATAGATAAAGTTCTTATAATATCAGAGCAGGATAGGACTCGTAGCAACGGATTTAAGTTGGATAAATTTAGGTTTAAGAGGGAGATAGGAAGGAACTGGTTCACAAATAGGGTGGTGGACGAGTGGAACAAGCTTAGCAACTTTGTAGTAAGTGCTGGAACGCTGGAAAGTTTTAAAAGGAGGCTGGATAGATTCGTGAATGATAGAGAGTGGTAGTAACTCTCGACAGGATCTGCCATGCACAGGCCAACCGGCCTATTGCAGACTCCTTATGTTCTTTGTATGTTCTTACCATCTTACCACTACAGCATAACTTTTTGGCTAGATTATCTGATCTTCAAATCTCAGTCTATCAATTCTTTATACAGCAAAACCTGCTGTTGTACACACAGTATTATGTACCATGTTTCCTCCCATATATGAAGAGTTGACTGATTATACTTTCCAACAGCTATTGCCACAAATCTAAACTCATATTCTTACACCAACACTAAAAATTTAAAACCTGTGTACTTTTAATAGTTTACACCTGTCTTGGTTTTTATTCCTCAATCTTTACTAAGAGTAGTTTCCACACAATCTTTCCAACTACAAATTATGGTCCAACTCCCATAAATTTCTTCCAGACACAATGGCCACTATCTTTCATAATACTCCCCATTTCTCATACACATACCACCAAACAAAAGAAAAAGATAATTCATACTTACCAAGTGTCAACACTAAATGCAACCGTACCTACCCTGAACAATCTGGTTGTGATTCTGTAACAAAAACAGTAAACTGTCTGCCTTGTCTGGCTGCCTCTGTCATAACTGCCAAAACATTTCGTGATCTTGAATGAGTAAGAATCACCATTCCATCTTTAATCAAATTATTACTCGAGCGTAATATCTTTCTGCGACTCTCTTGCATACTTTTGATAAAATCTTCCCCACGCCTCAAAAGAATTTCTCGACATGAGGCAAAATCCTGAAAGAAAATAATACAAGTTACTTCGTAATCAATATAAAGACTCGCCACTATTGTAAATACATAACATATGCAGTAACATACAAAGTCTTCCCAAAGAAATCTGAGAATCATATTGGTCCTCTTTATACTGTAATTACTTTGGGAGAGAGAGGTGGACAAACTTGACACTGCTAGTGTAGGGGTTTGATGTTAGAGGTCAACATCTGCTTTGATAATATGGTTTCTAAATGAAAAAAATTGAAATGTAACAGGAGTTTCCCACAGTTTCATGCGTGGAGGCAGACGCCTGCGAGACGCCGGGCCAGACCAGCAACAACGCTTCTAGGAACAACACCAACCAGGAACTAATCAATACTTCAACTCAGTTTATTTAATGTGTGTATCCCAAGACTTACAATCGCCATCACGTAATCTTCTATTAGATGCCTGTGTCCAGATGAATCTCCACTATCTACAGCACAGGCTAAAGCCCCGTCCACAAGATCGAACAGTGCCCCGCAGGCTTTGCTCGTTTACGGGGCAAAGCCTGTGTTGTTGTACACATGGGGGTGGTTGGCGGCAGTGGCGGGTGCGATATGATCACCATGGTGTGTCGCAGGAATAATCGCCGGACAGTTAAAGTGAAGAGCATAGCGTTGTGTACTATAATAATTGCTACTATGTGCAAAAAGAAGAACCAAATGCAGAAAAGGGAATGGTGCAAAGAGTGGTTAGGTCGAAGAAAATTATTGGGAAGTCATGCCACGATTTCAAGTGAACTGCAAGATGGACATGAGCAAGACTTCACCAATTACATGAGAATGGACCCCAACACTTTTTACAAACTTCTAGCTACATCCGGCAGCAAACCATCAAGCAGACTGACCATGATTTCGCTCAACGACAGGCACGGGCACTCCGCTGGTTTGCCCGCCAATTTTGCCCGATACTGGGCATTTAGCGCATGCCCGCTGGGCACTGCTCGATTGTGTGGGCGGGCCTTAAGAAACCCTTCCTTTACTTGTTATATCAAAGTTTATTCAGACTATCAAACCTGACTGTGTTGATTCGGGTGCCAATATGCACGAACAATTGAGTTGGGACTGTTTTAGTCAATGCATTTATGATGATTTAGATGGTCTCGGAATATAACATGCAACAAGGCATGCATCAGTGACATCAGACGCCATGTATGGTTAGCAACACGGTGTAAATTTATAATCCCTTTGTAAAACCCTTACACCAGGATATTCTAAAGAATTAGTGCATAGACTACTCCAATTATTTTAACAACACTAATTATAATTAATATGTTATGGATTTTGATGGTGTAGCCTGGTATTTTATTAGCTGAGATGTAGTAGGGTCTCGTAATTTTACTCTCTCATATTGCCAAAGGACCTGCAGCCCTACAACCAATGTGCATGCATAAATCGACATTCCAAATTCCCGACAAAAGTCATATCTCGCACATTGCTCCCCAACATCCTTGCTTCTTACTACTGTCAGCCTCTCTCCTGGCTCTGCAATTGGCCTCCAGGCACTCCACCCAGCTTTCAGTCCTTAAAAAAAATCTTTCTTCTCCTTTATCATTCTATCCACTTCATCATTCTACCACCATGTTATTGAATGCCTGGCTGGGCCCTTCATCCAGCTACACACACCTGTCAGCCGTATTGAACAGAACATCCTTAATTCTAGCCCAGAATCTTGCTACGTTGTGTCAGAGTTCTGTTACCTTGGTAACCTGATTAATATTGGAGGGAAAGGGGGGGGGGGATGCTGAAGCCTGATCAGTTGCAAGTGGCTGAAGGAAGTTTACAGAGCTGCTGCTGCCGTCTTTATTGTGATGTTGTATGCTAGTGAAACATGGTCAGTTAAAGAGGATGACACAAGTAGACTTGAGAGAGAAGAAATGAAAATGGTGAAATGAATAATTATGTAATGTGACACTGAAAGACAGGAGGCTCTGTTCAGAGCTAAGAGGGTGGCTGGGTATTGAGACTATTAATGAAGTTCTGTGGAGAGACTGACTGAGATGGTTTGGGCATACTGTAAAGAGAAATGGATGAGACCAATTGGGCCAAGAGGTACTGTACAGTCTCGTTCAAGATTCTTCGAACAATGTTGGAGACAGCTGGCAACTCAAGGCCGTTTGTTTACTATAATACGCAGTATTGTATAATACTATAAAGCAAAACAACAAAATCCAACCATTAATTAAGCAACGGGGAACTAAGTAAACATTCACCGAGAACCTTTTACATTCATTCATAATTTTTACTACATACTATAGTAAACAAACGGCTTGAGTTGCTAGCTGTCTCCAGCAGTGTTCAAAGAATCTTGAACGAGACTGTACATGAACCTAAATGTGGAGGGGAGAAGAGTCAGGGGTAAGCCAAGAATGAAAAGGGGTGAGGTTGTAAGAAATGAAATTAGAGTTAAGAACCTTACAAGAGAGACTATAAGAGACCGTGCACCAAGGAGAGCAGCCATAAAACGATGAGGATTTCCTTACAGGGTTAATCAAGATTGGTTTTAACCCACTGAGTGGTAAAGGTTTCTCTCAGCTCAAAAGAAGCATCTGGCATTAAATACCCAAGTGCAATACTAATCCTTAAATGGTCAAATTATAATAGCGTACAGTACAAGAATATAGAAATAATTTCTGTCTACTGTAGTTAAAAATGTAGAAGTAATGAACATTTATGAAGAAAATGTTTGAGGCACACAAGTGTGCAAGGGAGCATATCTTTTGGATCAATTATTTTTTCAGCTGAAATTTGCACTGCAGTAACCAGTAAGGCTCATGCATACCAATGACTGGCCCATATGCCCAGCTGAAAAATGAAAGCGAGTCCGATAGGCAATATAGATTTAGAACACTGTATGCTAAGCCTTCAGCACACAAGGAGGCAGCATGGTCCTTACTGCATTCACTTCCCTTAGTTGTAAACTTAATTATCCGTTTACATTTGGGTGAACTGGGAGTGCCCGGGAATCAAACCACCGATAAAGCTGTCACCCAAGCTCTCCTACTATGCAGTACATCCCTTTAACAAGGTGTAATTTTCCAGATCCTGATAATGACCTTGCAGCTTGGGACATGGGTCATTTTAATTCTAATCACTTTCAAGATATGATTACCACAGAAAACTGACTTCCCCCTATACTGTAGTACATAGAGAGATTGTTACCAATATTCACAATGCCTCATGTATTCTCTTAGCTTTTATGAGGTAAATCCACCACCCAATACAAAAACTACATTACCCGATACTTTTATTCAAATCTGCAGTCCCGGGTGCTTTTAACTTCTGGCCAATAAAAAAATATATCGTGGAAATGTCAAAATCTGGCTCTGTTAACAAAAAGTCACTAATAAAAAACTGGTTATATAATTACTTGGTCTTACCGCAGCCTGCTCTAATTCCTTATGCGACAAAGTGATGAAACGCAAAAAAAGTTCACATCCGGATGACACGGACACCACCGACACATCCGTCTTACTCAGAGCTTCTCGTGCATCTTTCATTTTCTCTGTGAAAGGAAAGATCAAAATGACATGACTTCCCTTTTATGGATCAATTAATAATGCTACAGTTTAATAGTCAATTAAAATACCTGTAAGGAGAAATCTACTTTAGGTATATCAGAATTATAAAATCCTATCTCTAAATGGACTGCACCTTTAAACTCTAAACCATGTTCACATTCTTTAAAATGATGATTATTCCATTTACCAATAAACTCCTGTAATGTTGTTGAATCATCCAGTCGTAATGACTCCATCAGTGCTTTCATGGCTGCAATAGCTGGTGACATGTCATCATCACTAGCAATTTGCTTCAAGAAGAAAGCCGATATATCTGCAAAAATTAAATACAGTACCAAAATAACAATAGCTGTATTATCATTCTTTTACCAATTCAATTTAGCTACATAAAAATAACCTCCCATCAATCAATATAGCTAACATGTTATACTACAGGCACAGTATAACCTTTTAACTTTTCCAAACCTATCCTTACTACAGTACAGTACAGGAGGTCCCCGATTTATGAACGCCCGCTGATATGAGCGGGATTAAACTTGAAATTTACAGTACTATATTATTTACTAACTTATTTTTTTACTTTCATTTACTGTATTTTGTCATTCTAGTTCTTTTGTCTGAAATTAAGTGATTTTTAGATGTATATTTTTTTTATGGGAATTAGCCCACCCAGGCACAGGTCATTTATAATGCCCCACATCAAGGCCTGGGGGACGAAAATATAATTAAATAATAATAATAATGGTAATAAAAAAGAAAAAATAATTATAAAAAATGATCATAAAAATATATACAGTACTTTTTTTGTTTAAGGGATTAGCTCACCAGTTGCCTGGTGTCATTTTCTAAATATTACCGGAAAATTGGTTATTTATAAATTAAACCGAACCTAACTTTAGTTGATAAGAAAAATCAGCAGCACAAGCATTGGTAAAAGACCTCACCAACTTAACCAAAGAAACCTACCTAACCTTACTTAATTTTTTAGCTGAGGCTCCAAACCCCCAGGCATATTAAACAAAACTTACTATTATATGGTGTAATTTAACGTTTTATTTTATGTGTGTGTGGACATGAGAGCAGCTGCCCGAACCGTGTGGCAAATTATCAACCAAACGAGAAGCAATTTCCATAAGAAGTATATCAAACTCACTGATGAAAATATAGGTAGTAAGAATATAAACCTTAAAACAAATAATGAGTCGTCTGTGAAGTCCTTCATATTAGCCAAAAAAAATTCAATGACAGAAACGAGAATGTATTTACCAAATGACTTCATCTTAAAGCCGTACAGCTGTAGGTCACCACCAGTGGGGTGAGGATGGTGTACACATGTTGTTCTCACCCATAACTTGTCTCTCCAATCATCTACTCACACAAATAAATGTATGGTGTGATCTTGATTATTTTTGCCTATATTTTTTTAAGTGTTTTCAATACAATAATTTGACAAAATTATAATGAATGCATATAATAATATATATAGTGGAAATATTTTTTTTTTTTTACTATTAATCAAAGCCTCGCTAATAACCTATGTATTTTATAATGAATATTTCTATAAATAATGAGAATTTTATGTAAGTTAAGTATATTAATTTTGTTTTGAATTTATAATTTCGTTAAAGAATTGTTGGAGTTAAAAAAAAGACTGAGACATTTATCTAAACCTTATAATTAATGACAGTTATAATTATTTATACAATATTTTGTATATAGGTTAGTGTAATAAGGTGTGAGACAGTATTACATCATGTGGAGATTCTGAATGTTTATAGAATCGATCGAGGAGCAGCAGACGACGTCAGGCGCGGTCGGTGACAGGTCTTCACGCCCACACGCCCTAACCCACACCCACACACCCTCACCCACGCCCACAATCATGTGAGGTCAGCCACAACACTCATAAGCTCTATTTTCTAATGCATACATTCATTTTATGAACAGTGTCTTTGTATGTCGGGATATTCAGATTAAAGGGGAATAACAGTGTGGGTGGACAGGTAACGATCTGGCAAATTTATTGTTTTTACTTGATTTCTTCTTAGTTTCTTATTAATCGTCGTTACTAGCTTCTAGTGTATATGGGATATATGTGAGTGATATTCTTATGCTAAGAATTATATATTTATTTGCATATGAACAGGAGTTTGGGACCATTGTTACACTGTGTCAATCATATACTGTACAGTAATAACTACAGTGAATACTTACAATGTAACTACTGTACTGTTCATGATGCACCTTATTTACTGAGCATGGATATATGTGGAGAGGAACCTACCCTAAGAATCAACTGAATTTCAGATTATTTGCAGCCATCTTTTGTCAGCATCATGGTTAGTGTCACGTAGTGTAGTCCTGGTGTCCACACCTTTAAACTGGTTATATATTTCACTGTACACAATTGTTTTCTCTCTGCACCATAGACTGAGTTAGCATGACTTGATGAGTGGTGTCAGTGATCGGGTGTTTGTGGTTGACACTTGTGCTCCATTTTGATGGTACTGTACAGTAAATGCAGACTGGATCAGAATTCACGACTTGAGCCTTTGTAGACATACCACAACATGTACTGTACTGTATGGAGAGTTTTACTTTACCAGACTTATCTTGCAACTGTTGGATATATTTCTCTTGGGCTTAAATTAAAATTTTCATGCTTTGATTTTGCTGAGCACCTTTGTGTTAACTACCACAAGCCAGTATAGGTCTCTCCCCCATTATTGACGGCTGGGTCATGGTTCTCACAAGATGTACTGCATCAGCTCGTGTGTGAGCTCCCAAGCAGAAGGAAATTAATTAAAATTTATGCTATTATATTTGATTCTGGAGACCAGGATAATCCTCCCATGTATAGTGAGAGTGGTATAAGTGAAGGTATTTAGAATCATGTATTGTGGATCTTAGGAATGTCAGTGATGAGGATCATTACCATAGATTTATTGTAATTGAAGGGGAGATGACTTCTGAGACTTGTAGAAATGCTCTCAGAACATAATACATCTTTTGCATTATTTTAGAAATCATAATACTTTGTAAAGAATTAGTTTGACTGTTTCTTGCCTTATAATGTGAAGTCTCACAGTGAAGTAAATCCATAAGTTGACCCTATCATGTGTCTTGCTGGGTCTTCGTTATTATTATGACCTAACAGGCTGACTCCGATGTCACATCTTGGAGGAGGGGATTGATTTTGACCCGAGTTGACAAGTGTTGACCAACCTCAATGTCGAGGGATGGGATGTCGTGCCCAGCTGTACTGTTTCTTCCTCAAGTTTCTCAAGTAGTATGAAAAGTAAGATAATTATTGACGACTGATGAAAATATAGTAAGAATAAAAAACATCCAAACAAATAACACGTCGGCGGGTTAGTTGTCAATATTAGCCAAAAGTAATTGGGAAAATATTAATCTAAAACAGTGAGTTTTCAAAGTAGTGCAGCTCTCCTTTGAAAATTTGCCATCTCAGTAAGTAGCTTCAACATAGAAAAAAAAAATCACAAAGGCACCATTTAAATGCACATTATATTACTAAAAAAATACAATAAATTTGACCAAATGCTGATCTATCATTTGTTCACTTAACTGAATGTCCATTTCAAAAATGAATTTTTACTTGCATAAAATATAAATATTTCCCAGGGTTTTGCAAGCAAGATTTTTCCTCTTCATGGGACATGAGTTTGACACCCTGCTCTAGGGCTGTGCCCAAGGCGGTGTTCTGCAGTGCGGGATTGTAAATTTCAACCTGTTGAATGTTTGGGTAAATTCAAATGTCTGAGTGTCAATGTAAAAAAATTGCTGAGTAGTTAGACATTGTCAAAAATGTCCAAGTTTGCGACGAGTCTCATTTAGAAAAGGGTGAAATAAAGGGGTTTTGAGTGTAGAAATGTACCTGTTTTTGTATAATTCATAAGACGAAATTAAATTTATCTTTGAATCACACTACGGTAGGTACTGTACTGTATTAGAAATTTGATTTGACATAGACCGTAGTGAAATCTTTTATATATTACTGGGCATATATTTATGTTACTGCAGTAACTATTTAAAGTGCTTTATCAGTGAACAGTATACTGTACAGGCTTATCACTGAATTTTCCCAGTCAAGTAAGAGTAGTCGGTTGCGTGGCACTGGCTGTCACAGTGCAGGAATTTTATATGATAGGTTAAATTAATTTAAGTAAAAAGTCACACATTAATTATGGAGCAAGTACTGTAGTACGTACAGTGTTCATCTTCCCTAAACATCCAAGTTTTCCAACTCTTGATGATTAATTTACAGTATGTGGCTATAGATGATAGTCTATCCTGTCTTGTCTTACCAATATTTTATTGATCTTGTGAAATATGTTGTAAAATAATAACTTCGTTATATTTTTCTTTGTGTGGATTTTTATGCAGATAAATGTGGTTAAATTTTATTTGTCATGTCTGATAAGCATATCTGTGGGATTTTTACCAGCTTATCGTGTTTATCTTATCAAGGATAGTGTGAGTTGCTTATTACTGAACTTCCTCAGTAATGTATTGTACTGTACAGCCTTAACCTGTGGTGCTGCTGATCTGTCAGTGTGATGCCATGTCTGGTCATATTGGTATTCATATTATATAAAATTATATGTTTTGTGAAAAATATTGTTCTGGCAACAAGAACGTTTTATTTTCTATAACTTGCACCGATTAAGAATAACAGTACAGTCGTGTTGCATCTTACATGCATTTAACTTACACTCTTTCAACTTTACGACTTTACTTGCTTGGCTTAGCAAGAAAAGAACGATGCAGTTCTGCTAACTGACCCTGTGCCTGGGTGGGCTATTCCCCGTAAAAAAAATAGGAAACGGTTACTAAGGGTCACTTGTCAGAGGCAGCACATCCCAGCTGAGTTGCGAAGCAGTGCATGCAATATCTTGTATAATTTTTGCTCTTTTATATTTTCATTATTTTTCCTAAATATTCTGTGCTGAAATCAACTTGCCAATAAGTGGTAAAGATGATAAAGTAAATTTACAGCACAGATGGTTGTGTGGTGCACATTTAAACTGAAATATGCCGAACCAGCTGAGTCGCCAGATGCGCTACAGTATTTACAAACTGCCCACTGCATCCACACTTACGATCACCCCCCATTCTGAATACACACCCATGCTCTTCATATTTCTAATTTTTATAGTTTTATATTATATTGTCTTAATTTCAAAGTCACATTAGAGAATTGAATTATTTTTCTACAACTTTTACAGCCAAGACATGTTCACATGCCAGTGGGCCTATGTGCCGTCCCTCTGGGGCCCACACACACACACACACACACACACACACACACACATGCTCTTCATTTTTCTTAATTTATTGTTTTATATTATATTTTCTTTATTTATCAACCACATTACAGTACAGGTATATATAACCATGTACTTTATGGGTGATTTAAGGGAATTTCAGTAGTAATTTTGACTACAGTACAGTATATGACTTTTGGGACGTAAGGTGTGACATGACTGTAGTAAGCAAATTACTGTACCATATATATCTTATTAATATCCAGCTGGGAAGGTGGAATAATTATAAGGGGCTACCGGCTACCTTTCCTTGATATCTTATATGGCTAGTTACCTTCATTTTTTACCACACAGTACAGTACTAGGCGGCATTAGTAAGAGCCTAGAATAGTATACAGTGACTTATTTTAACATGTTCTTGGTTGTATTGTTAGATTTTTAAGTGGTAGGAATCCCAAGGGGATATATTTCTTGGCAGCATCTTGGTACATTACACTACAGTATACTGAACAGTGTTTTCTTGGGAGGTAGAAGTATTCATTTCCATATATTTGGTCTCGGAAGCATTGGTCTTCATTTTCATTAATGCAGATCAACACCTTCTCCCTGTGTTCTTTAAATTGTTCCTCCCTCCCAGACACAAGGACAATGCCCTGATCTTATGTTCAGTATGAAGATTAGTGTAGTATTTTTTTTTTTTCAGGAGTGGAAGCAGCATTTACTATGGAGGATTACAAATTTCTCTTCAAGGTGGTGCTAATTGGTAATGCTGGTGTTGGAAAAACCTGTCTTGTGCGTCGATTTACACAGGTGAGCCAACCATTATTTACCAAGAAGAAAGTGTATGGTCAAAAACTTATTACCAGGGTTGTAATTTAGTTACAGAACCGTGAGACATACGTTACCTAAAATGCATCATGCTGTGCAAATTCAGACTGCAGTTGTTCATGGTGGTGATACTTTATTTAATAAGGATAAATCAAGAAACAACAAAGCATAGCCAGTCTCTATGATATGCCTGCGACTTGGAGGACAATCCGTGGTAATGCAGATTGAGATGAGACTGTGACAAGTTGAAGCTCATTAAGTGAACAGTTTCTATAATTGGTTCCTCATGCTAATGTGAATTTTGTGTTGGCAATGATAAACTAAAATTTTTCTGTGTGTTGTCTCGCTTATTATCTAATGTTATAATAATGTATTAAGATAAAGCATTATATTTTTTATGTCATATTAATAATAAGAAATACTTAATTGTGACTCTTTTATGTGATAACAATTATTAACTGAAACTAACTGGTTTTGATGCCCCCATTCTTTAAATAGCCAAAATTCTAAACACATGATATGCTTCTTTGACATTAATTTGATAATACACCAGGCAGCTTTGAAAGCAAAAGATTATGTTCTTTGAAAAGATAGAGGCTTTAGCTTTGTGTAAAATAGGAACATTAAACTAATTTTATGACACTTTTTTTTGGTCTGGCTACTCACCTAATGCAATACGTACTCAAACAACGTTTTTTTAGCCGCCTGTTTCATCATAACGTCGTCACTGGCGTGGACTAGAAATTACAGTTGAAATGACGTTGGAGCCAACACCCTTTAGTGTACTGTACTTAGATTACAACTCCTTAAGCACTGTTGTTAATAGACTGAAGCATATGATGCAGTTGAGAATACAGTGGTCCCTTGATTAACGAACACAATCGGTTCCACAGAGTCGTTCGTTAACCGAATCTATTATTTCAATGGGATATTGGGTAATTGGTTCCAACTCACAGAAAAAGTATACTGTACTGTACATACAAAGTACTGTATACTGGTACAAGTAATAGAATTAACAAAACATTAAATATAAACTAAATACAGTACTGTACTGGACAGTATACTGTACAATAATAAATAAAAAACAATAGAATATTGTATTTTAACTTGCTTTGAGGTGTGTATGTTCTATTCCCGGCAGCTTTGTTTACATATCAAACGGCTGATTGTAGAGGCAGTTGACGATGACATACCATATTCTTTACAGAGTGCATTGGTTCTAATGCCTTCTTCGTGTTTCATAATAATTTTTGCTCTGTATATTATCAATATGTTAACTAAATATTAGAATGACCAATAATTTTAATGTAAAAATGCAAAAAAATATTCAAGAGACCAACAAACTGGAAGTTCACTCCACTGTAAACAAAGTTAAACTGAGAAGCGTTGTTGGGTGATTCAATCAGCTGATGGGCGCACAAAAACTGTTCCCTGTACTGTCTGTATTACCAATATGTTAACTAAATTTCAGAATGACCAATAATTTTAATATAAAAAATGCAGAAATATTCAAGAGACCAAGTTTCTTGATATTTACTCCACTGGAAACGAATGTAAACATAGAACCAATTACTGTATTGGCAGACTAGCCGATCAGCTGATGCGCACAAGAAAACGTGTTTCTCGTAAGAGGCTTTCTCGTTAATCGAAGTTTTGTTCATTAATTGAACTGAAAATCCTTATGGGAGCTAATTCGTTGACCGAAATTTTGTTAGTTGTACCCCTCATTGATCGAGGGACCACTGTACTCCAAAGCCCAGTTTATTGTATATAGATATTCTAGTTACAAGAAAACAATCTTTTTGTATTATCAGAGCATAAATACTGAAGTAGTAATCTTTATTTTTAAAACCAGATGTTTGACATTTACTGTGTTTCTTCTATTTGTACAGCTCCCTGTAGTAGCTGTGGCCATTATGAACTGCTATTGTAACTTTGAGGTTACATAATACACTGGATAGACGTAAGATATCAAGCGTACATGCTGGGAGATATAAACAAACGAGTCCAGCTTCATGGGTACTCCGCGTATCCACGCTTGGTGGTAGCAAACGCCAAGAAATCCGCGCCAAATAATTTATAATTCCTGTTAATAATTTTTTTTTGGGGGGGGGGGGATTACCCCTATTTCTGTAAGGTCGAATTTATGGGCAATATCCCAAATTTAGTGACCATAATTTACAAATTCTGTTTGAGCAAATTTCTGCAACCTGAATTTCCATAATGTGGAGTTTACCTATACTCTGTACAGTAGTTGAATACAGTACAGTATTAGCTTAGTTTAAATTTATCGTATTGGATATACAGTCAAATAAATATTTTCTATAAAAGTTTCATTGAATTTACATATATACATACGTACAGTATAGTAGACCCTTGCAATTTGCAGGTTTGTGATTCGCGATTTCGACGATTCACAGTAAGCAGATGGTGGCTGGCTTGCAAGCCTTTTCCCGCATCACAATGAGTCACCCCAAGCAGCATCTTGTGTTATACTCTCAAAACTTTAGTGTTTCTGTGTGAAATGGCCCTTAAAAGACTGCCTAGTGTCAGTGCTAGTGATGCTAGTGGAGTGAAATGTAAAAGGCTGAAGTCAATGATGACCCTGCCAAAGAAAGTTTTATTATTAGATAAGTTAAAAGAGGGGATGAGTGCTGCCATGGCTGGTCAGTTGTTTACCAGATCTAAAGTTGGGAACAACACATATAACAAACTTTAATACTGGTAATATCAATATTTATGGTTTCAATACTCAACTTGGGTCAATTATATTTCTGCTAATTGTCCTCAATCATGTACTGTACAACAATAATACTTTGCACATATAAATGTGATAAGTACACTAGGGTCAGTCACTGGTGTTATAACAGCAAATGAAGCATGCTGTTAGCGTCGGTTGCAGTCCGCCGCACACCTAGAGACTGGTGTTTTTACCACAGCAAACAAGTGAGGCGCGCCCTATGTGTCGGTTAGGCTCCGACGCACGGCTAGAGAACTCGTCTTCCCAGGGTGTGTTACTCCTTGGTGTTAATTGCACTGAATTAAAGACATCCTTTCAGTGGACATTTTGGTTGTAAGCAGCTACCGATCCCTGGTAGCTGCAGGACCTTGCAGGTATTCATGTACAACACCCCTGTGCTTGAGAGACGATGGAGGGACACTTCAAAAAGTCTCTTAAAAAAGTAAGCTCAATCACAACAATCATACGTCTGGCAATGCCACAGACGATATTAACATTGCATTAATTCTTTACTTAACACATAATAATTTCACGATGTTAAAACATGAACACTGATATTCACAAACTGCGACCGAGTTAAACTGACTTAATATGGTGGGCGTGAGACTAAGACGCATACCTGAGATGATGGAGGTACACAAAAAGTGACGCTGTCCCTCAGGCACGCATAATATACGGACTAACTGGCAACTCAGGCATGCCAACAAGTGCAATTCATGCATTGACATAATTTTCATTTAAATCAATTGCTGTACATTTGGCTATGAAACTCAGTGTCATGAGTCAGATGAATTTTTATGTCTGTTTTTACAATCTAATCAGAGGTTGAACTTCCCAGTCAAAAGTGAAATGTACTTAGAATGCTCAAGTTGATAAGACTGACATATTCTTTTCAGGAGATTAATTACTTTTTAAAATACAAAACTGACAATACTCTTAACACAATCATCAGATTCTCTGATGATCAAAATGATCTAACTTCAGTATCAGTTGGCAACTCATGGCATCCCTACGGGCGGGTTCAGGGATCCGTCACATTTACTGGCAGACTTGATTCAAACTGATTTGACAATTTGACTAACAGTAAATACAGTTGAAGCCTTCAACATCACTCACAAGGGATCTTGAAGGTTTCATCTGTAATCAGACATATCTAATACAATATAATATTACTGTGTTCTCTCTCAATTTCAAATCTCTGAACTCGACATGAGGTATTAAGAAATATCAGAGTCTCGGAGACATGATTGAGAGAAAACGGAGGCCTCAAGCATTCTGAAATGGTGAGAGTACGGCGCCTCAGATGGGGGACTGAATAATAAAGGCATAGCTACATGTTTTATGGGCTATTGAGGGTAATAAGAATCATCTGATTTTACGTCAACTAACATGTACAACCATGGTCATTACAATGGCTTCGCATGTTGCCATTGTCACATGTAAAGAAATTATAAGTCGTGGAAAAATAATTTCATCATGATGGTTTGTGTTTTTTGCCTCATTATGATGAGAACATTTTCATTGGTATTGCTGGCCACACCAAAAGAAATAAGCATATTATAAGCTGATATTTGTGCACATGTTAACTGCAGTCTTCAGAACAAGAGTAGGTTCATTTTTGTAGTTCCAACTTCCACATGCATACTAAAAACAACACAAGGAATTATTTGTTGGTCTGAAAATACAGTACTGTACTGTATAAAAGAAAATACTTGTACTGTATTAATAATTTTGAAATTGTACAAGAAGGACTTAACTGAATGAAGCTAAAAAAATATTTTACATAGACTAAATACTGTAGTGTGTTTCTTCTAAGAAAAAATACATAGGGTATTACATTAGTTAAATTGTATGACATGTGTTTATGTTGTTTCAGGGACTCTTTCCTCCTGGACAAGGAGCAACTATTGGAGTGGACTTCATGATTAAAACTGTGGAAATTGAAGGAGAAAAGATAAAGGTGGGTAATAGGTAGTAGGCACCTTTCAAACAGAAGGATATTGGAAGCATAATGCCCTGTATTGTCTAATGGTAGACCCTGCTGCTATGTGGCATTACAAAAATTGTGACCAAGTCCCAGATTGCTGATCTGACTTTCTGCCTCATTTACACACAATTGCAGGGTTTCAATTGTCTTTCTTACATTGACACAACATACATATATCGTTTCTCATTATTGATCTTTTTTGTATTATTATTTATAGTTCTTTATTTTAATTATTATCAATATTATTATTATTATTATATTTGTATTAATTATTATTATTATTATTATTATTATATTTGTATTAATTATTATTATTATTATTATTATTATTATTATTATTATTATTATTATTATTATTATTATTATTATTATTATTATTATTATTATTATTATATTTTCGCCCCCAGGCCCTGATGTGGATCATTGACCTATGCTCTGGTGGGTTAATCCCATAAAAAAAAGGAGATTTTCATTTACTGTACTTTAATAATTCATGCAAAAACTCCATCCATCATTGGGCAACAAAAGAATGGAAATGACAGGATTAAAGAGTTAATGGAGAGCAATGTACTGTACAGTCAGCCAAAGTTCCATCGTTCTCACCTTGGCTCTCATACTCTCAATTTTACCTGGCAATACTTGGTGAAGGGAGCTTGTATGTAATGGGGATTGTGATTGGTGGATCTATTTTCAGCTGTAGCACTGTCACGATAAATCTTAAACAATCCAAAGTTTCCAAATGTTTGTTTATTTGGTTAAATAATGAAGCAGATTATCCTGAATGATAATCCGGCACAGTATGTCAAACAGTATTTTGTTTGAAAAATGCCATACTAAAATTTTAACTAAAGGATTTTTTCCTGCAATATTATTTTGAAAAACTCTTTTAGCATTTATTAATTAATTTGTTACTATAGGGTATTTCATATTTCTCAATACAGGTTAGACCCCGATAATCAGGGACCCGATAGTCCAGCAGCTTCGATGGTTCGGGACGGTGTTTGAATCTGGCTGTCATTAGCTTCCTAAGCTATAATAAACAATTTTTTCTTTACTTTTTCTGCTAATCTACTTATTTCTGTGTCACAGTACAGTAAACTTGTACCATAGCACTAACACTTTATCATAAAGAGGTCCAGTAAGCCTGGGCTAGATTTCGGAAGATTCAGACAAAATTTGGGGGTTCCGGGGGATAAGAAGCTTTTCTATGAAGCATTCCCAAAACAGAGCAAATATCATCTTGGGCCCATGTAACTAAGAAGTCAGCGCGGGAGACACAGGTACCAGAGGCGGGAAACATAAACTGAGTTGTCAATTGCTGTTTGTGGGAATATTATTTCATTCACTCCAGTAATGATACAATATTTCTTATTATGTTATCGTAGGTAAATGCATGGTTTATATAATTTGTATATCACTGTCCTCTTCACTGTTTTGAAATTAGACTACAAGATATGTGTTTCTCCCATACGTACTGTATTTCGATCAAGCGCCTGGCAACGGGAGCGAGTGAGTAAACACTAGTTAGAACATCATCTTATCTTGTAACTCTCTTTGCCCCCTGCCATATTTCACTGGATTACTTTTATTCTTAGCGTTTATTGATATAATAGTACTAATAGTGATTAATCATGGCATTGTAACTAGATTTGACTCATCACTGTAACCACCAGGCTACTGGGCCAAGCTGTGTGGTGTAGTGGTTGTTTTTCAACTCGTATTTTTGGGGTAGATATACCTAACTTACTTCATTTATTTTTACTTGGATTCATGCACACACCATCCCAAATACATATTGTGAAAAAAGTAAAAGGAATAACTGTCCTAAGGGCAAACCCATACTCAAGTGTACTAAATAATTACTAAAAATTTGATGTCTATTGCAAACTATAGGATGATTATACTTAAATTAATCACTACGTATCTTGCAAGAATTCCAACAATGCAAGTTACTGTATATTCTGCTAAGTCAAAACGGTGACATTTTATAAGTGAAAAATTTAAACTCCCTCTATTGTATAATCCTGAGTCCCTGAACTTTCCCCACTTCACCGACGACTACCCGGTAATCTCGCCTCCTGGCTGTCTTCACCCCACCTCCTCCTCCCCCCCTACTTCCAACCAGAATGTGATAAGTGTGAAGATGTTTTTAGGTTTAAAGTTTTTCTCTTGTAAAATATCCTTACCTTATCCACTTGAGTATTGTTCATAATTCTTATACTCACTTAAAATTCATTACTTAGTGCTCTGAAGGTACTATAGTGGTCCCTCAGTTAACGAGCACAATTCGTTCCAGAAGGTTGCTTGTTAACCAAAAAATTCGTTAACCGAAACCATTGTTTCAATGGGTTTTTGGATAATTGGTTCCAGCTCATCCAAAATCACATACAAACTAAAAATAAATGCAGTAAAGTACACTTACTTTCAGGTGTGCATGTAGAAGGCTCCTGGTTGATGATGATGATGATGGGAATTTGAATGGGGGTGGAGGAGAAGGGAGAAGAGAAGGCATTGGGGTGGAAGGGAAGTCACCCCATTCCGCCATTTCACCCATAAGATTTTAGTTCACTTGATGTAATTCAAGATTATTTTCTTTAAATCAACACTGCACTGCATTATATATTGTCAATATGTAAAATAAACTTCAGAATGACCAATAATTGTACTGTAAAAACGTAAAAATAGTTTATGTTCAAGAGTGTTTGAAGCAAGATGCTTCCTCCTCTGAGGAGGGACACACACTGACGCCATTTTGGGTGTGTTGAGTGGCTGTTTGGAGCGCTAATAACTAGTTCCCTGTGCTTCAATTCTGTTAAATAATTGTTAAAATTACTAAAAACTTGGAAAATCATTGAATAGTACAACCTTCTTGATATTTACTCAAATGGTAACGAATTTAAGCCCTAAAACCGATTACTGTATCGGCGGACTAATACTACAGCTGGTGAGCAGGCGAAAACATGTTGGGAAAAATTCGTAAGGAATTCGTTAACCGAAAATTTTTCGTTAACCGAAGTGAAGAATCTTATGGAAGGTAATTCGTTAACCGAGGCGCTCGTTAACCGAGGGATCACTGTACAGTGACCCCTCGTTTAACGAACACCTCGGTTAACGTAATTTCGATTAACGAACTGCCTTCCATAAGGATCTTCAATTCGGTTAACGAAAAAAAATTCGGTTAACGAAGTTCTTACGAACCGACCTCAACATGTTTTCGCTTGCACTGACCGGGCAACCAGCTTTAGTATCAGTCCGCCAATACATTAATCGGTTCTAGGGCTTAAATTCTTACTATTTTAGTAAATATCAAGAAGTTTATACTATTCAATAATTTTAAAAGTTTAATATTCAATTTTTTAGTCATTTTAACAATTATTGAACATAATTGAAGGTAAAGTGACTAGTTTAATGGGCGGCATCCAGCCTCTTAACACAGCAAACAGGAGTTAGTCTCTCTCTATTTTCACTGGAGGTAACATCTTGCTTGAGACTCTCTTCAACTAAACGCTTTTTTTCTGTGTTTCCAAGCAAATTATTGGTCATTTTGAAATATATTTTATATATTGACAATATATAATGCAGTGCAGTGTTGATTTAAAGAAAATAATCTTGAATTACACCAGAGAGCTAAAATTTTATGGGTGAAATGGTGCCATGGGGTGACTTCTCTTCCACCCCAATGCCTTCTCTTCTTCCTTCTCCTCCACCCTCATTCTAAATCCCATCATCATCATCATCATCCAGGAGCCTTCTACCTACACACCTCAAAGTAAGTGAACTTTTCTACCATTTTTGTTGAATTTAGGAAATTTTCGGTGAGCTGGAACCAATTACCCAAAAACCCATTGAAACAATGGTTTCGGTTAATGAACGACCTTCTGGAACGGATTGAGTTCGTTAACGGAGGGGTCACTGTATATGTAAAATATGTTTACATTTTTCCATATGTACAAATATACTGTAGCTATTTTTTATAAGTTCAGTTGTTTTTAAAATTTAATAAAATCTTATTTGCAGCTTCAAATTTGGGATACTGCCGGACAGGAAAGATTTCGTTCCATCACACAGTCATATTATCGTTCGGCTCATGCTCTCATCTTAGTGTATGACATATCCTCACAACCCACTTTTGATTGTTTACCCGACTGGCTTCGAGAAATTGAACAGTATGCCAGCTGCAAGGTTCTTCGAGTACTTGTTGGTAAGTATAAACAGGCTCTACAGTTAATACAATGGCATTATGCTATCCTCTCATAGTCATCTGTATAGTACAGTACCTTATAATTTCTTTATTTTTGCATACGCTCCACCTCTGTATACAGTATACTGTTGACTACCCTCTTCTTACCTGCCATCTGCTCTCTCTCTGATATTGTAATTGTATGTACAGTCCATGACCAAAGTTTGTGATACAGTACAGTCAAGGTCTCCGGAGGGTATAAAGTCCGCCCATCCTTACTGGATGGCTGGTCTGCTGCCTGGCCATTGTCCCCCTGCACAAACAAGCACCCAAACAGCTTAACATTTGAGCTCTGTTACTTTCATTTCTCATTAAAGACTGAGGAAGGATGTCATTGTTTTGTTTTTTGAATTCACGAAAGTTTACCCACTCAAGTTTTACATTAGTGTTTTATATAATAGGTTAATCATAATTAGATAATCATTACAATACAGAAGACACAGTGGAGAGAGAGTGTCTTGGTGGCTGGAAGGTCACAAGAGTAATATCAGAATCCTCCAAGCTGTATTTTCCCTCAGAATGGTATTCAGTTTACTGCACTGTAGAAGCAACAATTAAAATTTATTATTTAATTGGCTACAATGAACTATTTCTATAGTACAACAGATCTACTTGTATAGTTATTAATTCAAATCTCTGCATTGACATACTCAGACAGAACTTTAGTTTAGTTTAGCCTCAAACTGTTCAACAAATAGATTTTGTTTTATTTTGTAATGCAGAATACTGAGTGTCTATTCTATTGATTAAAATAAAATTAATTGTAATTGGATGTAATTTTGTCATACCTCCCCAAAAAATTAGCGATCTGAAAAGATTCGGATACAAACCTGGTAAACTTTGTTTTTTCATGAGTGGCATCACTGACAACGACCCACCTTCCAGTAAGGGTGGGGCAGACTTTGAACCATCCACCTTGACTGTATCAAGAACTTCCATCCAGGACTGTACAATACACATCCAGTTTCAAATATTCATTGTTGGATGATACTTCTTAATCCTTTGCTTTTATATTCATCTTTAATCACTTTCTACCTTGCAAATGTTATAGATGTAATATTATTGTATAATGCATATGCTGAAGTATCCTTAGTGCTGTACTGTATATATTGCTGTGGTAATTGTGCTGGTAGTGCAGTTTTTAATTTCTCAACATAGACCTTCTTGGTACTTACTGATAGTATAAGTATGAAATTTGATCCCTTTATTCAATAATGGAAATAGTCATGCTTTACCAAATAGGTTAAGTTATCATTCCACAAGAGATTTATGCCATGTCATTATCATCATTTTACAGGCATTTCCATGGTTGCATGGGTTAGCTGTGACTTTACGTTTGTGTTCTGTATTGTCAGTGAATGCAGATGTCTCTTTTTGGGTAAGAATCAAATTAGGATGTAAATGGATGTAAATGGTTGATAGCTCAAATGAGTGGAACACTGTTTATGGACAATCTTACATTGTACAGTCTCACCCAAAAGTTTGTTAACTCTCCCAGCCGGCTATTGCTGCACTGTCTGCTTCAGATGTATGGGCTTGAGTCTGTTACTTCGAACCTTTAAATTTATTTGTATCGGTTTCATGTTCTGGTTGGTACTGAGACAGTTTCAAACATCTGAAGCAGGCAGTGTAGCAATAGCTGGCTGGGAGAGTTGATGAACTTTTGAGTGAGACTGTACTTAAGGGATGGTAAGCTAAAACAACCATAGTTGACTACCCTAAAATAAAATTGTCAAATCACACATTTCAATTATTTTCTCAGAAGATCTTGTAAAACATTTCGAGTTCTCCTTCATCTACTAGTCTCTAGAGCAGTGTATTTTAGCATTTTGAAGTTCATCCAGTACAGTACTGTAATAAAAACTTTTAGGTTAAATGAATTATAACCACACATAAAGACAAGGAAAACCTTCGCAATCTTGTTCCTTCTAAAAATGCCAACTCCATTTTCTTTCATTTATTATTGAGAGAATGGGATTGACAGTGTCATTTCAGATTACAAAGTCATATAGACATTCCAAATCATGAAAGGGATAGAGGACGTAAACTCAGATAAATATTTCAAGATGTCTGGTGCCACAGTTTCAAGGTCATCAATTTGTCATCCACAAAAAAATACAGGTAAACCTCGAGATACGATATCCTGAGAAGCGATATTTTCTTCTTTAACAATGGTCCCAAATTAAGACCATCTCGCTATATACGATCAAAATAACTCACTTTAATGATATCCATCAAATAGTCATCAATACCGTATCTATTTGTTGGATATTTTTTTTTCTATCTAGTGCAAACTATGGGTTGTATATACTCAAATTAATCAATGTCTTGCAAGGATTCCAGCAATGAAAATTATATTTTTCGACCTGAAGTCAGTGACATTTTATTAGGAAACCATATTTAACCCTATGCATGACGCATCTCTACCGTCACTTGTAAGCCTACCTATGCGCTGCCACACAGCCAACCCACGCACTACAGCCCAGTGTTTGGGCCTTTGTCGATCATAAACCCGCCATCACGTGGCTCCATGATTATATATATATATATATATATATATATATATATGAGTATTGGTAAAAAAAAAAAATACAAATTTTGAAAGTAGTATATGGCCAATTTCTTACTGGTCATAATTTTAGCTGAAAACATTGTCATTGTATCTCAAAAGAGAGATGGTTCCAGTGAAAAAGGCTCTGCCACCTACAGTATGACTTAGTACAAGCAAGAGTACTAGAGAGAGTGTAAACATGATTAATTGAAATTAGGGGATAATTGGAAGGTAATGAGTTTCAGCCACCACTTTTCATGTTGAAGATCTCTTCCATGTGAGTTAAAGTCTCGTGACTTTGTGAGGCTTGTGGAACTTGTATTGATTGGAATAAAAGAAATAGTTGTAGAAATTCTTTTTCAAAATGTAGTTCCACATAACACTTGATTTGTCTGACTATACAGTACATAAGTCACCTAATTTTTGCTTAGTTATAAGATGGAATTTCAGGATTGGCTGGCATTTTTGGGGCTGCTGAAACAAGAATTAGATTTTTTTAGTTAACTCTGTCATTATCAGCATTTTTTTTACTTTTCCATGCTTGAGTGGGCTATTGTAGAGGTAGATACTATGCAGAATTAAGGATATAGATATTTTAGAATTATACTAACATAAATTCATGTTATATAATTAACAGCTACATTAATTTGCTTTACCTTACTATACAGTATTAACTATTGCATGTATCAACAGGATTTTATGGGGACCATACTGACATTTATTCAAGACATATACAGTATTTACCCCCATGAAATTTTGATATAAGCTAGAGAATGTGTTGTTGTGAGTAGACAGTTAACCAACTAACATTTCCTCAAAATTAGGAAACAAAACAGATCGGGAAGATCGGGAGCTTCCTACTCATGTAGGGGAAGAATTTGCCCATCGCCACAACATGTATTTCATTGAGACTTCTGCTAAAGAAGCTGACAATGTAGAAAAACTATTTATTGAAATCGCCAAGGAACTGACTCAGGTAATGATCCCAGTGTGGCTACATATTTATTCTGTAAATTAATTTAACCTTTTAATTTTTTTACATCTCCTCCTTTTATATTACTTTTACAAAGAATATTAATTGTCATGAAGACTGCAACTCAACAGCTGTCATAGTTCTCAAATCCTTTTATTCTTTGTGTATTGTCTAATACAGTAAATTGGTTCAGTAAAATACTAAATAATTCTCTTTTAAGTACAGTACAGTACAGTACAGTACAGTACAGTACAGTATATTCTTAATTTCTGTATCCACCTCCAAAACTTTCATAGCTGTATTTGACAGGTTTTACAAGTTTTGTGTTTTATTGTGCTTTTCATTTTTCTCTGTACACTACTGTACTATTGCTTCAAGCTATCAAAAAGAAATGCCCTATTTTTTATTGCCATCCAGGGTTATGAGAAACATTAAATTTCACGAAATAATATATTGTAATTACTGTACTGTAATAGTGTACAGTATACTGTAACTGTCAGTTAGTAATTATTATTTTGATAATTTTACAGACAAATTTGTGCTTTAACATAATTTTAATCATTATAGGATGAATCTTCATTAATTTTTAAAATAAAGGCACAGTATCCTAGCTTGTCCTGTTCCCAACTCTTGTATTTTAGTTAATGAAAACAAAGCAAAAACTAATTGTTCAGAAACAGAGTGTTTTGTTTCATCGCAGCTTAGATTGTTATTATAGAAACCACCACATCAGAAATGAAGGGACTAAATACAGTACAGGCATCCCTCGTTTAATGTTAGGGATGTGTTCCTGAAAACCTAACATTAGGTTAAATTATCGCTAAATGATGGTTGATATTTTTTTGCCAGTGTTAAAAGTAATTAAACTATCAAAGTTATAGAATAGAGGCTGAGCTGTGAACTAGGTTATAATTATTTTTCAACTCATAATTTGGGGTAGATATACATGATTTTTTCCTAACTCAGTTACATACACACACAATTGTTTGTACAGAATATGCCCCCCCCCCCCACCAAAAAAAAAAATAAAAAAAAATAAAAAAAAATATTAAAAATAAAAAATAAACTAATTATTAGGTCAAAAGCATGAAGGGAATAAACATTTCTTACATATGCAAGAGTTAGCACACAGAGCTGGGGAGAGGCAAAGGGGTTCCCAGTAGTCTCATGTCCTTTTACTTTACTTTTATCCTCTTCGCCACTGATCGGCTTGTTAGCCGCTTGGGCGATCGGTCACGTCTCTTTTCATTTATATTCTTCACCAAAAGATCGGCTCGCTAGCTGCCCGGGCGATCGGTCACGTCTCTGTCACGCACTGTTGGCAAATACTGGGCATGCACCGGCTCCTGAATGTACCTGAACCTGCTCCAGTGTTGGTCAAGTCTTCTCTTGAAAGAGCTCACACTCGGTGCCGTCACAACACTCTCTGGTAGATTGTTCCAAGAGTTTACAACCCTCACTCCGAAAAAGTTTGCCCTCACGGTTTTCTGGACTTGCGGCTTCTTCAATCTTGAGCTGTGACCCCTTGTGGGGCGAGCGTCCGCCAGCTCCAAGTAAGGACACTCAACTGAGTAGTGCCCCTGAGATGCTTATACACCTCAACTAGGTCCCCCTTGCCCATCTGTAGTATAAGCTAGGCAAGTTCAGGCGCTCCAATCTCTCAGGGTAGCTGAGGTGCCGAAGTGCAGGCACCAGTTTGGTGGCCCTCCTTTGAACATTTTCAACCAACTGACAGTCCCTAGCATATCTCGGGGACCAGATGGGGTGACAGTACTCCAGATGGGGAAGCACTTCACTCCTGAAGATCGTCACGAGGGACGGACCGTCTAGATATCTGAACGACCTTCTTATAAGACCCAATAATTTATTTGCCTGATTTACCTTCTTCTCACAATGGCCCGAGAACTTCAGCTCATTGTCAACATACACACCTAGGTCCTTCTCACACACAGTCTCAACTAGTGCATTTTCTTCATCCCGTTGGGACATATGATACGCCTCCTTACCGTTGGTATGCCCCAGGTGCATCCTCTTACACTTCGTGACATTGAATCTCAGCAGCCATTTCTTCGACCATTCCTGGAGCCCACAGAGGTCCTTCTGCAGCTCTTCACAGTCCGCTGGTTCTTAATTTCCCGAAATAACTTGCCATCATCGGCAAACATTTGTATGGAGGAGTGTACAACGTCAGGCATGTCATTTATGAAACAAACAAACAACAGCGGGCCCAATACACTACCCTGCGGTACCCCACTTGTTACAGGTACAGATGACGATTTCGTGCCATTAATCACCACACACTGCTTGCGGTCATGTAGTATTACCAAATGGCAATGCATTAATTTTTTCTTCTATTTTATTTATCATTATTATTATTGGTTATTCCTCTCATTTACTGATACAGTATACATGCAACACAGAGTGTGACTGGCTGCAATTACAGCTCACTGCCTCAATACATACATTCGTTTCCCACACATAAAACCCTTGCTCTTCGGTTTTCATATTTTGTAATTTTATATTATATTTTCTTTATTATTTCTAAGCCATAAAATGATGTGCACTTCCCTCCCGTGCAGTGACCACTCAATTAACATGAAAGGATTTTAAAAATTTGTATTGCTAAGTAAATGAACTTTAAACGAGTGATACCTGTATATACTACTGTATACAGGTACTGTAGCTAAAACATCTGTGCAGGAGGGGGTCAATATGCTCCAAAATTTTACGTGTGACTAGTGACAGGCCTCTTATACCAAAATTATCGTCCATAGTCTCATATTGTTTCCCACAAAGTATGCACAGATAGTTGTTTTAGCTACTGTACAGTGGGGTCTCATATTATGCGGGTCTTGTGTGCACAGTTATTGTCTACGCGATTGGTTGAAATGTGACCATAGTTGTAGCTTGCGTGGAAAGTCATGGGTAGCGAGATTAGCGGCATAGCATTAATTTAGTGATCTTTTGCTTATTTAGGTTAATTTTACAAAAAATGGCTGGGTCACTCGAATTACCCAAAACTCTGGCAACATTGTTAGGGAGAGCAGGAACGATCAGCTGATGCTGCTCTGTACTGTAAACAAGAGACCGCAATAGCTCATCAGGGATTGAGTGTTGGATTTGGGGAGAAAAGTTAATTGTTTTTCAAAAATGTTTAATTAACCCGACACCAAATGAACTTAAATAATATGGGAATTATGGTGAAATCCCATGTAGCCGTTATAAAGAGATCACAGGATGACAAGCACAGGAAGTAGTGAGTTGTCTCCCTCCCTCCCCCTCTCCTCTTCTACCCCTCATTGACTTTGCACCCAAATGTAGTTTTGTATCTTAATATAATTCATATTTTATTCCTATAATTAATTCATCTTAATCTATTTCATAATATACTCCTATAATAATAAATTTTTGGAACCACATGATATTTCAGGTTCATTCCAAATTCAAAATGTTTAATTAATTTTTGAAAAATAAGAAACTCACGAATTAAGCCAAAATCTGAATTAATGAGGGTACAGTGTACTGTATATTACTTTAATCTTTATTCAAGGTCATGAGACCCACTAATTCTCTACCCCAACAATGGGTGACCTGACAATGCATCAGGTCACTAATATGAGAACACTAATCACTCACCCTATCTTCACTGCAAGTGAGAGGAAATTTTATATATGATATACAATACAAACAAATAATGTAAATACTGTACTGTAAACAAAGTGATGTTAAGCAATATAGAATACAAGTATAGAATAAAAAATTTTATGTTAAATATGAGTGAAGGATTGTAGCAAAAAATCTATTTTTATAGCATGCTACTTGAGAATTTTTTTTAGGTAGCCTCTACTTCTTCTGCCTTGATGGGGTTTTAAATTAGTGAGAACTAAAGGTCAGATCCTGCATCTCTCATTACGGTGGAGTGATTCAAGACAAAGTGAAGCTGTTTAATGGTTTGGCCTAGTGAACCTTAAGCCTTGCTGGCTCTCAAACCAACCACTGGGTTTAGAGTTGGAAATATTGTTTTGATCATTGAGAGAGAAGCTGTTTCCCAGCTTAACTGGTTCTTTGGTCTGTTGCTTGCTTCAGTATGCCTAGCCATCTGAACTTGTAAGGCATGAGTGGAGGTATCTTGTACTATTGCTACTCCCTCTTGCTATGAAACAGGGTTTCATATTTCAGTCTTTTATTTTCTAATATATAACATTATACCTAAAGGATTTGATTTCTTCGCTAATGATTACTATACTCTTTTCATTATGGAACTGCAGCTTGTTCGTAGTGGACATTTTGACAAGGTAAGTAATATAGGGTGCTTGGTGAATGTTTTTAATTGTTACTACAAAAAATTATTCTGCATATCATAGACATTGTAAAATAATAGGAAATAGACTTCCTTTTTTAGTTGGCGGTTTAGAGTAACTTGTCATAGTCAAGTAAAAGGAAAATGTGTTAGGATGCTGAAATGCCTTATTAACAGGGAAGGGAATTGGGAGAGGAGATTGAGATGCTTTGATCTTGAGGGAAGAATATGACAGTGACTAATATTTCCTAGGTAGAAGTACTGTACTGTACCTTGTAGCTATAGACAAAAGGAGGGTGGGTTTATTCTAATATAATAGGCAGAGTTATGTTAAGCTTTTGTCACCCTTTAAGCCAGATTGGTTACAGTACACATACACAATTCACAGAACATCCTTATTCCATATAAAATCATATTCATCTTGATTAAATGAAGGATTTGAAAGTTAGAGGGAGGTGATTTACTGACTCGGTAGTAAGATATGGATCATTAAGACAGCTTGGACATTTAAAAGGAATAAGAGTGACAAAAGTGATTATGAAATTTAAGGAAACCAGCAGGAGTTACTTTGAGCAGGGTGGTCCAACTGAAGGCCTGCAGCCCACGATATGATTTTCTGCAGCCCCTCAAACTCCCATACAGAAAGATAAAAACATGTACAGTAGACCCTTGTTATTTCCGAGGGATAGGTTCCAAGATATGGCGCGAATTGGCCAAGCCGCGAATAGCAACTTATACTACCTTAGTGCACTGCTGTATACCCATACCAAACAACTGACCAGCCACGGCAGCACTCATCCCCTCTTTTAACTTGTCTAATAATAAAACTTTCTTTGGCAGGGTCATCACTGACTTCTGCCTTTTACATTTCACTCCACTAGCATCACTAGCACTGACACTAGGCAGTCTTTAAGGGGCCATTTCACACAGAAACACTAAAAACTTGAGAGTATAACAAGATGCTGCTTGGGGTGACTCATTGTGATGCGGGAAAAGGCTTGCAAGCTAGCCACCATGTGCTTACTGTGAATCGTCGAAATTGCGAATCGCAAACTTGCAAATGGCAAGGGTCTACTGTACTGGATTATTTTGAAGCACATTATAATAAGTACAATACTGTACAGTAAGCTTTTGATAACTCAGCATTCAATATCTTGAAATTTTATATAATTCGGCTCGTGTATGGTCTCGGAATTTATTCTAATATAATATGGGAAATGCCGAGTAATATAAAATTATCTGTAAAAAAATCGGCATATTTTACCACGTGGGTAGCTCCCGCTTCATTGCTCTCCACGCTTGGTCAGTCTGGTGTTTGTTATTGTTGTGGTCGGGTGTGTGCTGGCTCACTCCACTCAGTACATGGATGTGGTAAAATATGATTCCTGCAGTATTAACCCAGTAACACCCAATAACCTCCCCCATTCATGTCGGGCCAGCCACTGTAGGCAAAACGTCTCCACTATTACGGTATATCCAATATCGTAGATTTTATTTAATTTGCACTGCAATTCATTTAATTTGAATTCCCACTAATTATCTGAATCTTCCAGGTATCCCAACTTTGTCCCCTTCGGTAAAAATTTTAATTTAGTCCAACAATCCAAAAGCAACTGAACTCATTTATTCGCGTGTCTGACAACCTGTGGTGCTATAATTGTTTTTAAAAAAAAATTGTTGTGATGAACAATAAAATTGATACATAGCATAGCATATATATCATAAAATACAGTAGTACATATTTTATGTACCAAAAATAGCTCCTAATAGGCAAACTGTACTACAAGCTTTGTCAATAAATTTGTTAAACTAACTAACTTTCACACTCAAACCATCATCTGAGTGATGCCACAGTTCAGACAGCTAGTCAACCAGCTGACCAAGGTGTGTGTGCCGTGACATCACATGGGAGGGAGGGAGGGAGGTGGGTGAGTCAGCCACGCTGTACAGCTCACTGAATGGCCTTCACATACATTCACCTCCCGCACACACACACACACACACACACCTATGCTCTGTATTTTTCATATTTTACAGTTTTATATTATATTCTCTTTATTTCTAAGCTACATCGTAGTATTTAAGTATTTACTCTTTTGCTCTTTAATAAAGAAAACGGTTTTTACTAGGGTGTACTATAATATCCTTAGTGATATAAGTTACATGTTTATTTGCATACTCAGACAGTCAGACTTGAATTATAAGTAGAGAAAAAAAATCTTTATTTTGTATGTGACCAAATTACAGTAGTACAGTATACATAAGTGCCGCACTGTTTACTGTTTATGTAGCATTAACCCTCCATCACCTGCGTCACCTACCATTCTCCTGCATCTCCTACCATTCACCTGCGTCACCTACCATTCTCCTGCATCTCCTACCATTCTCCTGCATCACCTACCATTCTCCTGCATCACCTACCATTCTCCTGCATCACCTACCATTCTCCTGCATCACCTACCATTCTCCTGCATCACCTACCATTCTCCTGCATCTCCTACCATTCTCTTGCATCACCTACCATTCCCCTACATCACCTACCATTCCCCTGCATCACCTACCATTCTCTTGCATCACCTACCATTCCCCTACATCACCTACCATTCCCCTGCATCACCTACCATTCTCTTGCATCACCTACCATTCATCACTGCATCACCTGTCACTGCATCACCTGTCACATCACCTGTCATTCACCTGTCACCTGTCCTGTCATTCCCTGCATCACCTGTCATTCCATGTCATTCTGCATCATCCCTGCATCACCTGTCATTCCCCTGCATCACCTGTCATTCCCTGCATCACCTGCATCACCTGTCATTCCTGCATCACCTACCATTCCCCTGCATCACCTCAGTCTCCTGCATCCTGCATCACATACCATTCCCCTGCATCACCTACCATGCATCATACCACATCACCTACCATTCCCCTGCATCCCCTGTCATACCACTGCATACCATTCTCCTACATCACCTGTCATTCTGCACCACTGCATCACCCCATTCCTGCATCACCTACCATTCCCCTGCATCACCTACCATTCCCCTGCATCACCTACCATTCCTGCATCACCTACCATTCCCTAGATCACCTACCATTCCCCTGCATCACCTACCATTCCCCTGCATCACCTACCATTCCCCTGCATCTCCTACCATTCTCCTGCATCTCCTACCATTATCCTGCATCTTTTACCATTCTCCTGCATCTTTTACCATTTTCTTGCATCTCCTACCATTCTCCTGCATCTCCTACCATTCTCCTGCATCTTTTACCATTTTCTTGCATCACCTACCATTCCCCTGCATCACCTACCATTCTCCTGCATCACCTACCATTCTCCTGCATCACCTACCATTCCCCTGCATCACCTACCATTCTCCTGCATCACCTACCATTCCCCTGCATCACCTACCATTATCTTGCATCACCTACCATGCCTCTGTGCCATCTACCATGCCTCTTGCCAACTACAATGCTTCATTCTTCACCTGTAGTGCTGATAAGTGTTACCTTTTGAAAATTAGTAATTACATGTATATGGGCCAATAATTTTTTAGTTTGTTGTATTTTTGTTGGGGGGGGAATAGTGCCTCAATAAGTCGGAACATTTTAAAATCACATTTGCCACTTATCAGCTTACTAGTCATTTGGGCGCTCTATCCAGTGTTAGTACAGGAGGAAACCAGGGACCGGAAAACCTATGGTGTTTGGTAGGGTCACATTGGATAACACCCTTCTCACATGTGTCCGGGTTGAGGCTCGAACCCTTGACATATTGGTGAGAGTTGTGCGCAGTACTGCTGTACCACCAGCAAGGCCAGAGCCCCCTGCGTGCCAAGTTATCAAGGTTTTACCATATGTATTTCACTGCTTATTAACTTTAAAATTTATTATCATGACAATATTTTTGTTTTGAGATGGCATGTTACTTTTCAGTATTTATGCATGGTTCTAGAATCTAGTCAATATGGGAGATGCACCCTCTCTGATTGGTCCGTGCATATAGTATTTGGTGACATGACCCACTCTGTCACTGGTGTTCCATATATGCTGTCCGAGACCCTCAGTGGATATCTATCCAAAACAATCATAGGAGTTTGCATTTGACCAAAATATTATCGAGTGACTTAAAATTAATACTCGAGATGAACAAAGAGATAGAAAAAAGAATGATTTGTGAGAAAAATAAAACATTTAATCCTTTTTTATTATTATTATTTACTCAACCACTGAAAGCCATGCATACAAATAGGATATACAGTGCAGTGGTCCCTCGGTTAACGAACACAATTTGTTCCAGAAGGTCGTTCGTTAACCGAATCCATTGTATCAATGGGATATTGGGTAATTGGTTGCAGCTCACCGAAAAGTACATACAAAGTAAAAAAAAAAAAAAATGCAGTAAAGTACACTTACTTTGAAGTGTGTATGTAGAAGGTTCCTGGTTGATGATGATGATGGGAATTAGAAGTGGCGGTCGAGGAGAAGGGAGAAGAGATTGAAGTGGGATGGAGGAGAATCGCCTTTCAGGAGACCCATGCTTGATGCAGTAATTTTAAGTTCACTAGGTGTAATTCAAGATTATTTTATTTAAATCAACACTGCACTGCACTATACTATTTTATCAATATGTTAACTAAATGAAAAATGCAAATATATTCAAGACGCCAACAAAATAGATGCTCTCTCCACTGTTTTCAAAGCCCAACTGACGCCTTGTGACAAACTCACGCACAACAAACTAGTTCCTTGTACTGCGTGTACATGGTATTATCAATATGTTAAATAAATGTTAAAAAGACTAATAATTTTAATATAAAACTTGCAAAAATATTAGAGCACAACTTTCTTGATATTTACTCCAGTGGAAACGAATGTAAACATAGAACAGATTACTGAATTGGCAGAGTAGCCCATCAGCTGATCAGCTGATGCTCACAACAAAACGTGATTTTCGTAAGGATTTTGTTAATCGAATTTTTGTTCGTTAACCGAATTGAAGATTCTTATGGAAGGTAATTCGTTAACCGAGGGACCACTGTAAATGAATAGTCATATACAGTGTATTGAAAGGCTTTTGTATATTGTAAGTGTTCCTTTGTTGATTCTGTGTTTTTCTATTTTACAGGATAGCAAGGTTGGGGACCTGTCTCCTCAAGATGTGTCAAATGTCACCCTTCCACCGACAAGGGAAACGCGTTCTGAGTTTGCTTGTTGCTCACGTTGGATTTCTTCGTCTACAACGTAGCCAAGTTGGGATTCTTTGGGTTTTCAGTGATGTGATGTTGAAAGTTTAATACTCATATGAAGCATTAAACAATACTGATAGGCTGTAATGGAGGAATTTTAACATACATGATACTGTATTGTCATTTTTATTTTGATATTTTTACTCTTAATTTTTTATTCTCTTCTTTGATTTTTATGTGTTGTTAAAAAAATATAGATTAGCTTTAGATTAATGACTTGCCTTGACTCGTAGAATCTAAAAACTTTTGTAAATATTGTAGGAGTTTAATATAAAGAAAAGTAAATGAACATTGAATATATACCTAAGATTATAGTGGTCATGAAAGGTAGAAAATACTGTATTAAATGAATGAGTAAGGCAGATTGCTTGTAAGCAGCTCCAGAGGGTCCACCAGTGGAATTATGTGCTCTCCCACACTGGCACGAGGTAGACATTGTGCTGGTCATATTGTGTTTAGCTATTTTTTATCACTTGAAACCAACTAACTCCATGTATCATCTGTCATTAGGTAGTTATGAATTGGAAAACATTTAAGATTGCTTCAACTCCACTTCTCATTCTAGAGCTACCTTTTACATTTTATAGCATATTAGTAATAAACATTGTATACATTGCAGCTATAAGGTAGATTTAATTCTTTTCTTTTAAATGTTTTATGTTGAGCACCAGAATTATGAAGTTTTGTACATTGAAGAGACAAAATGAAAAATATGGAATCTGAAAACTACATGTTCTCTGGTGCACAAGATAGGTTAGTATTACCTGGAGAAACTGTGAAGGGACAAAATAGACCTGGCAAGTCTACTATCATAACACCCAATTATTATAATAACCCTCATAATAATGGAATCAAAAGTATGATGAAGCCCATTGTGTGGGGTGTGTTACCTCCTACTGTGATTCTTAAGAAGGGGCAGTTTTTCTTAACCCATAGAACTTTATGCCAATTATGAATCCTCGGTAAATAGTTTATGGTTTCATATGAACAGGAAAACTGAGATTGCTTTCCAATTAATTCTTTTGATCATGTCACTTGATGTGAATCTAGAACCTGAAAGTGTGCTTTTAAAATAATGTGTTGATATTGTATTGTATTTCAGATGATAAGTGTATTGTACAGGTAAATGAAGCTTCATTTGGAATAATAATAAATTCCTCAAACAGATAATTTTCAGTACATGTTGTAAGTAAAAGTTCTTTCTTGATGTTATTACCTTTTAGTCATTTTGTATACACAGAAACCTTATTTTACACATTTTCTTTATTAGGCTGTGATAAAATTATGAATTGCATACAGTTCTGAAATAACTGTAGACTGCAGTACTTAAAGCTACGTTTTAAAGATACACAAATAAACCTCATTATAACTACAGTACCTTCATTTTACTTTTTGTTAGGCTCATTATCACTTATGTCTTGGATACTAATTTTGTCTAGTGCATTCTGTAAATAGTTTATTATTTGTTCTTCTATGGTCTATAGGATACAATATCTTTATTTTTATACATTCAGATTTGTTGTGCTTGATTGCCTATTTATTTTTATTTACTGGATATATTAGAATATTATTTTTATTTTTAACATGCTTGGTATATTTCCTCTAACTAACATGATTTCATCTAAATATATATTTTTTAGTGTATATGCTTGGTATGTAATGTGTCTACATATAGTTAACGAAATGGATTATGATAATTACTGATAAGGGCAAGTGAAGGGTTTAAATATCATTCCTAAATTTACTTAAAGTATTAACCCTGTCTTTCAAACTGACATTGTAGAGCTATGTTTACCTCTTATAGAGGTGTGTCTCCACCTTCTAACTTTGTGCCTCACGTGCATCCAACATTTGTCTTTATTCTTAAATCAAAATTATGGTTTTTGTACTACTGAGCCAGTAGTGAAAGGGGTTCTGAAATTCATTGTCACTTTATTGTCTACTGAAGTTAGTAAAAAAAAATTGCAGGACAATGTTGTCATGCTGTATTTTATGTTTGTGTTGCTTTGTGTGTGTTTAGGATGTATTATATTCCTATATATTATTTATTAATTTATTTATTTTCAATATTTACTACTATTTCATATTTTGATACTGTGCTTATTTATAGACAAATGGATGTTTACACTACTGTATTCAGGAAATCTTTGCTTGTGAGTAAAATCAACATCTAAATGTACTGAATATTATTGCTTTTTATATGTATAACATCCAATGTTTTTTCTCAATTGAAGAGAAAAACTGTTATTGCCACAGGTTTCAGGTTCCTTTACTTGGTAATAATTTACATATGATTCTTTCTGTGGGTGTTTATCTTCCTCAAGCTAAGTTCTCTGTACTGTAGTGTATGGTGGTTCAGATTGTTCTTCCTCGGGCAACTGTAATCTCATGGCATGTCATTTATTCACTTAATCTTTCACTGAGTTTTCTATATAACTTTTGATTATTATTTCTGTGTTGAACTTTATCATATGTTTAATAATATTGAAAAATGTTATGATTGTATGAATATGTGGTCATAAAAATGTTTAATATTTATACATTCCATTGGTAAAACAGTTTCTTTTGTTAAATTAATATTTTGATGGTGCATTTATTTTCATTCTAGGTGGACTTATAAGTTACAGGCAAATAGGGATTATTTCATGTATTTTGCTGATTTAACATACAATACCCGGTATGTCATAATACAAGCCAGAAATTATGCATTTTTTTTACTGCTCTTCTCTTGAAATACTGTACCTGCAGTTTGCAGTTGTGAGAGAATTATATTCTAGTCAGATGAAGATCTTCCTATACTTGTTCTTTGTTTACTTTTGTTTTTAAGAATTCCATAATGTCAAACGTAAGTGAAATACTGAACACCTTTATCTTTACATAGCTTTGATGCCCTGGAAGTTACTGCCCTACATGACTTCTTAATATCTCATATATGACTGCACTGTTAATTATATAATTTTCTATATCCCGGGAAGTTATTCAAGGTAATGGTTAATTAAAGATAACTTATTGCTATTAAGCCTCCTTTTCAAAAATGATGACATTTTTAAGTTCATCAAGTAACTACAGTAGGTATTCCATAATGTATAGTAAGAGTACTATAGTGTATCACTCTTCAAACTGAAGGATCAGCCTTTAAACCAGGGGTGGATGATTGTTGGGTGGGGTACATACAGTAGGTTATGTTATGTTGACCCTTCTTACATCCCACCTAAGACGATGCAATTTCACTTTATGGAAAACTTGGAAGTGATTGTATTCTTCCATTGTTACTCAATAACAGAATCTTATGAAGAGAGATGCTTTCATTTGTTCAGGGATATTTTTCATTGTGAAATTAATACTGTACATAATTTCCCTTCATGTAATGTATGAGGTAGCCAGTTGAAAACAAACTTTTTATATTAATTTTAAAGATAGGGCAGACAATTTAGAAAACATGGATAATTAATTTTTCCTGGAATTATTTTTCAGTGTTCTCATATTTTCTGATATTTATACAGTATAACTATTCTTAGGAATAAAAATTTCATTTATGATGATGTAGTGTGATTAAAATTTTTTAGCTATGTATACACAAATTCAATTGGTGTAACATGATAATCATCGAGCAATTTCTAATAGTTATTGTAATTACATCGCTGAATAGAGACTTGGTGTTTCTGTCATTTTTGATAGACATGTTTGGGAGATACTAAAGTTTGGCAATACACAAGTAATAGTACCAGCTGTTGCACTCGTGTTATTCTCTAGCCTTTTTTCCACCGACTTAACACATAACAACCCAAGAAATAATAGCACTTTCTTGAATGTTGTGTTCAGTAACAAGAATAATTAGAGTAATGGTAGTGCAGTCGTTGGCAGTATTATTTTTTTATGTATTTCATGACTATTAAGTGTTCTGGATATGAACCAAAGTATTTTGAAATTAATGAATGCATTTATAAAGATAAGTAAGTACACTTTGCTTCTTAGCTGCTCACATTCATTGGTAGATGTTGCCCTCAGGGCTAAACATTATAGCTACTGGTATATTGATTTGTGCTGTACTGGTGACTTTATTTTGGTGCCTGTTGTCCTTTACGAGTGTCACAAGTGTGTGATTTACATAGGTAAATTTACAATGAAAACTGTTAGATTGGTATGTTATTATTTTAATCATCTGTTTTATAGCAGAATGTATGAGTCAGTTTTAAGTTAAGTATCATGTTAGAACATTAGATGCCTTTTCGGTAAAACAAATGCTGTATATTACGGGGGATTAGGCGACCTTTGGATAAGACGAGGCCCGCATTTCAGTCTAAATTTCCTGGTTTTAGCTCATATCTGTGGAATAAGACGACTCGCTAAACTACCAAACCACCTGTGGATAGACAGTGTGTGGAACAAGCGGCCAGGCGGTATTTGCAAGGAACGCAGTTTGTTGGCCTGGGATATGTTTCTGAGTCATGTACATAACTGAGAATGTTATAACTTGATTAGCATGAAATAAAACTGAGATTGCTGTAATACCTGGTGGTTTGACTTCTGTACTGCAGCCACTGGTCATTTGCCTGAGCAAGCCATTTAAAGGTCATGTGCGTGAAGAATGAAATAATTGGGTGATGGATGGTGAAAAATCCTTTACAAAAAGTGGGGCTATGCATGCTGCATCACTTAATGTGCTGTGTGATTTCTTGATCAAAGCATGGGATAAAGTGAAAGTCGAGACTTATAAAATCTCTCACAAAGTGCGGTATCTCTAATGCAATGGTTGGTACGGGGGATGATTTGTTGTGGGACACTGATGCCGACGCACCAGATTCGAACTGGGACCGCTATGACGACAACATAAACAGTGAGACTCTGGATGTGTATGACAAGCTCTTTGCTTCAGATGATTCTAGTGAATTTGATGGATTTTAAATGTTTGTGATGTGTTTTTTTATTTTACAATGCTTTCATTGGTTTAACACCATATCGGTATATGGATTTTAGTGAGAAATAAAAATTTTAAACAATACAATGGCTGTTTCAAGATTGACGACCCCAGCTACCTTTGCCGACCCACAATAAGATAATTTGTACGGATTTTTGAGGTTTTTGTATCTGGCCTACAAGATGAATCCTGGTTTTGGGGGTGGATTTCTGATGATTCAAGTGTCGTCTTATCCACCAAACTATATGATAATGATTATCCAAAGTCGCTTCAAAATTCTTCATAAAAATAATCCTCCTTAAAATGTTCCTCCTCGGTGAAATTTTAATTTTGAAATACTGTATACAGTAAATGGACTTAAGTATTTTTTCAGCTTCAAGTATGAAATCCATGTTTGATATGTGTACTTACCTTAAATCGGTACACTTAGAGTTAATGCTATGTAGTTATAAAGTCAGAATATTAACAATCTGTGAATTAAATAATGCCATGGCAGTAGAATAATATTCAACATAATGAAATTTTGATGATGGGTAGTGCTGTACTGTATGTGTACTAATTGAGAATTGATTTTCAACTGGATGCAGTATATATATATATATATATATATATATATATATATATATATATATATATATATATATATATATATATATATATATATATATTTTTTTTTTTTTTTTTTTATCACCTGGGATTTCCTACACTAGTATGAGCTGAAAGGGCACAGATACTCAATGGTGGTGTGGAATGTGAATTATCTCTCTGATGGATCTTTTATTTTTAGATCAGCAGTGGTTCATCCACTTTAATATTTTATTAGCAACATCACATAATTGTGATATTGGATGATCTTCATCTTTAGAATTGATTATACAGATATATATATATATATATATATATATATATATATATATATATATATATATATATATATATATATATATGCACATCTTCAGGGGTGAGTACAGACCTAACCAGTCTGTACTCACCCCTGAAGATGTGAATTACACGAAAGCCCTTGGGAACTTCGTGTTTTCTTGTTTCCTTGTGGTTATCAGCATTTGGATCACGCGCACCTACAGTGATTTACTTGTGTGTGTGTGTGTATATATATATATATATATATATATATATATATACACATATGTATATATATATATATATATATATATATATATATATATATATATATATATATGCAAGTAAATCACTGTGGGTGTGCGTGATCCAGGTATATGCTGATAACCACAAGGAAAGAAGAAAACACGAAAGCCCTTGGGAACTTAGTATTTTCTTCTTTCCTTGTGGTTATCAGCATATATATATATATATATATATATATATATATTGTGTGTTTATTTATTTATATATATACAGTATTTTTTTTAAAGCTATGTTTTCTTTTCATGATAAAGCACAATGTTTTTAGGGACCACTCTATGACTTATAATGGGTGCTTTTAAGATGCACAAAAATTGTGAATCTTAAGATAAGGCCTGGATAATCTATGCTCAGATATTGACAAATATTAGACCCTAAAAAAGTGGTCAATCTGTGTATAATTGGATTAAATGTAAAAGAGTTAGGAAGTACCCTTTGTATGTGTAAGGTAATGTCTTTGCATTCTAGGCAAGATGAAACAAATAGAACCTCCTTAGTCCTATACGTCTTTGGTTTTGTTCACAACCTCAAGTGTCAAAAACCCAAAAGCACTGCTCAGTATATATGCCAAAGAAGTCTGCATGTTTATGTGGCTATTACTTGACAAAATTAGTTGATGCTTACATTCACAAGATGAAAAGTATAAATCAGAAGGTAGAGACAAGAGAATGGAGATTTAGCTACAACTGTTTACTGTAGCCCTGCCAAATTATTGTATTATATTAATGGTAAGTGATTTGCAAACTCGAGAAAACTTGCAAGGATGTAAGGAGGTCAATTGTACAAGTTATAATCATAAAATCATGAGAAAACTTGAGGAAAAAGCCTTTGGTTTAACCAAAATGAAGGGAAAAGTAAAAATGTATGCAATCAACCCTCGCTTTACGCGGTCCCACATTCCGCGTTTCCACCTTTACGCGGTACCCTGCCGAAACCGGAATGCTCACATTCCGCGGTGCGTGTACCCCTTTACGCGGAGAGCGGCGCGAGCAGGGTGCGCACAAGGTCGCCCAGTCATCAAAACATTACCGAGTTCTTCACCCGCCACAGCCGGCCCAAGTCAGTGATAGTGATAATTATAGTTAGGATATGGACTTTGAGGGGTTTGACAAAGAGACCCTGCAAGCCTCTGTGGTGGATAGTGATACAATTGATACAAGTGATACAGGAGAGGGCCAATAATCTGCCCTCTGCCTCGGAACCAACCCCCCATCCCCGTGTGCCCAGCCATCTTTTCTACTAATGTAAGTGTCAAAAAACCTAATATTATTGATATTTCTCTTAATTATTAATTGTGTGTGCATACCATCATAAAATTAAGAAGTTATTTTTACTACAATGTAGGTATTGTGTCTGAAAAAGTGGAGTTTGGGGGTCGGCCCGGTCTCTATTTCAATTAATCCCATATGTTATGTTGTTCACTTTACGCGTTTCTCACTTAACGCAGGCGGCCATGGGTTAAATTAACCGCGTAAAGTGGGGGTTCACTGTACATACAAATTGCTTTGAAACAATATTCACAATATTGTGAGACCATTATTAGAATATTTATTTTGAATAAAACATTGGTACTGTACTGTATTTCATGAAATGAGTGTTGAATATTTCAGTGTTATAAATTTGATGTTTGTGTATTTAAGCCAAATGAAATGTGATTTAACTACCTAGCAGCTGATTAGTATTGTTTTTAGTGAGGGGGCAGCCTTAGGACTTCCTTACATTAATAAATGGCAATTTTTTTTATAAAACCATATTAGGTGAAATGTTTGAAGCTAAATATGGTGTGTGGTATGTTAACTTTTCATTATTATAATGTGTGCGTGCAAACAGATTGCAACAAGAAATATAGATTGTTTAGGTAGAGTTGATGGGTTTTTCTACTTAATATTATAGAAGATGCATCATTCATCCAGCAAAGTTTGTGGATATAGCTGTTTGAATGCAGTATGTGATGAAAGATGAGGATCAGCCAATTACTGTCTTTGTACATGATACAACTCAAAATAAACTATGCTGTGATGTGGGCTTTCTCTCCTATTTATTTCCCAATACTTTTTTAATAAGGGTTGTTTGATGGGTTGAGTAGATACAGCACTAGCCTTCTTTTCAAGGGTTTGGTGGTTTGATACCCAGGCACTCCCAATTCACCAAGTTATTTGAGGGAAATTAAAATTACAACTTGGGGAAGAGAATGCAGTCAAGAGGAGTGCCAGCCATGCTGCCTCCTTGTGTACCATAGGCTTGGTATACAATGCTGTATCTACACTTTTCTTTTATGACATTTTTGGGGAAATTTATATATTTTTTTTGTATTTTAACCAATAAAATTACCTACAATATTAACTGTTTAAAGTAGGCAGGGCTTTGAAGTAGAGGGAAAATGTGGGGTAAAATACTAAAAATAACACCAAACAAACATTGGAAAACCTGACCTAACGTTTCCTTGTAAAAATCCTAAAACTAAAAAAAGTTTACCTTAATCCTGCTTTTGGTGTTTAGTAGGTGTTAGTGTTGTTTTAGGATTTAATACGTGTTAGTGTTCACATGAGGAGGGTTTCTTTAACTCAAAAGTGATTCTTAATTTTTTACAAATTAAAAAACGTTAGGTCAGATTTTCAAAGGTTTGTTTGATGTTATTTCTATTATTTTACCCTACATTTTCCATTGACTATTAAGTCCTGCCCACTTTGAACAACTAATATTGTTGCCAATTTTATCGGTTAAAATACTCCAAATATATACATTTTTGAAAAAAATGTCATAGAAGAAAATTGTTATAAGATTGTTTAAACTACACGTACTGGGCAAAAACTGGCTTCAGAATGTATCTGCACCTGCGCCAGTGTTGGTCAAGTCTGGTATTGAAGGAGCTCACTCTCGGTGCTGTCACACTCTCTGGCAGATTGAGCCTAGAGTTTACAAACTCAGAAAAAGTTTGCCTTGACAATTTTCCGAACTTGTGGCTTCTTCAACCATAAGCCGTGACCACCCTCCCCGCTAGGCTAGTGGGGCACGTCCCCCAGCTCCATGTATGAACCCTCGACTGAGTACAGTAATGCCCTCTGAGTTGCTTATAAACTTCAATTAAGTCGCCCCTTGACTGCCTGTAGTATAAGATAAGGAATTCCTGTAGGGGGAGGGATACCAAATTTGCTCCACTTAAGAGTTTGATAAAAAACAAACAAATATGAAAAGCACTATGAGTGTATTTTATGTGGAGATTAAAGATTCACATGGTATACTGTGCGTGTAAAGTTGTAAACTGAGAATATGAACAAGTACTGTGTGTACTTCTACTGTACCAGCAACGATTGGTGGACTTGAACTTGCCACCCTAGAGTAGACCATATCATCCTCAACACAGGTAAATAGCAGTCTCAATTTATGCTTTACATTGCTTCTTTAAGGCTTATTATACTTGCTTTATGTCTTTATTTTCTTGCTTGACAATTTGTATGACCGATATATCAAGGTTAGATGGGGGTTTAGGGACGGGTGTGGCCGGTCCCTAATCCCCTGAATAATTTATCAGTATATCATTGAAGGCTGTGATGTAGGTGGGTCGCGTGAAAATCGACAGTGGTTTCTTTTACATACATTGTTTATAAAATATTGACATAACATAACATATTAAACAGAAAGAACTTACTATGATATAATGTAATTTTATATATATATATATTTTTTTTTTTTGTGGGGGGGACGTGAGAGCAATATGTATGATCATCACATAAAGCCTTTTAAAATGAATTTGGTGCCTCAAGTATGATAGTGAATTTGTTTTCTGAACTGACTGTTCCCCCAAAGAGCTGGTGCCCAAGGCATGGGCCTTTTAGTTGCCTCAATTGATAGTCCACCACTGCACAGATTCAGTAACATTCTGGAGCTAGTGCATACCCAGTACTTACCAATAGAGACATAACTGATCGCCCAAGCGGCTAGCATGTCAATCAGTAGCGAAGATGATAAATTAAAGTATAGTTCATTGAAGGGAAGTGAGGATAGAAATTGTTTTGGCATGGAAAATAAGAACCGGTACTGTACTTTTAGAACAAAATTCAATTTAAAACAATAATATACTCTCATTTGTCTTTTAGAATATACGAACTTGAAAAACAGTACATATCACCAATATGTAAAAAAAATAAAATGCGTTTATAAGGCTTTATTCACAAAGTCCCAACACTGGAGCAGGTTCAGATACATTCAGTAGCCAGTGCATGAGCAGCAGTGCACTTGTCAACAGAGCGTAACAGAGGCGTGGCCGACTACCCAAGCAGCTAACGAGTCGATCAGTGGAGAAGTTCGCCCCACAAGGGGTCACTGGCTCACAGCTCAAGGTTGAAGAAGCCACAAGCCCAGAAAACTGTGAGAGGTAACTTTTTCGGAGTGAGAGTAGTGAACTTTGGAAAAATCTGCCAGAGAGTGTTGTGACGGCACCGAGTGTGAGCTCTTTCAAGACCAGACTTGACCAACACTGAAGCAGGTTCAGGTAAATTCCGGAGCCGGTGCATGTCCAGTACTTGCCAACAGTGCGTGGATAACAGTATGTAAAAGAGGATAAAGTAAACTATTGCCAGGTGAGCCCTTAACATACTGGCACCCACTTTCAAGACTAGATATGTATCATTCATTTGTCCAGAAATAAAAATAATTTTTTTTTAAAGCTATAACTTCCAATAACATGGTTAGGATGGTTATGTAATAACTAACAAATTATCAAATTATAGTAGTAGAGAGGAAGCGATGTGTTATACAGTTATCTATTATGAAGTCATGAGAATGTGCAGGGGGCTTCAAAATGCCCATAATATTGGTCAGATTTCACAAAAATTCTGGGAGGGTGTGTGTTTATAGTGCCCCCCTCCCCCGGCTGGGTGGATTCGCTGTGCTTGCCTTGTTACTCCACCCACAACTTCTTGGAACCCCCCCCCCCCTTTTGATATTCCTGGATCCACCCCTGATGTGACTTATATGGCTCTGTATTATGTACTTAACGTTGAAGAACATTTAATCTAGCCACTGTAAGCAGGTTTTGGGCAGACAGTCTCAAACTGAGTCTGAACCTCTGTCTCTGTCTGGGTGACGAAGTTATTTTCAGTTTGGGTCTCGTAGGTGGTGGAGTAAATGGTCTGGGTGTTCGTGAGGGTTATGGCTACTACCTCAGTTTCGGTCCTTGTTTGGTATTTGGTCTCTGTTTGAGTTAGGACTGCTGTCTCGACCTGGATTTCATATTGAATTTGAGTTTCAGTTTTGTAAGAGGTTGTGGTGGTGTAGACGGGCTGGGTGGTCGTATCCTGTAGGGGAAGAAAGTATTACTACATTAAACATTTCCATCACTTCCTCACTGACACGTTTTTAATAATCTTATACTATAGTACAATCACGAAATACAGTATGAACAAATTCCTCTACTTGTAGACAAAAAGGCTAAAAAAAAAAAAAATTATACTTAAGTTAGAAATACAGTCTAGCCCCATTCAACTAAAGTTACTCATTTCTTCAATGATTCGTCTTCCATGCACTTGTTCATGTGTTTTGAGACAGTGTGGAGTGCACTTATTGGTCAATGTAAATACCGCAAGTAATCTCCCAATTAGCCAGAACCATGGATCCCAGTAACTCTCCAATAGCCGGAACTTTTTTTGAACAATCATAGAAATTCCAGGAAAAATCACTTCATTCTGGGCATGCAAACGATTTCCTAAGATTGCATCATGCGCATTCCAAGAAAATATTGAGAAAATCTCTCCGTTCCGGGCAAGGGAATGAATTTTATGAGATTTCCGAGATATTGCATCGTGCTCTGATGCATGCCGGGTGGATGGGTGGGCTAGCCGCTTGGGTAACTTAAGCTACAGGCTTGCACACTGCTATTGGTTAATACTGTCATGTGACTGCATAGGATGCCTGTGATAGGGTGATGCTTCTCCCAGCTTATCCCCCCCAAACTGTAGCATCGTGATGCGCTTAGTTCATAGTCCGCTGCCATTGTACAAAGTTGTTCCTTCACTTGCTGCAGTTTCTGCATGCAATCTGTGTTGTGCAGTAATGTACATTGCTGTACCAGGACACAATCAATCAAGAATACAGTGTTAAAGCAGTGCTAAGATGTAAACAGTGATTACAGTATATGTACTGTAGGTAATTTACATCCAGTAAGTGTGAGCATTGTATGTACGGTAACATGCATAGCAGAGTGGACAGTGTTTGCATACTTTGTCCTAGTGTGTAGAGTTTGTGTATTGTACTGTAACTTTACTGCACGTGTACAATGCCGAAAGCTACAGAAAAAATCCGTGGCATCAAAGGGTCGAGGAGAGGCCCATCGAAATGACTGTCCATTAAGGAGAAATTGGACATTCTCAACAGACTTGAGAAGAATGTGTTTGAAAGTGATGGTGGAGGAGTATGGATTGGGCATGTCGTCTATCTATGATATAACATATCCCAAGGAAAAGCTGAGGAGGCAAGAACAGAAAGCTATGCCAGGCACAGGTGAAGAAAGGTAGCTTCACCCTTGCGATAAAGTGGATGCTGCGGTATATGACTGGTACAAGTCATTGGTGTTCCCGTACGTGGTATTAAGTTCTGTGATGCCGTACAATAATTTACAATAAGGCTGGTTCTGCCTGCCTTTCATGGGAGCTTTGGGTGGCTCTACAAGTTTTATAGGCGGTATGGGATTAGCAACAGGCGAGAGTGCTAGTACTGATGTGGCTAGTGTCCTGCCATTCATAGAGTAGCTGCAACAATTCAGTAGTGACAACAACATCAAGAAATACGAAATGCACAACGTAGATGAGACTGGCCTCTACTGGAAGTCCCTGCCTAATAACACCGTGGCATCCTGGCAGAAGGGCAGCACCCCTGGACTCAAGGCCAGCAAGCAGCGCGTGTCAGTGCTGTTGTGTGCCAAGGCTGCTGGTTCCCACAAAATTAAACCCACGATGGTAAGAAATGTGCAGAGGCCAAGAATGCTGCACAATTCCATGGATAACTTTCCTGTGGTCATGTCATAGTAACAAAAAGGCTTGGTTCACACTGGAAATATTTGAAGGTTGATTCCACTGTGTCTCTGTCCCTGCACTCCAGCAATTCCAGATGACAGTCCATGATATCCCCAGGCAAGAGGTCAAGGCCTTGCTTATCCGTAACCATGCACCTGCCCATTCACCAGAGTTAAGTTTTTGCCGCCCAAAACCACCTCACTCATACAGTTCATGAACCAGGGCGTCTGGCCAGCAAACACCACTACAGGCGCTTCTTGGATGGGTTTTGGTGGTGGAGCAGAAGTTCTATTACTGCAGGATGATGTGGACTTCGAGGGGTTCAAAGTGGAAGAGTCCCACACTCTTTTCCGTGACATTGGTGACACTGCCGTGACTGAGGAGGATGTGGGCGAGTGGTTGCAGGTAGACGCCAACAATCATGGCTATGGTTCCCTCACCAAAGATGAAATAGTAACTGGTGTCATCAGGTCCCATGAAGAAAAATATGAGGAGGAAGAAGTGGAGCAAGTTCCAATCACCAGTCTCAGAGAGGTAAGGACATATCTGAACGGACTACTGAATTTTACGGCCACCACTGATATCCTACACTTTCTCTCCTATTACCAGAACCTTTGGGAGATGCGAGCAGTTGCTCTTGATGAACTGCAGAAGTGGACCAAGATGAGCATAAGATTGGGGACTACATCCCAAGGTCCCTGTTTCAGTCCCCAGATGTCCTAGTGCTATCTCCTATGGCAGCTTGCCTAATACTAGTGGTGAGAGTGTTTCTGGCTCCATTCTACAGCCCTTTATGTCAAAGATTGCACACCTACCACCTTTACCATCACCACCACGATAGCAGAGGAGCAGCCCCGATGAAGGAGGATTGTGTAGCTGGCAAAAAGCAGTGTGGCTGGTAGATCACCACGGAAGAGAAATAAAGGGAAGGCGAAAATAATAATATATCTTTATACTTCAGAATTCTGGTAAAGTGAATGTTATAGGACACAAAATGCATGCAAGAACAGAGAGGGTAGGGAAACTGAAACTGTTAAGACATGTCTCACCATACACAGTCAAATCTCTACTGATTTACTCAAGAAACTTTGAAATCTGATTTAAAAACTTTCATTAGTAATGAATTGTTAAAAACATTAGTTACAACATCATCAACCAGATAATTTTAATCATACTCTTCCTCTTACACATGTATGACCACTACTGACGCAAGGAATAATAATGTGAAGGTGACCTACCGTGACCTCCTGGTAATCAGTGGTCGTCTGGGTGATGGTGACAGGGTTACAGGTAGGGGCGGGAGCGACGTAGGAGGACTCTGGAGGAGAAATATATTGGGGGACGCCACTGACAGCCGCCACCAACACAAACATCACAGCACACGTCATTGTCATCCTGCGGGAGACCACAGTAGAGACTGTCCATGACTTCACAGTAATATGTATGACGACAGTTAATAAGACAAAGTACACAAACATTTAATATATATATTTGTAAATTGAAAATCGAGACTAAAACACGTAACACGTTAATAAGCAATAATACTGTAGGAGAAAGATAATCATTCGTCATTTCTACCGCGATAAGAAAATCACTAATCTCGGAACAAACACGAACACCTCGACATTATATTATGATGTTCAGATGGTAAACATTGGTACAAACAATGAGTAAACTACGAAACCAACTCTCCATCAACCGTATACTGTGAGTCAACGACCTCAGTGATCGTGGTCACTTGATAAGGTTCTCATGATTATAAGTGGAAGAACAACATACAAGCTTCTTCAGCTAAAGCGAGAAATATTATCTGGTATTATAATATGACGCGAGGGTTTGTGGGGTGTCCGTCTAGTCCGGAGTTTAAGGGGACTTCGATGCATAGACGGTGATTATCCGAACGTGAGTACCCGTGCCCATGACTTTCAACACCTGTGTATAAGTGTCTCCAACACACACCTCAACATCTGTGTATGAGTGGCCCCAACACACACCTCACTACCTGTGTATGACTGGCCCCAACACACACCTCAACATCTGTGTATGAGTGGCCCCAACACACACCTCAACATCTGTGTATGAGTGGCCCCAACACACACCTCAACATCTGTGTATGAGTGGCCCCAACACACACCTCAACATCTGTGTATGAGTGGCCCCAACACACACCTCAACATCTGTGTATGAGTGGCCCCAACACACACCTCAACATCTGTGTATGAGTGGCCCCAACACACACCTCAACATCTGTGTATGAGTGGCCCCAACACACACCTCAACATCTGTGTATGAGTGGCCCCAACACACACCTCAACATCTGTGTATGAGTGGCCCCAACACACACCTCAACATCTGTGTATGAGTGGCCCCAACACACACCTCAACATCTGTGTATGAGTGGCCCCAACACACACCTCAACATCTGTGTATGAGTGGCCCCAACACACACCTCAACATCTGTGTATGAGTGGCCCCAACACACACCCCAACATCTGTGTATGAGTGGCCCCAACACACACCTCAACATCTGTGTATGAGTGGCCCCAACACACACCTCAACATCTGTGTATGAGTGGCCCCAACACACACCTCAACAACATACTTAAGACTTACTTGAATATGTATCACAGATCTGTTGAAGATTTTCTTTCTTGCTGTGTTATGAGTATGTGTTATTGCTTACTGTATATATATATATAAGAGGTTGAGTGCTGATGTGACGCCCTACAGCCCTTCTCCATCCCATCCCGCCCCGTCCCTGCCCCCCGCCCATAGCTCCGCCCCAACCCATAGCTCCACCTCCCTCTCACGTCCACCACTAACGACTGGCGAAGTTTGGGTGGATGTGACTCCCACCTACTATGTTGACAAACTTCTAAAAAATATTATCTTCAAAGAATTAAATAGGTGTGTAATTACTTCTGATATATACATAAAAATATAAAAAACTGCTCGAGGCAATGCATTAGTAAACTTTTTTCTTCATTGTTTCCACTATAAAGGTATGTTTCTGTTAGTTCAGAAGAACCTAACGGTAATCTTCCCGCTTCACAGACCCTAGTAACAGATGGTCAACACAACTGATGATGATAATGAAAGTGGTGACGTTAATGTGACGCGCAGCAGCGACCTTGTGGTTACGCTTACAACACCTACAGTATGGTAGATGGCAGTAATGAAGGCGTTCGGTGATTTACGGGTGCTCCTCGGGGGGTGTTGTGAACCACTAACTGTGATTCGACAATAAATACTATGAGACAGCAGTTGCACCTTACCATCATCACTGAACAAACTTATGTTTCCATGAGATTAACCCATACAAATTGAAAAGTGAAAGTGCGTTCCATAGACCTGAAAGTCCGTCTGGGGCAGTATAGGAAAAGCATGGCGACCTGTGATGTAATGGTCAGCATGCTCGCCTCGCAAGCGAGTGGACCCGGGTACGATCTCCGGGCAGGGTGAAACTATGGGCAAGTTTCTTTACGCTATTTGCATTTGGGCAAATAGCCTCTGGATGTTAATCGATTTGCGGATCGTGTTCCGGGGTAATGGTTAGCCAGTACTGTTGGCGAGTTGTCCGGTATTCTCGAACTGTTCCTTGACACTGGGTCATGCAACTCGTTAACTTAGAATGTTGTTGTTGTGTTGGCGAAAGCTTCTACACATTAAACAAATTCACGCCTAGGTGGCCTTAGAGCCTGTCACCCAATCCTCGATAAAGCACATTGAATACAAAGCCCTCAGTACACAAACCGTGATTGACAAACCAAAATACTGTTGAATCTGTCCTGAGACTACTGTAATTATATACATTCTCGCAAGTTTGAAGAAAAAAATTATCATTTATATATGTAAATCCGAAGACAGCTTCACGCTCTCCAACACCAGTTGCAAACTTAACCAAGCATGAAACAAAATAACTTAGTCTATGTACTCAGAGGGAAATAGGGTTTTCCTTTTACTCTAAGTGTTGGGGAACCATGACGGAGTGTTAGTAGAGGTGACGCAGCAAGTAGCGGGATCCATTAGTTAAACACCTTCCCGCTCTACATTCTTGACATTCGTGTGTATGGCAACTGTAATCTGCAGATTGAATGTGTTGTGTGAGATTTCATTATGGACCTCGTAACACCTTTTCTTCCTATCTTTCTTCTGCACTTTTAATACCCTTTAGTATATTCCTCCTTTTTTCATCACTTCATACGTTCATATGGCATATGCCCTTCTTTACATCTTAAATAACACACTCAGCTTGTCATTCTACCAATTGTGTTATGGCTCCTGATCACCAGTCAATGACCTGCTATACATGTCAACCCGACAACACCCCATAACAGAGCCTGCCAGGTGCCACAGGGTCAGACATTCAGCAACCGGGTGTATTATTCAAGAGAATGTTGCCACATCAGTCCACACAGTCACACTACGATCCTGTTAAAGTATCGAGCGGTATGGCAACTACACTTGTAAGTTAGTGAATTATCCTGGTGAGAAATTATAAGTGTCAATACTTGAGTGCATCTGGTGCCTCGTAACCATATTGGTGGGACAGCAGGTTGGTCCCGGAACCGACACATCCAATCTTGCTACTGACTGACTGACTGTTGACACCGTCATGTTCATGTTGTCCAGTTTAGTTTATTTAAGGATTATATATTTTCATTTTTCATTCTCGAAATTCCGTCTTGAAATGTGAATAAGAACAATCATATAGATAACAATTATACATACAATCTAAAAGAGAATAATTTCAATATTAACCTAACCAAATCAAACTTCAAAGAATTAATCTTGGGTAAAGTTTTAAATGACTTGTTGTCTGTTTGACGATATATGCCATGATTTCCATGGCGTCATAATTATGATAACAAAATATATCACTTTCGCAAGAGAATCCACCGAGTTTTAAAAAACCAAAGGGCCCTACGTCCCTCATACTCAGGGGGCCCTACACCCCCCATACTCAGGGGGCCCTACGTCCCCCATACTCAGGGCCTTACGTCCCCCATACTCAGGGGGACCTACGTCCCCCATACTCAGGGGGCCCTACGTCCACCATACTAAGGGGTCCCTACGTCCCCCATACTCAGGGGGTCCTACGTCCCCCATACTCAGGGGGTCCTACGCCCCCCATACTCAGGGGGCCCTACGTCCCCCATACTCAGGGCCTTACGTCCCCCATACTCAGGGGGACCTACGTCCCCCATACTCAGAGGGCCCTACGTCCCCCATACTCAGGGGGCCCTACGTCCCCCATACTCAGGGGGTCCTACGTCCCCCATAATCAGGGGGCCCTACGTCCCCCATACACAGGGGGCCCTACGTCCCCCATACTCAGGGGCCCTACGTCCCCCATACTCACCCCAGGGCCCTACGTCCCCCATACTCTGGGGGGGCCCTACGTCCCCCATACTCATGCTCAGGGGTCCTACCCCTACGTCCCCCCCCCATCAGACTCAGGGGCCCCTCACGTCCCCCATACACACCATACTCAGGGGCCCTACGTCCCCCATACTCAGGGGGCCCTACGTCCCCCATACTCAGGGGGTCCCCCCTACGTCCCCCATACTCAGGGGGCCCATAATCCAGACGTCTCAGAGGCCCTTATCCAGGGGCCCCTACGTCCCCCCCCATACTCAGGGGTCCCCATACTCTGGGGCCCTACGTCTTCCCCCATACTCAGGGGGGTCCCCCCATACTCAGGGCTACGTCCCCCATACTCGTCCCCCATACTCAGGGGGAAGGAGGGGGCCCTACGTCCCCCCACCTCAGGACTCGAGGCCCTACGGGGCCTACGTCCCCCATGCTCAGGGCCCTACGTCCCCCCCCATAACAGGGGCCCGTCCCCCCATGCTCAGGGGGGCCCTACGTCCCCCCATACTCAGGGCCCCTACGTCCCCCCATACTCAGGGGCCCCTACGTCCCCATACTCAGGGGCCTACGTCCACCACTCTGAGGGCCTACGTCCCCCCCATACTCAGGGCCCTACGTCCCCCATACTCAGGGGGCCCTACGTCCCCCATACTCAGGGCCTTACGTCCCCCATACTCAGGGGGACCTACGTCCCCCATACTCAGGGGGCCCTACGTCCACCATACTCTGAGGGCCCTACGTCCCCCATACTCAGGGGGCCCTACGTCCCCCATACTCAGGGGGCCCTACGTCCCCCATACTCAGGGCCTTACGTCCCCCATACTCAGGGGGACCTACGTCCCCCATACTCAGAGGGCCCTACGTCCCCCATACTCAGGGGGCCCTACGTCCCCCATACTCAGGGGGCCCTACGTCCCCCATACTCAGGGGGTCCTACGTCCCCCTACGTCCCCCATACTCAGGGGGTCAGGGCCCTACGTCCCCCATACTCAGGGGGCCCTACGTCCCCCATACTCAGGGGGCCCTACGTCCCCCATACTCAGGGGCCTACGTCACCATACTCTGGTCATACTCACGTCCCCCTACGTCCCCCATACTCAGGGCCTTACGTCCCCCATACTCAGGACTACGTCCCCATACTCAGGGCCCTACGTCCCCCATACTCACAGAGGGCCCTACGTCCCCCATACTCATACATAATCAGGGGTCATACGCCAGAGGCCCTACGTCCCCATACTACTCCCCCATACTCAGGGGCCCTACGTCCCACCGTGCCCCTATATCCTCCATACTCAGGGGCCCTACGTCCCACCATACTCTGAGGCCCCTACGTCCAACATACTCAGGGGCCCAACGTCCCCATACTCAGGGGGCCCTACGTCCCCCAGACTCAGGGGCCCTACTTTCCCCATACTCAGGGGGCCCTGAGTCCCCCATACTCAGGGGGGGCCTTACGTCCCCCATACTCAGGGGCCCTACGTCCCCCATACTCAGGGGGCCCTACGTCCCCCATACTCAGGGGGCCCTACGTCCCCCATACTCAGGGGCCCCACGTCCCCCATACTCAGGGGTCCCTACGTCCCCCATACTCAGGGGGCCCTACGTTCCCCATACTCAGGGGGCCCTACGTCCCCCATACTCAGGGGCCCCACGTCCCCCATACTCAGGGGGCCCTACGTCCCCCATACTCAGGGGGCCCTACGTTCCCCATACTTAGGGGCCCTACGTCCCCCATACTCAGGGGTCCCTACGTCCCCCATACTCAGGGGTCCTACGTCCCCCATACTCAGGGGGCCCTACGTTCCCCATACTTAGGGGCCCTACGTCCCCCATACTCAGGGGGCCCTACGTCCCCCATACTTAGAGGACCCCTTGTATATAATGCGCATGCACAAAAGTTAAAATAATTTTTTCATCACGCTTTCTTCCAGAAAATTGGTTTAAGTTAATTTAATTTTGTTAGATTAAATTGATTAGGATATATTAGTTAAGTTAAATTATTTGGGTTTGGTTAAGTTATTTTGGTTGGATTAGTTTATTTGGGTTAGGTAGAAAATTCCTATTAATTGGTGTAGACATTCTTTAGTCACTGCCATATTGTAACGAGATTCTGTAATTTCGTGACATTTACTTCACCTCACTTGCTAATCTTGAACTTCACGGCAGACGACGCCGTACCCCTTTGTTTCTATTCAGTTCTTTTTCGTGCTGCTTTTTTTTTCTAGAAGAAAGTTCATTGCCGCCTTCCCTTGAGCCAGACTCGCCCACACATTGAGTTTCCGTACGGAAAATTGGGAAATAATTTGATTAAAGCTTGATCTCAACTCACACGGCTTTTATATTCAATCACTTTCAAAGGTTCTTAATTACCGCTTGAACTTATCGATTAAACTAATTCACGTAATATGCCTCGACAGGTATCGTGATATTGAATCAGCATTTTTTTTATTCTTAAGTACTTAAAAAGCAACTTCACTATTATAATTTATGAACAAAAACCTACATAGCTGTGGACGATGGAGGCCGCCCGCTATGTCCCTCGCACCCCAAGGTTCCTATAATGTTTCAGAGATCTTTTACACTTCATTATTTACTGGTTTTATTTTCCACCTACTACCGTTTG